ATATGTTTATGGCGATAAATTTGACCAATTTCTGGATAGGGTTAGATGTGTAGAAAATAGAGGTACAAGGAAAGTGGTGAAAACCTTTTTGTAACAAGTGGAATGCGAAAAAATTAACTTTTTGACGTATTTCTGAGGTCATATCCTTGTCATTTTGACGCAAAAAAAGCTACTTAAAGGAGGGCACGTTAACTATAAAAGACATCATAAAAATATAGGTAAATTTCATCCAAAATACTTGAGAGTTGGTGAGTAAACATAACTTTGGATGATCTTTCCAATGGTATATCACACTAGGTACCGTCTGTTAAGGTTTTAGCTGTAGCAGGGGGGACGGGACTTATTTGACACCCTGTATATTATTGAAGAAGTTAGACATATAATTTGATGAACCTAAGGTTGAACATATACATTTTGTAATGATGTACAGTAGATTAAACCATGAATTCTGTCACTGAGAAGCATATAGAAAAATAATTTGTTATTTTCTAATTACTATGATGTGAATTAGAGTATATTATGTCCATTTCTGTCAAAAAAGTATGGATAATGTGGCCATAAGCAACATTGCATAACTTAATAAGTGTTTACCTCACTATGATCAGTCCATGTCTGAATTCAGACGGTTAAATCAGTTTTTTATCATGGAAAAGCTTATGTCTGAATTCAGACACAATCCCATTATAGTGAGATGAATTTGTTTATGTGTCTGAATTCAGACAAGACTTCAATCTGAGAAAATTGATACTGATTTCCAATGTCTGAATTCAGACACAACACATAAGTTAAACAAATTCACCTTCACCATTATCAAATTGTGTCTGAATTCAGACAGTTGGAATCAGCATATGTTTTCTAATATGGAAAAGTCTGTGTCTGAATTCAGACACTAAAGATAAACAAATTCATCTTACTATTATCAAGTTGTGTCTGAATTCAGACAGGGAAAATCTAGGTTTCTTAATGATTAGAAAGCCGGTGTCTGAATTCAGACACATAATATTCAAGTATAAGATACACTATATGTTTAGCTAAGGAATGTTTCTGTCTGAATTCAGACAACTTGCTTCCCTCTGAAACATTTGTACCTGAATAAATTTAAGAAGATGCAATGAATAAATATGTCATGAGTAAAAACACCCATAAAACAGTTTTGTTTAATACTTTTGTCAAACTGGAAGAATGTCAAACTTCACTGGAACCTGTTAATGATTAAATTGGGTGATTGAAATACGACAGAGACTGTTCATATCTCGAAGACATTTATTACGGTTTCCTTTTTTGGCTCACCCTGTATAAGGCAATTAACTTAACTGTAAATATATTCATTACTATTACCTTGATGTTATCATTGCTTTAAATATGTTAAACACTAAAGATATAAGCAATTATGCAGTATACAGCTTTGGTGTAGGCCTAGTTAGAATAAGTGATGTACCATAGTTAGAAATGTACTAATGTGCATGTATTAAACCCATATACGGTACTTCCATTGTCTTTATGATGCAGCCTGTATGAAATAGGAGTTGGATGCATGACTAGTAAGGGCAGTTGTAAGGAGAAATTCTTCTCTTGATATATCTCCCAATTTTCTGCATTCAGTATAAAGGGCTTACATTTTTAGAATATGTTTCTGATATATGCCTCATTTTGTATAGCATGTAGCTTTTATATATATTTATTGTAATAATATTGAAATAAATGAATAACTCAACTATGGTAGAGTCCTGTTGAATATCCTAATTTTATATTCATATTAATAATATGTGGACCATTATCATATCAAACTGAACAAGCTTAAAACACATACTAGTATCAAACATTATATTTTTGTTTGTTAAATTGTTTCAGACCGGAAACAAGTATCACTTGGTCTACAATGCTCCAATAGAAGTCGACATGAAGCTAAGGAGGCACAAACAACCCAGAACATTGCTGGAAACTTGATATCTTGTAAATACTGTGGCCAACAATTTGCTACTATCAAGATCTTATTATCCCATGAAAAAATCCACACTGGAGAAAATTTGTATTTTTGCAAGTACTGTAGTAAGGGATTTAAAACAAGTGGGTTGGGTGTTATACATGAATTAAGCCATACAGGAGAAAGACCATATGAATGTAGATTCTGTGACATTCGGTTTACGAGAGGTGATATTTTGAAGGCACATATGAGGATCCATACCTGAGAGAAACCTTTCCAGTGTAAACATTGTGAAAAAGGCTTCTATGATAAGAAATCTCTGGCCAAGCATAGCAACACACATACTGGAAAATAGCATAAGGAAAAGAATGATTTATGATATAAGGAAAATAATTATTTATACTGTACTTATGACTTATGTGACACATCATTTAGCAAATAATACATATACAGTAAGACCTGTCCTATGGTACAGCTCTCTTTGAGAAACTCTTCTATATATATATGTTAACCTATAATGAACATTTGTATTCAAGGAACAATCTTGGCCATTACTGATAATGTTCCAAGTATAGTTTCTATTCTGTAGGATATCTCAAGAATATACAAGAAACATAATGTCATGATGTTGATTTCCAAATTAGAAATGAAATATAGCCTACGCTACTAGAAGAATGTTCAGTAGGTAATGTACATAAACAAGTATTTTTCCAACTGAATGACCATGTCCAATGCATTGTGTTATTTTTTTGACTTTATTAAGATATTGAAATGATCCATACTGGAAAGACATGATCATAAGCTTACATAAACTATTAGGATTGTTGATGCAGCTTCAGTCAGAACTGAATATGCACATGCACTAAAAAGTTAAATCTAAATATATAAAAAACAATTCATAATTTCAGTGAAGCTGAAAGCAGCTTTTGCGAGAATCAAGCGGCTTGAAAGGAGAGTACATATGCTTGAAACTCTCGTGAAGAATGGAGATACAATAACACAACCAGGACATGGCAGCCTAAATACAGCAGATGGAACATTGAGTTTGAAAGCTCAACTACTGCAGAAGAATAAACATTTAGTTGGGAAAGATAAACAGGAAATGTTGCGGAGAGTAATAAGGGAGACATTTAGTCCTACTGAGCTTGCTAATGGTAACAGAACTGGGAGGAAATCATATTCATCTCCTGGTAAGTAGCAACCAACATTTCAATCAAGCACCGTAATACCTACTAGTATAATAAGTTAAACACCTTTGGTACCTTTAAAAAGTGTTCCATCTATGAGGGATTCCATTTAACATTAAATAAATAAGTCATGGAACTGTGTGAGTGATTGAGAGTGAGAAGTACACAAAGTCTAAGGTTTTACTGTATCAGCAGTCAATTAATTGGTTCACATGTTCATGTACTGCACTTTCTTTTGGTCACTCGGCTTCAAGATATTGACAACCCATCTCCTCCTTTTGACCATGTATTATAATATTTTGTCTGTTTATGTTTTCAAATCATTATCTGAAATATGGTGATTTAAGAAGAAAAATTGTATTCAAACATAAATTAATAGGCTTTAACTTGTACTCTATAAATTGTCAACTCCACACTGGTTTTGTTATGAGAATATTTTTTAATAAATAAAAAATAAAAATACCTTCAAAAAATTCCCATAAAAGGCAAGATGATGTTATAGAAAATGATGCTTTTATGCAATGTATCAATATATCTCATTATAACCACATTAATTATAAAGCTTCAAAATATAAAAATCCCAAATTATTGAAAACTTGGTGGATGTGATGCATAACATATTGTATAATAATCTCTTAATGTTGTCATTTTCAGAAGATGGGCCCAGAGGGAGACTGGATGAGGGAAAGTTGAACATGGTTGAAGAGATAGCCTTTGAGATAGGCTTTGATAGAGAAACATTTAACCAGAAATTTGACAATATGATCAAAGTTGAAAGGAGAAAGCAAAAATTGCAGAGCATGAACAAAATGCTTGGAGAACAGAAGTGAACAATGATAAACATTTCATTCGAGGAACAAACAAATAATCGACACTCATGTATTATGAGACAAAAGTTTTTTAAATACATCATTGCAGTTTGGCTATTTTACTCTCATCATGAAACATGGACAAAAACAGATATGTTGATTTATTTTGCACTGCTTAATATAAGATTCGATCATTACCTGGAATGACCTGACAATATAACAGGTCCCTTGATACAGGCATAACATTTTGTTACAAAGGAAGAGGAATGATCTATACAGGGTGTCAAATAAATATGTTCTCCCTCTTAATTTCGAGAGTAAGAACTTTTATACATAAAAGTGCATCTACTTGAGCTAGTCATCTGAAACTTCTTGTGGAGTTGCTCCATGAAGCCTACTTTTTATGTCCTAACGAACAATTCAGATATCTTGCAGACAAAAACGTTATGCAATATTATGTGGATGTTAAAGTTACAGGCGGAGAACATATTTATTTGACACCCTGTACTTCAACAATATCTGTCTGATGTATTTTATGATAACATTAGCTCATGTTTCCTATCATTTTTAAAATGTTTATGGTAAAACTATATCAGTGTTTGCATTTTGAAAATTTGGAATCTCCTTTTTAAAAACATGAATTTTACAGATTTAAATAAAGCTATAGCCCAATCCAGATTTAGAATTCTGACAATTTTAAGATTCCCTGGTGAGAAATACAGTTTTATTTGAATACATTATTTTAATGTCTTGAATGGGCTAAGAATGAACAAGAAAGAATATGCATTCTATAATCCTAGAGATGAATAACCATCACGTCAAGTGTATTATCTCTTACATAAATGTACATTTTGATATAGATTTGAACATCATGAAATGAATTTTGTTTTTATTTAAATTCTTAAAGGTATCCCATGTATTTTATAAGAGATTTTATAAGGTTTTAAATTTAGATTACACACTATGTTTTAGAATAGAAATATATAAGCATTAATTGCATAAATAAATCCCTGATCTGTATATTGTTTATTCTTTTACAAGACAATAAATTATCCCGATGAAAGAGGTTTGAATAAGGATATGGAGAGCTGTCCATCTGCCTATCATCCATCCACCCATCCACCCACCCACCCATCCACCCATCCACCCATCCACCCATCCACCCATCCACCCACCCACCTACCCAAAGTGCTCATTAGACTTGTCCTGGGTAATAAGTATAAATTTGATAGATAAGAATAAAGGATTATGATGACTATCCTGTCGAGGGCACTAAGTATATTCTTAGTATATTAGAATAAAGGACTATGATATTTGACCTGTCCGGGGTACTAAGCATATTAATCCATTAAAATAAATGTGTTTGGGGTACTAGGAATTATAATTAATATTAGAATAAAGGCAACTCGTCTGTCCCTTTGAAACAGCAAGGAATCTTGTCATTTAGAAAATCTGCGATCTTAATTTAGTTTTTTTGTCACCACCATAAGTGGTGATTAAATACATCAGTTTGCCAAATAAAAGGTCCATTTAACAGGATATTGGTCAACTTAACGTATTGTTATTGTGTCTAACTATTTTGTGGCTGTCGTTGGTGTTAGGAGTTTTGCATTTTGTAACAAATGGCAGGTGGTGACTTTTTGCATGTTAATGCCTTAATGAATTAGTTATAGTTAATTTCTGTTTGATTTCAGACTACTTTATCATGGTAAGCAGTGCACCCACACTGGAGACATCATACAATGATAGATCCAAACTGGAGACATACCAGGATACATCCACACTGGAGACATCATATATGCAGGAGCAAGGCTACAACTGTCAACTATGCTGCAAGACATTTTCATTAAAGAGCAGCCTGGACAGACACAAGCTCATCCACACGAGAGTTTCACTATTTAAATGTCCAGTTTGTAATAAAGAGGTATCCAGGAAGGACAGTCTTAGGAGGCATATGAGAACTCATGCTATTGAAGGAACAATTCAATATCAATAAAATAATGGCCTATATAAACCTCCACCCTGCAAATATGAACTCACGGCTAGAGTGTACAAGCTTTACATTTGAATGAGGTATGTTACACTAGGCCTATACATATGTATAAACCCCACCCTGCCTTAGGAGACAAATGTGAACTCATGGCTAGAGTGTACAAGCTTAATATTTGAATGACATATGTTACACTATATAAACCTCCACCCTGCCTTTGGAGACAAATCTGAACTCATGGCTAGAGTGTACAAGCTTAAAATTTGAATGAGATATGTTACACTATATAAACCTTCACCCTGCCTTTGGAGACAAATGTGAACTCATTGCTAGAGTGTACAAGCTTAAAATTTGAATGAGATATGTTACACTATATAAACCTTCACCCTGCCTTTGGAGACAAATGTGAACTTATGGCGAGAGTATACAAGCTTAAAAGAATGAGATATGTTACACTATACATATGTATAAACCTTCACCCTGCCTTTGGAGACAAATGTGAACTCATGGCTAGAGTGTACAAGCTTTACATTTGAATGAGATATGTTACACTATACATATGTATAAACCTCCACCCTGCCTTTGGAGACAAATGTGAATTCATGGCTAGAGTGTACAAGCTTTACATTTAAATGAGATATGTTACACTATACATATGTATAAACCTCCACCCTGCCTTTGGAGAAAAATGTGAACTCATGGCTAGAGTGTACAAGCTTTACATTTGAATGAGATATGTTACACTATATAAACCTAACCCTGCCTTTGGAGACAGATGTGAAATGATATTCTTGAGGGGACTAAAATATATTATGAATAAGATGTTCAAAGTTAGGCCTATATAAACTCTTCCTATTTGGAGGGGAAGAAAAACAAGAACTCATGTTCTTGAGGCGACTAATGGATCATTCATGAATGAGGTGTCAGATCACAATTTGAGACTTCCATGGGTTTATCTATATTATCATGAAATATATAATGCAACAATTCAATGAATTTTATTAATATTATACAGTATTATATTTTTCAAAAATGCAATTTGATAATGAATTTTTACATTAACAAATATGTTTAATAATTTTGATATGTTAATGTTGCAAAAATATGGCATGAGGGATTTTGTGGCTTCTTTTATAGTGAATTATTTATTTAAAGTTTGTATTTGTAGAATTTGAAATAAAATCGTACATAATATGGGGCTTGGAATCTCTTTCACTGAAACATTGGATTAAATTCTAAAAAATTGTGAGATATTGTTATGGTCAATGGTTTCCATTTTGTGACAGCTGTTTGTATCTGGTACTGACGTTTGGCATCTGTAACAAATGGCAGGTGGTGACATTTTGCATGTTAATGCCTTGAATGATATAATATACACTTAAATTATGTTATAATAATTGATTGTAATGCAATATATATATTTATTATATCACTATCTAGCTAGCGACAGTATGATTGGTCAAAACCGGGTCACATGTCGTGGGATATCTGGCGATATTCAATGGCAATGCTAATCAGATAAGACAACCGTGAGATATCTAGCGATATCCCACGCTCCCGGGAATTTTCAAAGAATTTGTTTTCGTTCAGTGTAAATAATTTAGTTCAGTGTAAGTCAAGATGGCAGACGAACCGAGTAGATTCAATGTATTTCAATGTTAACCTATTACTTAATAATATTAGGGATGTTTAGCTAGACAGTGATATAATAAAACAAATATTTCACTCTATTTTCGGTGAATACCTGTAGCATTTTCACAAGGTGATATTCCACTTGCCCTTCGGGCTTCGTGGAATATCACTTGTGAAAGATGTACAGGTATTCACCTCAATAGAGTGAAATATTTGTTCAATATTTCCGAAATAAAACTTGTTTTGTGGAACTGGAAATAATGTTTTATGAAATTTAATAATATAGTACTATCCAATGTGGGTGCCATTGTTTATTAGAAAAAAGGGTTTAATAAATGAAGAGCTAATAGCTGTAATTCTCATCACACATAAATTACTCTATTTTATTTGAATTCATATTGGTATGTAATTTATGCTTACATTACATTAACAATAGACTTTATTTGGATGTAAACCTTCATTTCTGTAATTTTCAAAACTTGAAATCAATTGTTTGTGTAGAATATGATTTAATTCAGAGAGTAGTTCTTTATTCAATTTGAAACTTGAACTGATAAGGTGATGAGGATTTTTTAAGCTGTGATATCTTTTAGAAACCCAAGATAAAACCCATAATCAATCCTGACAAGTAAATAAACTATTTATCCCATGATATCCATACACATTTTGAAATTATGATATAATATGCCAGATGCGAGTAGAAATAATCTTGATTTACGTCAGTCAAACTGATGTCATATTTGGAATCTACATGTAAAATTACATTTAGAAATGTGGTTTTGAAAAGACTTTATCAACTGAAACATGTGAAAATGTGACTTCTAGGTCGGGGAGATTCCCCATAGAGCCCATGTTGTAAAAAAAGTGAAATATCTTTTATTGTGTTGGGCAGATAATATTTTCTTTTACTGGACATATTTTAATTTGTATAACTATCAGATACATAAAGGTAATATGAAAAGTGAACCATTAAAACTGATGCATATTCAAGTTTAAGGGAATTTTGTAATACCCTGCCATGTTAATTCCCCCGAGTCAGCCACCTGGTGGCGAAACTTGTAACTACCTACTCGCATCTGAGTAATTGAATGAGCATCTAGCTTTCAATGAATTCATTTTCATTTCCAAATCCTTTAATGTTATCCTTGTACTTGCAACAAAAGGATTTCCAGATAAAGATCAGGGCCGTAGCCAGGATTTGTCAAGGGGAGTTACTTTTTTAAAAGTTCTAAGGGGGTTCAGTTTTGACAACTTTGACCCAAATATGCCCAAAATCACTTGAAAAATTGCATGGTTTTGAAAGAATTTTTGGCCCTCCCTGGCTACAGGGCTTAAGATTAACTGAATTTGTTTCATGGAAAGCATTTACAGCATGCAGAAAACACCATAATCTGTAGATATGACTGAGAAAGATAGAAAGTAGGCCTAAAAATATGTTTTTGAATGAAATCCTAAGAGGTGAATATGATGTTTATGAGAGGAATTGGAAAAAAAGAATAATATTTTGATCAGTATTTTCCAATTTCACAAGTTCACATTCATATTCACAAATATTTCCAAATTTCACAAACTCCCTGGCAATTATATTTATTTATTTATTGCATTGCCACAAATACAATGTACATGGGTCTAGTAAATTCTACAATATAAGATGATTATATGTAGTCAGTAGAGTACAATATGGGATAAAAATTATTTTGTATCATAATATTTATTTCATATTTAGGGTAGTTCAGCACTTTCACAAAAAATTGAAAACATTGGGGAAATGTCATTTCAGAATTTAATTGTCCAACATGGCAGCACATGATTAAAAAAACATATACTGTATATACCTCAATTTTATTTCCAGGACACATCGTGTTAACTGCAGCTCATTCGCCAAAAGTGAGACAACGATTTACTTGTGACATGTGCTTGAAACAATTCACTGCTCGGAGCAGTTTGGAGCGGCATCAGTTCACCCACACTGGAAAGAGATACTACAAATGCCCAGTATGTAACAGAGAGTTCGGAAGAAAGGACAATCTCAATAGACATATTGTCGGAACACACTCAATGCTAGGAACATGAAAGACGGAATAGTGTTAAGCCCAAGCTGGAATTACAATGAAATCAATTTTCAGGCTTGCGCACAGCACATGGAAACATAACCAGTTTTTTTGTGTAATTGAATCAATGAAATTTCAGAAATCTACATTTGTTTTTATCAAAAAGGCAAGTCAATCCGCCATCATTGACAAAGTAATTCTAAAGAAGTGTTTTAATAGGCCATATCCTTGATATTGCGTATGAAAGCAATGCAGATATGACTTATATAATGCCATATCTAGCGCACACCTAGATGACTTTATATGACATATATATATTATATTTGCATACACACAAGGAAATTCAAAGAATCTACTCCAATCGAGAACATTGTTCGAAAATTAGAGTGGTTGCATTTTGGGCTACTTTATATGTATATGAATCTTTTTGAAAAAATTAAGAATATTTACTACCATTACTTTATAGTTTATGCAATTTACTGATGCAAAAACATTAAATGTTGTTTTTGAATGTAAAATTGAGTATCTGCTGTAGCAATTTCTAGTAGGTATGTGTATATGATAGAAATAAAAAGAAATTAATGTAAAATGTTTTGTTAAATTGTCCACTCATGTAGAGGATCGATTGGAGGGTGATGTGTAGAAACCTCAATATAGTAAACCTGTCCCTAATCTGAATGATCCAGTGGGACCATCTAAAAGTGTTCAAAATAATAGGTGTTCAAAGTTTTATTTAACATGGGACTATGTAGAATAGAAACGAAGTGTTCAATGAAGGAAGAAATATTTTCAAAATCCATGTTGATTAAATCCCTAGTTTTAAACATTGAATTAAGCGTAAACCATTTTTTTCAAGCTGAAATCATCAGAAAAGATGGTTTATGACCAATTCTACAAAAGATTTTATTCAAAAGATAAAAAATTAGGGCTTACCAATCATTAACATGTAGTAATTAACATTTGTACATAGATGAACACCATGAATTTGGTTAATAAAAATCTTTATTTTATTTCCAGTTGTCTACAAAGTACAGGGAATCAAAGATCGACCTTTTAAATGTGAACTCTGCAACAAGACCTTCACTGAAAAATTTAACCTGAAGCGGCATGAAAAGGGACACTTGGGAAGAAGAGACTTCTTTTGCCAGTTATGCCTTCATACTTTCTCAAGGCAAGAGCATCTGAAACGACATTTGGCAAGGAAACATTTCAAAGATAGTTAAAGGCCCCATGTAAAGCTTGACTTGTATTGTACTTTTAGAAAAATTCAGGGGGCCTTTTTTTACAGCAATTGAAATATTGATGCTTAATTCTCTCTAGTGTACATGCTAGAATGTGTTCTGAATCTGAATTTGAGTAATTTAGAAAGACAACGGCATATGGTAATTACAGTGTCTGATGTCCCGTATCTCATTTTGATCGGTTAAATTAAAGACTTTATTTCGATGGTAGAACATTATTAACTGTACAATGAGTATTGAGACACTTTGATTGATTGTTGTTCCAAAGGAATTTAGTTTAGGTGCTGTATTAAACATACAGTCCATGTGTTGTGTATGGTATACTAGTGTTGTGTGTGGCAGAAACAATGTCATAAGACCATAATCTGAAAGACATCAGAGTATGCAAATAAAATATTACACTGAATTGTAGAATTTGGCATGATTGATTGGTTGATAAAGGCATACACTAAGAGGGTTAGAAATTAATGAAAAAATGTATATAATCTTATATTAGAATGTTACATGATTATGTATATGAATGACATTTGTATATCTTGGATTGCTTCTAGTTTGGCTTATAAAGTGTGTGGCCTCTTATATTTGGATGTTTCTCTGCCATGTTATTTTCAATAAGATTAACACGGCTGAAATTCTTCAAATTACAAGACGGCACAGGGTTATTGCACAAAAAACTAAAAAATCTGTAATATACAAATGTCATTCATGTACATTATGAATACACTTTTCCATATATTATTGCACAATGGTCTCCCAATTTCTTATTTTTGCCGTTCTACTGACGAAATGAAGCAGTGAAATGGACTCTAGCTTAAATATATTTTTTCGATTATCAGGCTCATTGCTTACATATCACATGTTCTAATAGTATACCCCATGAACAGATTTTTGAAAAACATTATTTTAAGTTACCTTTGATTTAATTGCTTTATTGCAAATGACACGTTTTCTTTAATCGTGTTATCATTGAAAATTGAATATATCTGTTTAGAGGTTTGAACATGGTGCTCAGAATTAAACCCGTGTTGGGTGTTTCCGTGGCGTGATACATTGACACAATAGTTATTGTAAATGATAGAGTTTGTTGGAAGGTTCAGTCCAGAATATCTTTCCAAGTAAGATTTTCTAGTTTTATAGAAGGTTCAAGGCAGAATGGATTCTTGACTATATTGGCAATTTCAATATGGCCTCCCTTTTGAAACTAAAATTTTTGCTATACTTTCATATTGTGTATCTTCCACACTTAGGACCCTCTCTTATTTTATGTTCGAATTATAAAATAGTGTCAATACTAAACAATAAAGGTAAATTCAGAGGGGGTCTGGTTTGTGGAAGTACCTCAATCTGTCAATGAATGGAGAAGGTCATTCACTGTTTACAACAAAAACACAATAGGGTGTCTTTTAATACAATAGGATTACTAACTATTTATGCATGAATGGTACATGAAATGAAGCTTAGTAGATTAGGAAACATTGTAATTCTTATATTGAAAAGTGAAATTAAGTCTATCTACAAAACTCAAGATTTTAATCAAGGTTCTGTGAAAATATGTCAAAATTACTCATTTGAAGAGTCAACATGATATGTGTTAAGAATCACTGTAAAAACACCTTTTTACCATTTTTTCCACATTATTTTTGTGATTTGTTGAAAATATACTTAATAAAGATTCAAATTGCATAAAAATAATTCTGGAATTCCATTTCACCATTTTCAATAATATTCTAAGTTCTTATAGGTACACTAATAGGTACGGATCCTTTAGAAAAACAAGATCCTCTTTTTATGTGTGAGTCTTAACATTTTTAAAAAAGTGCCAAGGTGGGGTCCTAATCCATAATATTTCAGAGAGTTAGCTTGATATTTTACTTTCATGGGGACTTCACTTGAAAGAAAACATATTATTTTCATAAAAAACACTGTATTGATGGCCATAAAGTACCCATGGTGAAAGATATGACTGTCTAAAATCACTTGCCATACTGCACATGGACCTTTAGAGAAATAAATATGATAATGTTACATAACAAAAAACAAAAAAAGTTATTGTTTTTGTAATATCTTGTTAATTATGTAGCAAAGTGCAATAAAGTAAATATGTGTACATATAAGTTCATCAGGTATACAGTGTTGGAAATAAGCATTTTTTGCACTTTATGGACAATTTTGTCCAGAAGTCACCATCAGATTTGAATCCCCAATCATCATCAATTTCACACATACTCAACATTCACACCATGACCATTCACATGCTTATCCTCAGAATGTTTTGGTTATGGTTTCCACTTTTTGTGGATGATATTGGGTGTTTGGTGTTGGGTTGTTGGTGTTCAGTGTTTTGTGGTTGGTGTTTGGTACTGGTGTCTGTAACAAATGGCAGGTGATGATGTTTTGCATGTTAATGCCTTGTTTATATTTACCAAAAAGTCGTGACATATTGATGTAGCCATGATTGTTATAGCTACCGTTTTTGTGACTGGTCGTTAATCAGTGTAGTTTTTGCATATAATTTTTGTTTGAACTTGTACCTGTAGCCAAATCCTTTTGATGACATGACAGAAGACTGCCATGTTTTAAAGATGATTTTAAAATTCATGTTTCGACAAATTCTAGGTGTACAACAGGATAGACACTACAGTCACTTCGGGAATACCAGAACATATCAGCCAAAGACAAGACCCGTCAGACCTCTTAGCAAACCACAACTTGTAAGTATGAGCCCCTGCCTAATATGTCATTGTGGACAATTGCAAGAAATCACCCATTCAATTAAAATACATCTCTTGTATATTGAACCTTTATTTTTGATCATCAAAACTATAAATGTTAATATTGAGAAAGTATTTATTGATTGTGTTAAACTTGTTTTTTGTATGTTTTGATCTAACAAACTGTTCTAACTGTTAGGAAGTCCATGGAACCAAAGAATTGCACTTTCAACACTCTGAAGATATTCAATGTTATAAGATAATGAGATTTTTATGTGAATTATTGGAATTTAAATATGAAATGAATATTATCTCTATGTAAATGACATGACATGATATTGTAATGATTGACCATTCACACACAGAAAGGCAAGGTGTGTCCAATTTCAGCCAATCCAAACAGAGTATTCACATAATGAACAGTGCGTGAAATATCAATAACGCATCTGTTGTGTACAGTTGAGCACACAATCGATGTACTGAGTCCAAGGCTTAAATCCTTAAATCATATGTGAACCTCTAACTAGATCAAAGGAATATTCCTTTCTATAGATGAAATTATATTTTAAAGTATTAAAATGGAACCATTGGAAAGGGTACCTTGTGGATATACCCTTTTAAAAAAAATATTTGACATGACATAAATATTTGACATGACAAATCAATGCATGTTTATGTAGTTTCATAGATTTCTCATATTTAGCATACATAAGCCTTGCCCAAGTCAGTCTTTTTTTTACTTATCTGATCTTGAATTATTACAAATATAAGTAAAAGAGACCGACTTGGGCAAGGCTAAGCATACATGTATATGGTGTAAACTAAAGTGTATCGGTTTATGTTGGAGAAACTTGTAAATGAAAAATTTGAAATATTCATTTTAGATCAGGGTCGGTGCACCAATTCCCGAAGGTCATACGAGACTTGTGAATGATGCAGAAGTTGTTGTCAAGCAAAGCTGGTTAGTTTCTGTTCTTGCATCTGCCATACCAAAACAGAAACACTACAATTCCATGTCAGAATATCCATCCAAGGTTATAAAGGCACTTATTGATGGAATGTATGAACCCCATGAGTTGTATAAAGAAGGTGGTGTGAACTTCTATGAGAGACATCAAGACTTTGCACCTGTCATTCACGCTCTAAGGGGTATGCATTTTTAGTATGATAGTACTCTTAAACCATGATGCGGAGTCTCACCTTATGAAATGTATATTTCTATGAAAGGGTTTGACACCTTTATTCAAATCTGAATGTGACTGTGACAGGCGAAAGGTGTTTGGATTAGCAGGTGTTCACAATTCAAGGTATCTTAATATGTAAGTCAATGGGAGATATCAGTTTGGAACCAAGAAAAAGTGTTCACATTAAGAGGTGTTTGGATTTGAGATGTGTTTGGATATATAGATTTTACTGTACAATTCATGTTTCATAAATGTGTTTTCCTTTTTGTTTCAGCATACACTGCTCTGTATCTAAAACAGCCTTCAACTGTATTCACAAAAGCATGGAACGAGAAAGTTCGTGCAAACAGACAAATCATGTCGAAATTCTCAAACCCAGCCAAGTAAAACAGCACCAAATAAACAATATCATTAATATCATACATTACTAGCAGGGACAGTGGGACACTTTATGAACACATTTGTGTGAACACTTTTGAACTGATACAGTAAACAAAGTTGTTCTCCCATTAAATTGGTTTTTTGTTGTTTTTTGTTTTAAAAATGTTTTTTGTTGTTGGTTAAATAGATAAGGGTGTGCTTTATATTGTTTATTTAATAGTACTAAGTTAATAGGATCATAAATACAAATTATGAGTAACTTTAGAATATATCAATTTTGATACGCAGTGACATTGCAGCTTACCAATTAAGATATCAGATACCTCCTCATACTATGACTGCTGCAGACTTTTCTGCGTAAGGTGGTAGAATCCCTGCTTCCTACGACACCTTGAACTTGCATCTGCATTCTGTGACTTACAGGGTGATAATTTCATATGACCAATACATCACTGAGATTTTCCTGTCAACTTGAAAATCCCTACAGTCTTCAGAAACCTGCCAAATTATGAATAGTGCAAAGAAAGGGACACGTGTTCATACATGGACTGACAGAATTTATGACAATGTGCATTTATACAATAATGTAACAATCCATGAACTACTAGTATATAATATTTTGGCACCCCAGGGACAGTGCGCCTTATTTACAATGGTCTCTGATGGTAGCATTGTGAATCAGTATGCACAACTTTAATATTTTTTATGGGGTTGAACCATACCATGTACATATGGAAAAGTAAAAGGACAACATTGTTCCATGAAACATTATTATTTTGTTTTTAACAAGATTACATTTTATATTTGTTTTATGTGATATGTGACTCTGAAAAGATAGTTTAGGATTGCCTGCAACTTAATGTGCATATAATTCTAAAATATGTAATTTTATTTAGGTTTTATTATTATCATTGTTACAGAAGCTGTTGCATAATATGATAATACTATACAGGCCTGTCAACTTGGGAACACCTAACATGAGTGACTTGGAAATGTTGAACACCTCCCCTCTAAATGTGGACACCTTGGTCCAAATCTGAACACCTCGATCCAAATTTTGAACACCTTGGTTTAAATTTTATTACATCTTGTGAAATTTTGAACACCTCAAATTTTTCGCGATCGCTACGCTTGCGTTTCAAACATCCATCAACGGGGGGGGGGGGGGGGGGGGGGGGGGTAGGTACGAACATTTTCGGGACGGAATGCATGACATATTAGTGATTCGCGTGAAAAGTCCGAACGAAATGCGTACGTTTTTTTTCGGCGTTCGTATTTTTGCTGTGTAGACGAACTTTTTTAGAAATTTTTCTACAGAAATTTTTTTGCTTGACAATTACCAGGTAAAATGCGTATTTGCGTGACATTTTCTGTCACGCAAAAATAACTGGCGTGACTTCAAATTCTTCAGCAAATGCGTGACAAATACGCAAATTGCGGGACAGTTGACAGGCCTGACTATAAGATACAGTAATATAAGATAATAGTATAATAATTGTTAGAATTAGGATCACTTACATGTATTGTATTGTATTTTGTTTACCACCAATGAAGGTGAGCAATACCTCTTGGGTATGTCCCGTATATATACGGTCGTAATTTACGTAATTAACATGGAAGATAGACCCAGAAACCCCTCCTTATACATAAACATATAAGTACACACCACAGCCTTTTTGTACGAGTTGCGGACCACTCAGTCAAACACCCTGAAGTACTTCACGCAAACAAGCAAATTTAGTCTTGCCTGAACCGGGGATCGAATCCGGGACCTATTGCGTAAAAGGTACCTGCGCTACCGCTGAGCTACTCGGGTGGACTACGGGTGGACTTAAGTAAGATTTGATGAGAGTACTTATTAGGTTTACCTAAGGTTTTATAATTATCAGTGTTACAAAAACTGTTGCATAATAAGATAATGATAAAATAATATGAGACACTATGAGATAATAGGATAATAATTGTCAGAATTAGGATCACTTACATGTATTAAGTAAGGTTTGATGAGGGTACTTATTAGGTTTACCTAAGGTTTTGTAATTATCAGTGTTACAAAAACTGTTGCATAATAAGATAATGATAAAATAATATGAGACACTATGAGATAATAGGATAATAATTGTCAGAATTAGGATCACTTACATGTATTAAGTAAGGTTTGATGAGGGTACTTATTAGGTTTACCTAAGGTTTTGTAATTATCAGTGTTACAAAAACTGTTGCATAATAAGATAATAGAAATAAGATAATATACTGTAGATTCATTTAATTTGACGCTCCTTAATTTGGCGGATTTGCTCAATTTCAAATATTGGCGGCTATTTAATTTGGCGGAGTCAGGACTGAGCTCAAGTTTCATCATAGACCTGGAAATAAACATTTCAGATTTATGTATTCTGCTTTCAATAAGTCTTGGTATAGCACTGACATCCAAATGGGAACATTTACACATTTAAGTGAAATAATTGCAAATTACAAATTCTCTAGGGATTTTCCAAAATACATCTGAAAATTGGTGGATTTTTAATTTGGCATATTTTTTCAATCCACCAATCCGTCAAATTAAAATGGTCGCCAAATTAAGTGTATCTAGAGTAATATGATAAGGAAATTGGATAACCATTGTCACTTACATGTAATTAACTTGTACAATAAATGTCAATTAAGAATTTTTAAAAATATGTCAAGTTTATTTTTGACGAACAATACAAGGTCCATTTATTTATGCAATTATTTCATAAAGCGTAACAAAACTGCATGTCTATGTACTTTCTAGTATAAGAGGTGAATACCTGTTTATCTTTCAATGATTCTACCAAGGGGTATTCCCCAAAAGCCCTAAAGGCCAGGGAATTTATCTTGCAGAATTATTGAATGTACGTGTGCTTGGCCGATGAATACATCTTCATATTTTTTGGTCACATGTATGGTATTGACTAGACCAAGGATAGAGTGGGGAAAATGACAGTGATATAATAAATGTATTTGTTTAACTCTTGATGATTTCTGGAGGAATTGGAGGTAAAACAAACTCAAACAAAGCAAATTCCATTTTAGTCTTGCTTTCATATCACACGCCTATTTATTTTGCGATTTAACAGTACATTTTCTAAAATATATAAATACAGGGTGGTCCAAAAAAAGTGAACCCCTGCAACTGGCCATATTTCCCTTATTACTTGCAGGAATTCTTTTTTATTTTCACATGTTGTAGAGGAAGGTCTAAAATTTATGTTGGTACCATACATTTTTCTTAGTCTTGAAATTTGCAGAAATTATAAGCCCTAACCAAACATTACTGAAAATGGACAAATTGTGATTTTCAATATCCGCGATTCTTCAACCCTTTAACACCTTTCCCCTGAGAATTTTTTAAGCTGCAGTCTTAAAGAACTAATATTTTCTGACTTTGTTCAATTTTAAATCCTGCACATTATGGCTTAAAACTAGCATTCTACATTTGTTAGTTGCAAAGCTATTGTTATCCAAAGAGATGTGCTAAGCTTCCACAGACGAAAACATTTTCCAGTGAAATCATGAACATACCCCTATATGATCTTGAAATGTCAATATCTTCATAAATCATGGACCAATTCTAATGATATATGGCTCAAAACATTGAATATTGAATTTTCTTTTGATTTTTTAAAGATATTTGATGAAGGGGTTATCAGATTCCTGGTCACAGGGGGCAACTTCCTTCCATAAGAGGCCCCCCTCTAACTGTTGGTGTAGGTAACATACCCCTGAACTGTTGAACGGTTTAAAATGCTTCAAAATGATCAATGAAAGTGTGAAATGTGTTTTCTGCTTGAATAGTGTCCCTTTTGTCATATGGTAGGGTTTTAAACTTGTATCTCTAACAGAAAGCTGTTTAAAATCATCCAATGTGTTTCAACAATTTCCGTGAATCACATTTGTAAAATTTTGTACAATATCTAATTTCCAGGCATGTTTGTTAAACGCTTGTAATTTCTTCAAAATTTAAGACTGAGAATAAATTATGTCATCAACCAAAATTTTAGACCTTTCTCTACAACATGTGATAATATGAGCCAATTCATGCATGTATTAAGAAAAATGTAGCCTGTTGCAGGGGTTCACTTTTTTTTGGACCACCCTGTATACTTCTGAATTTTCTAGCAGAAATTGCCTCCTCCCCTTCTGTTTTACGGCCTGAGAGAGGAAAAATATGTTGATGTCCTCCTTTTTGGTCATCGTGAAATAAGGCCAGGTCTATCTCAATTACATGACAATGCATCTTCAAAAATCACTAAATATAAAAAATGCTTTAATAAATGATCCAAATGGGACTTTCAGATACCAAACTTATGGAGGGGAGTGTACTTATTCAAAATCCTCCAAGAATAGCCAAAATGCTTACTGTTTGTTTTTGTTTCCAGGTCACCTAAGACTCCACACTACAATGGCAATGACATCACCAATGACATCATCAATGACATCATCTGGGCCTTCTAGTTCGCAGCTTCACTCCTTTATGGCATATTCCTGTCCATTATGTCTTCAGCAATTCAAACACAAGTCGTCTCGTGCAAGGCACATGTTAATCCACACTGGAGTGAAGCCATTCAAATGTGAATTCTGTGATGATACATTTTCTCGTAAAGATACACTGAAGATCCATATGTTGAAACATCATGTTAACACACAGAATCTCAAAGTGGAATGAAACACTTAATGTTGACATGTATAATATTGAAACTTTGGGTGCCTACTGGGGTTAAGCCTTTCAAATGTGAATTTTGTGAAGATACATTTTCTCGTAAAGATACACTGAAGAACCATATGTTTAAACATCATTTTAAATCTAACACATAGAATCCCAAAGTGGAATGACAAACTTAATTTTAGTATTTTTTTAATATTAATTAATTTTAAAATTAATTAACTTAATATTGCCCTGTATAACTTTGAAACTTTGGGTCTATACTGGGGTTACTGGGGTTCAAATGTGAGTTCTGTGAAGATACATTGTCCTGTAAAGATACATTAAACAACCATATGTTGAAATATCATGTTAACACACAGAATCTCAAATAGTGGAATGAAATTTAATGTAGACCTCCATATCATTAAAACTGGCTCCATACTTTGGGTAACGTAGCCATTCAAATGTGAAACCTGTAAAGATACATTCTCCTGTAAAGATACATTGTGAACAACCATATGGTGTTAACACACAGAATACCAAAGTGGAACAACAAACTTAATGAAGACCTCCATAAATTTGAAAGTCAAGGTTTGACTTTTGACAAGTTTTTGAATGACATTAAGAAATGGCTTCCAGAGGGGGTTCACAGTGACAAAATAATATATTGGGTTCAATCATTTTAAACAAAAAATTAATTCTGTTATACATTAATTGTATACATAGATTGTATAAGAAAGGTAATTTTTTGGGGTAAGTGCATAACATGGCACTGTACCATAGAATAAATGTGGTGTAGACTAATTGGCACCCTATATGCCAAAGCCTCTCATACTATCATGAGTCAAATTTTGAATTAGAAAATGTCTAAGCCCTTGCAGATTTATGTATTACCCTTACAAACAATTTACTTGAGCCTCTTACAAAAATGCCATGGCACCGTGCCATGTTTTGCACTCACAAATGTTTTGGTAAATGTAAAAATGTTTGACAATACTTTTGAGGCTGCTTCTATTTTATGTGTTATAAAGTAGTTCTTGCATAGATGTTGTACCAAGTACTTATTTGTAAAATATTGATATTGTGACGTCTCTGTTGTGACATCCTTGTTGTGACATACTAAACATGTGGAACTGCCTTGATAAACTGTCGTTGTATTATTTTGAATGCTACAAAACAAAGTTTTATTTAGAATTCATGTTTTTGTGTTGGTTAAATAGATAAGGGTGTGCTTTATATTGTTTATTTAATAGTACTAAGTTAATAGGATCATAAATACAAATTATGAGTTACTTTAGAATATGTCCATTTTGAAAAATATGCAGTGATATTGCATACCAATTAAGATATCAGATACCTCCTTATGCTAGGACTGCTGCAGACTTTTCTGTATAAGGTTTTAGAATCCCGCTTGCTACGAAACCTTGAACTTGCATCTGCATTCTGCGACCTACAGGGTGATAATTTTATATGACTAATATATCACTGAGATTTTCCTGTCAACTTGAAAATCCCTACAGTCTTCAGAAACCTCCCAAATTATGAATAGTGCAAAGAAAGGGACATGTGTTCAAACATGAATAAGGATGTCCATGGACTGACAGAATTTATGAATTTATGACAATGTGCATTTATACAATAATGTAACAATTCATGAACTACTAGTATATAATATTTTTGGCACCCCAGGGACAGTGCGCCGTTTTACAATGGTCTCTGCATACTAGCATTGTGAATCAGTATGTACAACTTGACTTTGAGGGTGTACAATCTTTTAGAATATTTATAGGGTCAAACCAAACCATGGAAATATGGAAGAGTAAAAGGACAGTATCATTCCATGAAACAGCATCATTTTGTTTTTAACGAGATTACATTTTATATTTGTTTTATGAGATATGTGACTATAGTTGAGAACTTGAGGATTACCTGCAACTTAATGTGCATAAAATTCTAAGATATGTAATTGTTTACCTTAGGTTTTATTATCAGTGGAACAAAAACTGTTGCATAATAAGATAATAAGATAAGATACATGTACCGTAATATAAGATAATAGGATAATAATTGTCAGAATTAGGATTACACATGTATTAAGTAAGGTTTGATGAGGGTACTTGTTAGGTTTACCTCAAGTTTTATAATTATCAGTGTTACAAAAACTGATGCATAATAAGATAATAGTAATAAGATAATATACTGTAGATACATTTAATTTGACGCTACTTAATTTGGCTGATTTGCTCAATTTCAAATATTGGTGGCTATTTAATTTGGTGGAGTCAGAACTGAGCTCAAGTTTCATCATAGATCTGGAAATAAACATTTCAGATTTATGTATTCTGCTTTCAATAAGTCTTGGTATAGCACTGACACCCAAATAGGAACATTTACACATTTAAGTGAAATAATTGCAAATTACAAATTCTGAAAATTGGCGGATTTTTAATTTGGCGGATTTTTCAATCAACCAATCCGTCAAATTAAAACTGTAGCCAAATTAAGTGTATCTAGAGTAATATGATAAGGAAATTGAATAACCATCGTCACTTACATGTAATTAACTAGTACAATAAATGTCAATTAAGAATTTTTAAAAATATGTCAAGTTTATTTTTGACTAACAATACAAGGTACATTTTATTTATGCAAATATTTCATAAAGCGTAACAAAACTGCTATGTATTTTCTAGTACAAGGGGTGAATACCTATTTATCTTTCAAGGTTTCTACCAAGGGGTATTCCCCAAAAGCCCAAAAGGTCAGGGAATTTACCTTGCCGAATTATTGAACGTACATGTGCTTGGCCAATGAATACGTCTCCATATTTTTTGGTCACATGTATGGTATCGACCAAGGATAGAGTGGGGAAAATGACAGTGGTATAATAAATGTATTTGTTTAACTCTTGATGATTTCTGGAAGAAATGATGGTTAAACAAACTCAAACAAAGCAAATTCCATTTCAGTCTTGCTTTCTATATCACACACCTATTTATTTTGCGATTTAACATTAAATTATCTCATGAATATAAATCTAAATTTTCTAGCAGAAATTGCCTCCTCCCCTTCTGTTTTACGGCCTGAGAGAGGAAAAATCTGTTGATGTGCTCCTTTTTGGTCATTGCCCTTAGGCCTATAAATGAGCACATTTTTATGAAATAAGGCCAGGGCTATCTAAGAAAATAGACATGACAACGAATACTAGTATTGTGTTAAATATTAAAATTCAAGTCAACCTTATTTCCTATCTCTATCCAATGCTGCTGAAATACACTCCTGTCTATAAGTTTGGTAACCTAAAGTTTCCATTGGATTGCATATCAAACGCACCAATATTTGAATCCTTTGTTTCTTAATTACAATTTTTACAGTACTAATTTTTACTACCACTATAAATAAATAAACTAAACTAAACTAAACTAAACTACAATAGGAAATATGATATGAAATGCATTTTCAAAAATCACTAAATATAAAAAATGCTTTAATAAGTGATCCAAATGGGACTTTCGGATACCAAACTTATGGAGGGGAGTGTACTTATCCAAAATCGTCCAAGAATAGCCTAAATGTTAATGCTTACTGTTTATTTTTGTTTCCAGGTCACCTAAGACTCCACTCTACAATGGCAATGACATCACAGATGACATCATCTGGCCCTTCAATGACATCATCAATGACATCATCTGGCCCTTCTAGTTCACAGCCTCACTCCTCAATGGCACATTCCTGTCCGTTATGTCTTCAGCAATTCAAACACAAGTGGACTCGTACAAGGCACATGTTAATCCACACTGGAGTGAAGCCATTCAAATGTGAATTTTGTGAAGATACATTCTCTCGTAAAGATACACTGAAGATCCATATGTTGAAACATCATGTTAATTTATCTAACACACAGAATCCCCAAGTGGAATGAAACACTTGATGTAGACCTCTTGCAAGGCACATGTTAATCCACACTGGAGTGAAGCCATTCAAATGTGAATTTTGTGAAGATACATTCTCTCGTAAAGATACACTGAAGATCCATATGTTGAAACATCATGTTAGCACACAGAATCCCAAAGTGGAATGAAACACTTAATGTTGACATGTATAATATTGAAACTTTGGGTGCCTACTGGGGTTAAGCCTTTCAAATTTGAATTCTGTGATGATACATTTTCTCTTAAAGATACAACAATGAAGAGCCATATGTTGAAACATCATTTAAAAACTAACACATAGAATCCAAAAGTGGAATGACAAACTTAATTTTAGTATATTTTTTTAATATTAATTAATTTTAAAATTAATTAACTTAATATTGCCCTGTGTAACATTGAAACTTTGGCGCCGAAACTTTGGGTCCATACTGGGGTTAAGCTGTTCAAATTCTTATGTCAAGATACATTGAACAACCATATGTTGAAACAGCATGTTAACACACAGAATACCAAAGTGGAATGAAATGTAGACCTCCATATCATTAAAACTCTGGGTCCATACTCAGGTTAAATAGCCATTCAAATGTGAGTTCTGTGAAGATACATTCTCCTGTAAAGATACATTGAACAACCATATGGTAAAACACCATGTTAACACATAGAATCCCAAAGTGGAATGAAACACTTAATGTAGACCTCCATATCATTAAAACTCTGGGTCCATACTTGGGTTAACGTAGCCATTTAAATGTGAAACCTGTAAAGATACATTCTCCTGTAAAGATACATTGTGAACAGCCATATGGTAAAACACCATGTTAACACACAGAATCCCAAAGTGGAATGAAACACTTGATGTAGACCTCTATAACATTAAAACTCTGGGTCCATACTTGGTTTAACGTAGCCATTTAAATGTGAAACCTGTAAAGATACATTCTCCTGTAAAGATACATTGAACAACCATATGGTGAAACACCATGTTAACACACAGAACACCAAAGTGGAAGAACAAACTTAATGTTGACCTCCATAAAGTTGAAAGTCAGAATTTGACTTTTGACAAGTTTTTGAATGACATTAAGAAATGGCTGCCACAGTGACAAAATAATATATTGGGTTCAATCGTTATAAACAAAAAATTATACATAAATTAGTATATATACAAAAGGTAATTCTGGGGGGTAAGTGCATAACATGGCACTGTACCATAGAATAAATGTGGCATAGGCTAATTGGCACCCCCTGTGCCAAAGACTCGGATACTATCATGATTCTGAATTAGAAAATGTCTATGCCCTTGCAGATTTATGTCTTACCCTTACAAACAATGTTCTTGAGCCTCTTACAAAAATGCCATGGCACTGTGCCATGTTTTGCACTCACAAATTTTTGGGTAAATGTTAAAATGTTTGACAATACTTTTGAGGCTGCTTTTAGTAGTTCTTGCATAGATGTTGTACCAAGTACTTATTTGTAAAATATTGTTATTGTGACATCCTTATTGTGACTAACTTGTGGAACTGCCTTGATAAACTGTCATTGTATTATTTTGAATGCTACAAAACTTGAAATAGAAATAAATTAAAATAAAAATGTCTTCGCAATGATGTATATATTTGTATGTATTTATTATGTCACCACCAGAAGTGTTGAAATGACGAAACAGGAAGTGATAAAAAATGTTGCATTTTTAGACATTTTTCGAACAAAGATAACAGTGTTCTGTTTGGACCTCCAGTCAATTTAACTATTTCCATATATCATTTACATGACCAGGATCACATTGTGCATGGTGAGAATGTCCTTAAACATGATGAAACAACCTTTTCAGCCCTTTGAAAATGTATCTGAAAAATAGCTAAAAGTAGGAGATAGGGAAGGTCACTGAACAGAATCTTTTGAATTTTTCAGAAAAAGTGACCAACATAATATATGCTCTAACTGGTACAATCTTTGAAATTTTAGAAAATAGTCTGAAACAAAAATGGCGGTCATAAAAAGGAATGACCATGGACATTATGATCCTGGTCATGTAAATGATATGTGGAACTAGTTGAATTGACTGGAGGTCAAAACAGAACTCTGTTATCTACAGATCTATGTTCAAAAAATGTCTAAAAATGCAAAATTTTTGTCACTTCATGTTTTGTCATTTCCTGTTAAGTATCATGGCACCTTAACTTAATTTTCCTTCAACTACAAATGTCTGTCAACATTCTTTTGAATATCACTATGATATGGAATAAATAGTTTATCCTATAGTTGATTTACAATTGCGTAGATATAATATTGGCCTCAAAATAATCTCAATCTCATCATGAACCTCAAATAATAATACAGTGTAGATATGCAATAATGTACAAGAGAATAATGAGTTGGAAGTACTATAATTAAAAAAAAATAACAGCATAATATCAGTACTTATTGTATAAGTATTATTATGTAATCATTCGCTTTGGCATATTAAATTCTAATTACTTCATTTTGGCATATTATATTCTAAATACTTCATTTTGGCATATTAAATTCTAAATACTTCATTTTGGCATATTAAATTCTAAATACTTCATTTTGGCATATTGAATTCTAATTACTTCATTTTGGCATATTTAATTCTAAATATTTCATTTTGGCATATTTAATTCTAAATAATTCATTTTGGCATATTTAATTCTAAATACTTCATTTTGGCACATTAAATTATAAATAATTCATTTTGGCATATTAAATTCTTAATACTCTATTTTGGCATATTAAATTCTAAATACTTCATTTGCATAATAAATTCTAGATACTTCATTTTGGCATATTTAATTCTAAATACTTCATCTTGGCATATTTAATTCTAAATACTTCATCTTGGCATATTTAATTCTAAATACTTTGGCATATTAAATTCTAAATACTTCATTTTGGCATATTTAATTCTTAATACTTCATTTTGGGATATTAAATTCTAAATACTTCATTTTGGCATATTAAATTCTAAATTCTTCATTTTGGCATATTAATTCTAAATACTTCATTTTGGCATATTTAATTCTTAATACTTCATTTTGGCATATTAAATTTTAAATACTTCATTTTGGCATATTAGATTCTAAATACTTCATTTTGGCATATTAAATTCTAAATACTTCATTTTGGCATATTAATTCTAAATACTTCATTTTGGCATATTTAATTCTTAATACCTCATTTTGGCATATTAATTTTTAAATACTTCATTTTGGCATATTAAATTCTAATTCCTTCATTTTGGCATATTAAATTCTAAGTACTTCATTTTGGCATAATAAATACTAAATACTTCATTTTGGCATATTTAATTCTAAATACTTCATCTTGGCATATTTAATTCTAAATACTCCATCTTGGCATATTAAATTCAAAATACTGCATTTTGGCATTATAAATTCTAAATACTTCATCTTGGCATATTTAATTCTAAATACTTCATCTTGGCATATTAAATTCTAAATACTTCATTTTGGCATATTAAATTCTAAATACTTCATTTTGGCATATTTAATTCCAATTAATTATTTAAAAGGTTACATTGATTGTCATCATAAATCAAATAAACAATTCTGACATCCCATTAATATGGATTTTTAATGTCTATTATTCTCAATCTCGTGGCACATGGTTCCTAAGCTTTTACACAGGCATTATTGCTTAAACAGTAAAACATCTTTAAATGGATCACAGGAACACCTTTAGTACCTCTTAAAAGCGTTCCACTTGGGAGGTGTTCCTTCTTGAGAAGTTCAATTAACAAAAGATTCCGGGGCTGTGAAAAGTGTTCCACTTGTGAAAGTGTTCCACTTCATGAGGTTCATTATTCATTTCGGAATACAGTATTGAAATCTAGATAGTTATTCCTAATTCAAAATAATTGAATTGATTAACCAGTATGGTCTACAACTAATATTATATGGATTTCTAATTTCTATTGTCCTCACTGCACACATACCGTTTCTTAACACAATTACTGTTACGTTCTAACCCAATTGATAGGATGTTGCCTTGTTTAATCCAATTTGAACAATAATTGGACAATTTCAGAAGAACCAATATTCAGGCTGCAGCCGATAAACCATTGACTTTTCCCCATGGAGCAAGATTAGCTCACCAAGATGCGGTTCTATATTGGGCTAGCATAATAGGCAAAAATTTCATTGATTTTCCAATATTTCCAACATTTCCAGAGTGCAACACAGATGGTCTCAGGGAACGAGGGAAGAAGGTAAGAACATGGATGCAAGGGTGCTATTTACATAGATTCTATGTGGTCTTTAATGCTACATCATCTCTAAAGCACTTGTACCTAGCTCATGGAACCTGTATCTAAATAGCTCCTGCTTGCAATATCAGAAAAACTACATTGCCTTGATGCTAAAGCTAGACTTCAAAGCTACTAATCTGTTAAGCAAGGATATAACAGGAATACACAGTTCCGCATTTTCTCTTGTTTTACCTGGAAAATAAAGCTTCTAATTTGTAAGCTAAATAGGCAAAATAATGATGAGTATGTTTGTCGCTACAGTCATCCATATATTTTTTATTTTATAGTTAAGTATTTTTCTTTCTCAGAGCTAGAGAGGGATCATCATGAACAATCAATTTTTGTGGAGTTAAGATTTTAGCAGCATCATCAAGCAATATTACACGAGATGAACTAAATTAATTTCCTTATTTCAGTGGAGACATATGTGAGGCAGACAACAAAGGAAATACTGAAGACCCTTATTAAAGTGGCACAAGGGATAAATGATATAACACTACAAACTATCAACTAATTACTGACATTTGGATAATTAAAACAATAAAAGATATATGAACATAAAACACCTGTGTGTTACAGATGTACAGATTGTAATATCATCTCATCAATAATTACTGTTATCGCAATCTGTCAGCTAATTTACAGAAAACATCGTAATCAAGACATCCAATCCTCTTTTAGAAGGCATATTGATAGGACGCAGAAATAGACCTTTATCTAGTCGTCAACACATGGGATTATCTAAGATAGTATGGATGGAAATAAAGCAACCAAAACATAAATAAAAATATCTATTAAGAAGAGAAAAGCGTTGGACTTTGAGATAGTTTATTCTAAAAATCTGAGTGACATTATTGATTAAACTGTCAAACATACATTGCTGGAGGACTATCAATTGGAAGCACATTATTGAACTTGTAAAAGGTATAAAATCAACATTTTTGCAAGATAATTATTAAATTAAGCAAAAATGCAAGATTACAATAAAGATATGAAATCAGCTTTTTTGCAAGAGAATAAAGATATGAAATCAACTTTTTTGTAAGATAATAAAAATATGAAATCAACTTTTTGCAAAAATAAAGATATGAAATCAACTTTTTTGCAAGATAATAAAGATATGAAATCAACTTTTTGCAAGATAAAAAAGATATGAAATCAACTTTTTGCAAGATAATAAAGATATGAAATCAACTTTTTTTGCAAGAGAATAAAGATATGAAATCAACTTTTTGCTAGAAAATAAAGATATGAAATCAACTTTTTTGCAAGAGAATAAAGATATGAAATCAACTTTTTGCTAGAAAATAAAGATATGAAATCAACTTTTTTGCAAGAGAATAAAGATATGAAATCAACTTTTTTGCAAGATTATAAAAATATGAAATCAACTTTTTGCAAAAATAAGGATATGAAAAACTCTTTTGCAAGATAATAAAGATATGAATTCAACTTTTTTGCAAGATAATAAAAATATGAAATCAACTTTTTGCAAAAATAAGGATATGAAATTAACTCTTGCAAGATAATAAAGATATGAAATCAACTTTTTTGCAAAATAATAAAAATATGAAATCAACTTTTTGCAAGATAATAAAAATATGAAATCAACTTTTTTGCAAGATAATAAATATAAAATATATGAAATCAACTTTTTTTGAAAAGATAATAGTGATATAAAATCAACATTTTTGTAAGATAATAAAACAAAAATCTACATTACTACAACATAATAAAGAAATGAAATCAACTTTTTGCAAGATAAAGGTATAAAATCAACATTTTTGCAAGATAATATTCATAAACAAAGAAAATCAATTCTTCATCAATTATTCAACTCTTACACTGTCATGATGCTCTTACACACTATATTAGCTAACTCGTCGATAAAACAATGATTCCTAAAGAGGGTTTAGGTGAAACAGAAATATGCGAATCAGAATGGGGATTTGAGTATTTTTCCTTATATAATCTCTCATGGATACTTATCTTGCTTTGTAATGCTCTTAAGTTGACTAATATTATTTATTTGGGCTTACACACTTTCATTGTAGTATTTGCTGTATTAAAACCATAATTTACTACCTATAGAAAATTAAGTTCAAATTTTGGGTATCTTAGTACTATAGTACTTGGATTAACCATCAGTGTATGTGTTCTTATAGCAAGATTTAATACCTAGATTTACACACAATAACTGAAAAATTGAATAATCTTTAAGTGCAAATAATGCAATGATTTCAAATTACATAATCATGAAAACTGCCATGTATTACATAGGTTTTTAAGATTATTTCAAATTATAACAGAATATACCTTAAACAGGCATGGTAGCAACAATAAATCAGTCTGCAAACATTATTTGAAATTCCTTTTTATACTTGCAGAATACAAAGAGCCAAGATGTATCTAACTTGCGATAAGGTTCCACGGGAAGTGAGAGTCAGTTATATTTTAACTGGATATCGCCCGACTGACACAACATTCAAATACTGCTGCAAAAGCACATTGGGACTCCACAACGAAACATTCAACATTTGGAGCCATCTCCTGCCATTGTTGTACTTTATATGGATCGCTGTTGATATACATCATGATCTATCAGGACAGACTAACATAACATGTAGCTTCTTGCCATTATATTGCAACATGGCGGGGGTCTGCGTGTTAATGCTTTTGAGCTCATTGGCGCATATCTTCCACGCTGTATCACATAAGTGGCGCCATCTTTGTTTCATGTGCGACTATGCAGCTATAGGATTTTATGGTGTCAGCGCTGCCATTCCTGGATACTACTACTCAAGATACTCAAAATATTGGATAACTGATCCAAATATTTTCATTGCGTTGTCAATTATGTCTGCTGTCATAGCAACCATTGGTTGTTGCTACACAAGGATCGACATGCACAATAAGTACATTTACTACATCCGCACAGGGACATATGTGTTTCCATATGTCGTCAGTAGCACACCAATGTTTTGTCGGATTTTTCTGGAACCTGAGTCAATGGATAGTACATCTCAGTTTATATATTTTAAGCATGTTCTTTTCATGGTGCTGGCTGCCATTTTTAATGTTACTAGGATACCAGAAAGATGGTCACCAGGGACATTTGACATCATCGGTCAGAGCCATCAGATTTTCCATATACTTATATTTTTGGGTGTTAAAGAATGTTTATATGTGATGGTTCATGATATAAAAACTAGGAACTTTGACGCCATCTATGAAACCAACACAGAACCAACTTTATTTTCCACATTTGGAAATATGTTAATTCTAACCTTGCTGTCCATTGGTGTTGTGCTCAGGTTTTGGCAAGAGATTCAAAAACAAAAAGTAAAACGGCACAAAAACCCTAAAGCAGTTCACCAAGATTAACAATAACTTAAGATATAGATTTGCACTTTATGTCTATGCATTTTACATGTTTTAATTGAATTCCATATTAACCCCACAAGAAAGCCAGAAACAGTATTCCAAAAAATTAGAGTACATGTACATTATAATACAGTATGTTAAAATAAGTAGTTTTAAGTACTTTATACATGGAACACCTCTGTAAATGGAATATTTTTCATGATCAAAGCCCCATATACTTGGAACACCTCTGTAAATGGAACATTTTTAATGATCAAAGTCCCATATACGTGGAACACCTCTGTAAATGGAACATTTTTAATGGTCAAGGTCCCATATACGTGACTGTAAAATGGAACATTTTAATGATCAAAGTCCAATTTGGCAATGAGCTGCAACTTGACATGCTCTTAATCTGCTGATGCTAATTCTGGCTCATGTGCTGAGGAGAGTTCTTATCTCCATACAGCAAATTACAATGAATTAATTGGCCATTTTTCAGTTGCCCTGTTATTTAAATGTTCAATATACATTTATACCATTGCACTTAGCTTTATATCTATACTTTATAAGTGTTATATGTACTTTACATATTAATTTTTTTCTTTAATAAATGATATCTTAGAGTGTTGTAAATTTCAATAATATTTTCCATATTCATCTTTATAAATCTCTAATTTTGTGATTATACAAATTGTTGATGAAGGATAAGATCCCCTGCTTGTCTCAATTATGATCCCTTCTTCCTTTTATTAGACCCTTATTTTCCACTGTAAGACCCCATCCTTCTTCAGATTAGACCATTCATCCTCCTAACAGACATCCTTTCCTCATTAGACCTCTATTTATTGAGGCTTTTGAAAACTGGCATGAAATAAGTCTAACAATATAATACTTTTTTATGGTTTTAAAAAATTCCCAATGAAAATTACAAAAATGCATTGTAGTATACATACAAATATATGTACATTTGTTTTTTTATTGCATTGATACAGTTGTACACGTCATGCATATTTCAAAAAAACATATCTTGTTGTCATCTATTAGAGATAAAGTCAATTGTAGTAAATATGTATCTGAAATACTGTAACTTGGGGTATTTGGCACCTACTTTATTTTGGTGATTTCGAAAATTTGCCAGTCTAGCCTACTGTACATCTTTGCGAAAATTCATACGTAAACTAAAAAAATGTAATTGAAACAATGTTCTTATTTCTTATTACATGGACAATAAATATAAAACAATCAAAAATAGATACAGTAACTGTATTATTATTATAAGAGGTAAGAGATGGAAATAACTCAAAAATTGTTTGCCAAATATTGTTTATATTCCATATGCATATGCTATATTCCAACAACTTCAGATTTGAAAAAGAAATAAACAAAAAACACTTCAGATTGTAATATTAAGTATTAAATAGATGGCACCCCAATTGCCCCCCTTTGCCTCTGAATAGTCTTAATGCAATAAGATTATAATCACAATGTTTATAACGTGACAATAACGTAAACTATAACTGTTATGGCACAGCATCTGACCCATTTTCCACTCCATTTCTCTCTATTTTCTTGCATTTGTATATGATTCAAAGCGTTCGAATTTCAATATTTTAATTTCGCTTCTTTCATACAGAGCTGTTCTCTTCCTTCATCTCATACTAATCTCAATTAGATTGTGTGTTTACTTTGAGTTTTCAAACATGAATTAAAGATGTCACTCCAAAATCAATATCGCATTGCTGACTCTAACAGTATTGGTTTAGCTTTCTCTAAAATATCCAATTAGATTGCTTATTCACTTTGATTCCTCTTTTGATCACTTAACTTGATTGCGTTTTCAAACCTGAATTAAAGATGTCACTCCAATATCAATATCGCATTGCTGACTCTAACAGTATTGGTTTAGCTTTCTCTAAAATATCCAAATCAGGGTCCAGAGATCGACCAAGTCCCTCGAGGACAAATATCGCCAACATAACTGATGCAAACTGACTCTCCATCTTGATCCGATGACGTCGCAGAAGAGAGAAAACATCAGAGAGGAGGACGCCAACCTGGATCTGAAACAAAAAGTAAAATTTTAGCTTGAGATGAGCAGAGTGGGAGGGATTTGGACATGTTTAAAAGAATGACGTCAGATTACAACACATTCCTAAAGTCGGAGAGGGTTCTATATTCGCCAGATTATTCACTCTAATTGCAGTGAATTGCCCTACCTTATATAATTTTAATAATGATGATGTAAATTGAATGAGAATTGACTCTCCAAAGGCAAGTAATCCTCAAAACACATTGAGTATTTTCCATTTGGAGGTTGAGATTCGATGGCCATGTTTTTCATTACATGTACTTTGTGAGGTTTCAGATATAATAGGGAGATAACTATCAGAAAAAATATACATCTCCCTCAGGATAAATCCTAAACTAAAAACCTCTCATTTTGTTTCTATGGTAATTCAAATTAAAGAATGCATTTTTGGAATAACATCATCATTTCCGATGGAAAGTTTTAATGAGATTATAATAGTGATTCCATTTTTGAGTCGCCCTAATCATTATGTATTTACCTGTCCTAGTGATATGGTACTGGCTCTTGCGGTGTTCACCAAATCAGCCATTTCACTCTTAAAACATTCAATGTCTTTGCATTCCACACATTTTGTATTTGTCAGGAATAATTCTGCAACTTTCTCTCCCTGTAGAACAACATACATGCACATGTTTATACATGTAGGATATAACATAATGGACGGCTTAGTATATTTGAAAATTATTTTTTACATTTTTTTATCCCTTTGGTTACTTTTTCAGAATGAAAGTTTAAGAGTAGTATTAAGAGTCCAAGAAACTTTAAGCATTTTATATTGTTTTTTATACAGTGGTTTAATGATGTAGGCTGTTGGGATTTCAAAACACCAAATTCAATTCGGCAAACCCCAGCAGGATTCAAATTAATTTAGAATATAAACTATACCAGCTTATGCTTCACAGTCAGAGCTGTATGTTGTAATAAAACTCACATTCCCTTGGACAACAGCTGTGAACACTTCCCGGAAGTTCTGAAGATCTGATTTGCTGAGCGATGATGTTATCCCTGCATCAACGAGAATTAGTCTGAGGGGACATTCTACAGATTTTACATTAATCATGACAGTGTCACCAAGGTCTAGTATCACAAGCTTGTTGTCGTCCTGCAATAAAAAATTGATTAACATTGTAATAGGAGACCAGGAGGAGATGTACACTTCCTTCTTACAATTACTTCTGTAATGACCCTCGATAGCAAGTCACTACTACAATCTATGCTGAAGTGGCTAGCCCCTTTGGTTAAAGCGGTAGAGCGTCAGTCTTGTGTGTAGTGGGTCCTGGGTTGGATTCCCACACGGGGCATTATATTAAGCACACTCCCCTTCAGAAGTATCTGGCTCGTTGCACTACAGCTCCTCAGCAAGCATGTCAATAGGTTGTTACACTTCATACTAGGTGTGTAGTACATGTACAAGGGTAATCAATAGGAAATGGGGCTTTTCTAAACAGTAAAACATCCATAAAGACTGCATCTTAAAAAAAATTCAAAATTTGATGAAATTAAATCATTAATTAAACAAGTAAAAGAAAATTATTTTCAGATTACCTTTTGAGATTTTTTGTTTATCTTATTTATCTTAGTAAGCACAAAAAGACCTCTCAAATGAGCCATGGTTTATGTCTTAACTATTTTTCCTTGCATATAGACCAAAAAGTCGGATTTGAATTTAGCACATTTTCCTCTTAATCTTGGGCACATTTTTGGCTCTGTAGCACAATTCAAATTTTTGTGATAAGACTGGTTTTCATATGGCCAGGCTCAAATAATGAATTTTTTTAATGTTATATCTGTAAGGGTTGTTGTTGTTCATTTTTATGTCATGTTTTTGTGAGAATCTTATTCAAAGTTACCCAGGCACTGATGAATAATGAATATGATGTGAATTGAATGTTTCTATGTTTCTATAGCAGCAGGCTGAATCACAAATGGTATCACACCACTAAATAATAGACTAGTATAAGTAGATATGGCCATTTTGAACATTCCTTCTTGAACAGAGGTCCAATGGCACAAAGGCAACAGCATATCAAATATTAGCTAGATCAACCAAATGATATCGACAGGCCCATAGCCAGGGGGGGGGGGGGGTTGGGCAGCCATTTTGAATTGTCTGCCACCTTGGAAATACCAACTAGAGCAGAATCCTATTTCTCAGCATATAATAGTTGAACAAAAACTGAGAGATCAAAGGTAAAATTTGTCATGAAAAATGGTGCCCATCAATTGTCAATTAAACAAAATCAATGCTTGGTAGATTTTGAACATGCCATTTTTGATGGCCATTTTAAATTCGCAACAATATCAACAATTCCTTCTCGAGCAGAGGTCCCGGATGGCCATGAAGCATCAGTTATTGAGTACACAGCATTAACTTCTTAAAGTGCTAATGTGAAATAAATCTCTAATAAGAAAAAAGATACTCTTGCAAAAGAGCTTCTTTATCATAAATATATTTAGTGCTGTGATATCCAATATGCTGATAAGTCACACTGACCTAATTATATTCCCATCCCAGGTAAATATTGATCGAATGCATCCTTTGGTTGCATCTACTCCAAGAAGTTTTATTCAAAAAATCAACGGCCATTTAAAGTGGATAGTATCAATTCATTTTGCTGGGAAATTAACATTAATATAACAACAAATAAAAATAAATAAATACAGTAAGTGGAAAGTTTTATATTATTCTCTGTCTGTAATGTAATAGATGAAGCAAACTGTAGACAAATATTATTTATAAAAAATAGCCCTAAATATTATTTCCCAACAAAAAATTTAAAACACAAAAGAGACCAAAAAATTACTTCAAATCTTTTACTTCAATTTCTGTTTATGAATTTATTAAAAGTCAGGTATAAATGTCAGAAAAACGACATTTTCAATGTTGGGGTCGATCAAGGTCACTAGAATGTCGTCCTTTCTCCAACAGTTTTTCAAACTTCAGAGGCCTGGGAATCATTTTAATGATCGCTTTTGAATAATATCAATGCTGTTTTAAATAGTTTTCATGTATTCCAATAATTTCTCAAATTGTGTAAATGGTACCCTTCCTTAATCCCGTGAATTTTCTCTTTGATAAATTTCCCATAGTAATCTAATGATACAGTTCCAAGCAGATTTTGAGATAACAGAAAAGTTAATCATTAATACACACCTCATTGGCTTGTGATATAAACCAAAACAACCCAATAAGGTGTGTATAAATGATTAACTTTCCTGATACCTCAAAAGCTGCTTGGAACTATACCATTGGATTACTATGGGAAATCCTCAAAGAGAAAATTCTTGGGATTTAGAAAGGGATACCATTTACACAATTTTAGAAATAATTGGCAATTGATGTGATTGCGTCTTCAAATTATGCAGGTAACATAGTCTGACTCCTAGAATAGTCCTTTTCATTTGGACTTCTCATAGCAAAATATTGCCTCTTTCAGACTATGGAGTGGATTGTGCAGTACTTTCGCCCTAGCTATTACATTCCACTGAGGCCTGTGCACACTTTTGAGGAATGGATGTTTGGACACAATATGTTGACTGTTTATTTCCTCCTATTCACATCCTGGCTGAACTTTACCAATGAAAAAGAGAATGAGCTCGGAAACTTCCTGTATGATATCAATATCAACCCAGGCCCTATCTTGGAGGAATGCCGTACAGTGCAAGACATTGTTGACAATCCAAAATGTTTCAATCCTGCTGTCAATCAACAGAGGGAGAATATTCTTGATGCAATGGCATTTAAAGGAAAACTCATTCACAATGGAATTACTGAAAGAGCTATTCAACAGTGTATATTTGAGATATGCGATTCGGTTAAATGCATAGACAGACTGCTAAAACAAAACCTAAATGTTGAAAGACTAAAAAATTGTCATGTGACCGTGGACATGTTAATTGAACTCACCACAAACTCTGAGTCTGATACTTTCTACAATACGGTATACATGGAGAGTTTAAATTGGACATTTGGAAAAGCCATGTCTGAATATTCATGTGGAATATTTGGATTTTGTACATATGTTTTAGTTTTTGTTTTTTGTCAAATCCTTGTAAAACCTGGTAATATTGTAGGCAACATTCGACTATTGGAAGAGGTCGAGTCTGAAATGAAAACACCATGGCCAGGTAGGGAGAGATTAGTTTGTATTACAGAGTTGGGCTTGAAAATAATATTGGCAATTGTGTATTTAATTATTACACTGGCATGTTATGGTTGGGATAACACTGGATTTCTTGTTATAGTGAATGTCTGTTTTCATCCATCACATCTTGCAAGAAGAATATACATTGAACCAATTGTTCATGTACTTATAGTTGCGCTATGGATGTATAGTATGTTCCAATGTTTGTACGCTTGGTACATGAGTTGTTTCTTACTCTTTGGATTGATATTATTAAAATGTATGTTGATGTTGTCGGAAACACATGTCTCTGTCAGAGATAGCCCCGTGGGAGCAACTTGTTCAATTGATGCAAAGAGACTGTTTCAGGTACCTTGTTTTCTTAATCAGGACATAATACATACTACAATAACTGATGTATTGATGGTAGCAGAAAATGGTTTGGGAAATATAAGAATGGAACTAGAGCCTTTCGTCGGTAAGATTGCAATGGCAGACATTGAGAAAATTGAGTATGACAGATTAAGCAATCAGTTACGTAACAATAGCAGATTATGCAAGTCGTTAAGTAATGTGAGACTCGAGAATATCAATAGCTCTGAGTTAATTAATAAAATGATTGTCCCATCCCTGAGAAACAATACGATAGAGTCAATTGAGATCATTGACAACTATGATCTAACAGATGAATGTGATTTAATATCAGATGTATTGATTGCAGAAAATCGCAGTTTAAAGGTCTTAGAAATAAGATTTGAGCCCAAGTCAGGTTTTCAACATATGTTTCACTGGTTATGTTATGGGCCAAGGTCCAATATCCAGTTAACATCAGTAGGCGTTGAGAAATTATTACAAGGATGTGTTCAGAGACTGGAAACAGCTCCCTTAAATAGTATTATAATCACTGGTTATACACCAGGGAAAGAATATCTTGAATATCATTGTGCACAACTTAGGTTTAAACGTATCTACGTATTTGTTGAGCCATAGATTTGAATTTTCATAGAAAACTATGATGATGTACACTGTACAGACAGGGACAGCGAACGGAGAAACAGTAATGCAGTTACAACTAGAGAAAAAGAAAAGTATTTAAGTATATTAAATAAGCCATGTATTTTAAAATTGATAATGTTGATCCATGATCGTTGAATGGCCCCTCTGCACTAATTGTTGCACCTTTAAATAAGCCATATATTTTAAAATTGATAATGTTGTAAGTGTTCTATACATTCAGGAGGGTGTCAAGTATATGTATGTATTTCATATTATTAAATAAGCCATATATTTTAAAATTGATAATGTTGTAAGTGCTCTTAACATTCAGGAGGATGTCGAGTGTATGTATGTATTTTACATATTCAGTATATTAAATAAGCCATATATTTGCAAAAACTGGCTACAATATGTTAATAATAATATGGTTCCAATATACAGGGTGTCAAATAAGTATGCTCTCCCTCCTTGACTTTAGCATCCACATAATATTGCATTAATTTTTTGTCTACATGATATCTAAATTGTTCTTTAGCACATTAAAACTAGGCTTCATGGAGCAACTCCACAAGAAGTTTCAGATAACACACTGAACTAGATGCACTTTTATGCACAAAAGTTCATTATTCTGAAATTAAGGGGAGAACAAATTTATTTGACACCCTGTTTTTAATCTTGCTTTGAAACACAGTACATGTATCTATTTACCTCTGGAGTATAAACATCTGCATTCTGCACTAGTATGTTGCCCGGATGTAAGTCACCATGTACCAAGTTATCAAGGAACACCTAGAGGTAAAAAATTTAAATTAGTATACAATTTAGGATGAAGGTTATCCAAATTATTAAAATAAATTCTTACGCACGATACATAACAAGTTGGGCCTTGGAGAACAGTTTTTAAGTCCAAAAATATGTATATAATATAATATGTATAAAATATGTGCTATTATTATATTCAATTTATGTTTAATCGAGCAGTATATCCACTTTAAATTATTTGTATTTTGATTTATTGTTATATGAAGAAAATAAGAAATAAATTAAAAAAAATATGTCAAGGTTTTTGAAATATGTACAAGTAGCCACCCCCCCCCCCTCCTTAGAACCAATAACTCTGTGTACGGTTGAATAATGTTTTGAAATTGTACTTAATAAGATTTCTTGTTTTGTCTGAATGTAATATTTGTGTATCACAAAAGTGATTCCAATAAATGAATATCAAGGCATTGACATGCAAAATGTCACCACCTGCCATTTGTTACAAAAACCAAACGCCAACCTCCAAACGCTGAACACTGTCCACAAAAAAGTTGGAGACTGTAACAATATATCACCACTTGTGTATACTAAGTACATAAAGGAATCATACCATTTTCAGAAGAGTATCTACGACAACATCAGCCAGTTTATTCTGTATGGTATTAGGGCCTACAAGGTCTGATGTGTCTAATTCTGTTGAGTCGTCAGACACATCTCCTATTCCTCCTTCCACAAATTCTGATATATGAGGGCCTTCCTAGAAAAAAATGGACAGGAAACAGATTTTTTGGTTGTATATAAAATGAATATTGATGATTTACAGTCAAAATATTTATAATTTCAACAACTGAGGAAAAGAATATTGAATCACAAATTCATTTAGGATAGAGCATGGGCTTTCAATATTATTACAAATTATAGCAGAAATGCTCATTCTTATTCATTGAGATAGACTTTAATTTATTGTCATATAATGAAACTCAATGAGGGAATTGCATTTACATATAGTATGTTTATCATCCACCACTCTCAGGGTTCTTGCTAGAATTTAGACAATGGTACTGCGCCACTGTATAAAATCCTCGTGAGAGCCCCGATTCTGGTTCTGGTGGATTCTGGTGGATGTACAGTAATAAACATACTATATCTAGTTATAATAAAAATATTACCTCAAACTTTATGTAAGCACATCACCATCTAGTAGATGTAAAAACATACTATATCTATCAGAAACAAGTCAAATTCTTTACTTCAGAGAATATTTTTAATTTATTGAGACTTTCGACTAATATCCCTTAGTCTTTTTCAAAATATAACAGCATGTATAATATTTATATATTTATATATTTATATTCCTTTACAACATACTACAGTATATCTAGTTATAATAAAAATATTACCTCAAATGTTTCAATCATGACATCTCGTTTGCAGTATGGCCTTATTGGTAAAGGAAATCGAACACATGGTACGTCACTGAAGTTTGTAATAAACTGTTCGAGACAATCAGCCTCATAACGCAGATCAATCTGAAGAAAAAAAAAAGTATTATATCTCTAGAATGTGATTGGTTTAACAAAGGTCACATGACAAGAATATGCTGCCATGCGATGATTAATGATTCTTGAAAACGAAAATTTTGTATAGAACATTATAAACTTCAACCTAAAATATTTCTTACAGATTTTTTTTTCAAATCCTGGCTTTAGATTTAGGTCCTATAACTTTGATCTGACTTGGACAAGGTCCATTCGTATATGACATCTTAATCAGGATAGATGAGGTAACAAAATGAGAAAGACATCTGAATAATAAAACAAATATTTCATTCCATTTTAGGGAAATACATTTGCTACCTGAATCAATAAGAACATCTTGACCTCTAGGCATTGGGGAATATGACAAGTCAAAGATGCATAGGTTAATGTAATATGCCTCAATGGAGGAAATTCGATGTAAAATGTGTTATACATGTATGTTCCGTTATTCTAATAATGCTAGTATGCCAAAAACATAATCAGTTCTGCACTAGTATGTGCTCTTGCATCTATAAAATTGACAAAGTTGACAGGTAAGCAGTTGTCATGGAATTTCGATGACAAGATTTCTGTGGCGGCAACCCACCCAGCAGCACAAAATGATGATGATGTATACTACAGGGTGTGACAAACATATACTACAGGGTGTGACAAACATACCTGTCTTTTCATAAGGTCAGCAAATTCTTCAACACAATCTTTAAGGCTCAACCAGCGTAAGCTTGGCACAATAAACTCCAGGGATTGTGCTAGGAAGCGCAATATCTTCAGATCTCTGTTCACAGTGCTATAGACACCAGGATGCAGCACCTGAAATATCATTAAGAAATTATGTTACTTTTCAACTCTCTTAGCTATCAGTGTACCAGGGGTTTCACTGGAATTTCTCACAACAGGCTAATTAAATGAAAACGACAGGAACAATTAATGGTAATCAAAAAGGATAGGTATCGATATGGAGAACTGAATTCAACAATGTTTTTCTCTTAAACCAATCATTGAAAACATTCTGTTAAAAAAACATGGTATTTTATGTAATGTTGACTGATTGACAACAATTTAATGCAAAAATTATTTATAAATATTTTATATAACTGTAACATTTTTTGTTTTTTTAGTGCAATTGTTTTTGCTCCTTTCTACCAATCCTTGAGAATGAAATAAAATGTCTTTTTGAACATATATATATAGCATATACAACATGTTTTTAGACCTCTCAATATTAAAGTTATACAAAGGAATTTTTGGTTGATTTTAAAAAAGTATTCAAAAAATTAAAACAAAATCCCCCCAAAATAGATAAAAAATCAAGAAAACCTTTTATTTCATTAACAAGATACTTTTTTAAAATCAACCAAAATTTCCTTTGTACAATTACAATATTGAGAGACCTAAACATGTTGTGTTTATGTCGTTTTGTTCCGATGAGGTTCGGAAAGATGTTTCATTTCACTCTGGAAACATGATACCAAGAACAAAACAAGTGTTTGATGTGTTTTTTAAAACAATATAGATGAAAGTATGTATATCTATTTCAAATTATATTGTTACCATTCAAAAGATGGCCATTAAATTGACAATTTGTAAGATTTTCAGAAATTTTTGATTACTAGTTAAAGAGAAACGTGTGTTCAAAAAGTTCGCCATATCGATACCCATTCTTTAACATGGAAAAGTTGAAAAGTCCCTAAAACAACAGGCAATTTTGTGAAAACAACCAGTGAAAATCGCCTCTTGCACACTGAAACCCCTGCAATGTACCCTCCAAGTTTTCTTGAAATTATAAATTCTGTAAGTGAAATGTCAATTCCGCAATGTCCCCTATAATATTTTTATAAACATTGTGCTATTTCTCTATGATTTCATAATTATCATAATTAGCCTAAATGTAAACACCATGGAAACAGATCTATGAACTCAGATTATATCAGTGTTTCTCTGCAAAGGTTTCAATTTTTACATTTCTGTTTTATCATAATATTAATTCCCTCTCCTGAATACTCTCATGTATTTCCCACAAGAAATCTCATTTATTTCTATCAAAGGTTAAGTCAGTCAGTCAGTCTTACGCCAATTTAAGAACATTTCAAATTGGCCCCCTTGGCTTGGGATTTCGGAGTTTTTAACCAATAAGAACAATATCTACAGTATATAGCTGTATATAACATTGAATCATTGCAAATTTCAACTCGATTCCTCTGTGGAGCTTTTGTATTTCATCAACCAAACCTCGTACCTTTACTGCAACTGGGATCAGTCCTTCAAGATCATCATTGTCAGTCTGATGTTTCTTTGGTCTCACATCAACAATAGAACTTGAATCTTTAGTAGTTTCATCTTGACTGCCTTTAAAATATGAGAAACAAGGCATTTACATGATGAGTTGTCAATATTTTGTTATTTATTGCAAATACATGTACTTATAAAATGTAATAATTTGTTTCAGAAGTTTAACATCAGTGCAAACAACACTAATTGTGGCACAATAAAATGACACAAATGCAATTTCATATGCATGTACATGTACATTTATGTGCAGAATTATATATTTACTTGGTAGACATTAAAACCTGTTATGTTATATGTGCCATGTTTGATTACAGAGAAAGTAAATAAAAATCTTATGAGATCTACATCCATGCAAGATCAAAAACATGACTTTCCCCCGAATCAAACATTCCAACCAAGTGAACAAGGTTTTGAAGTTACCCAAATATCTGTACTCCAAATGTGAAACAATAGAGAGATTTCCCAGAAATGGTTATGGCTAAAACATATCTGCGACCACATCTCATTTTTACTGAATTACTACACATAAATCAAGTGAATGCGTTACAGATTTAAGATGCATTGAGCTAAAAACATTGTGAGAAAACTCACTTGAGTCAAGTTTTACCCTCTGACTTACAAATCATATTTTAATGGATTACCTTCAGATTGGGAAAGTTGTTCAGCTTCCCTTGCTTCACGTCTACTTTGGGCCGCTGATTTTAACTCTGCTTCTTGCTTATCAAGATCTTGGTCTCTGTTACCATATAAAGCACCAAACCCTAGCACCTCTAGTCCTACAATATCATACAGATCAATTTGTGTTACAATTTTATGATATCATTGTCAATTGATATTGTACATTACCCATCATGATAAACCATGGCATCTCATTTCTTCTCAGTCCTGAGATTCAGGTGAAACAGAAAGATCCTATGAGTATCAGAATGTACATTACCTTGTTATGTTGCACATATTATTTGGTTAGACCTTTCTACTTATTAATATGGATATGTTTTGTGATTTCATGTTTATATGCCAAGAACACATGTTAGAGCTTTAGAATCTCATATCTGAATCTGTTACAAGGAGGAACTCAGGAATATTATGATCGCTTAATTCCTAATGTTAACACTGAAGCAGGGATGGGACTGAAACAGACAGACTTCTAGTAAAATTGCTACTCAATGTTGTCCCCAGGTGTAAATATATACTTAAAGGGATATATTTGAAATGAATAAGAAAATTTATCTTTAGATTGTTAACTGTTGATTTCAACTGGAAACAATATTAAAGGCTTATACACATTCATGTAGAGTTAAACTGGAGAAATAAACAATATTTGTCAAAATTAAATTCAATAATCATCATATTTTTCTGCATTCTTTTTTTTGTTATTCACTTTCTTAACTATTTCTTTCTTAATTATTACTTTATGCTTAATCAAATAATGCTCCAAAAATAAGGTTGGGGACTAATGAGTTAATATACAAAGCATCTCAGGTGTCAAGCATAGAAAGCATCATATTGTGTAGATATAAGTAGGGGGGGGGGGGCTTACCAAATTTAAAACATACCATGAGTCTCTGCTTCAAACCCAAGTACCTCAAAACCTTCAAGATTATTGTAATTGAGTATATTTTACAAAATAAACCACTCACCAATGTCTATAGATAATGTTTGCCTAGTGAGAAAACTTTGTTGGGAATAGTGAGCAATTGCAAACTTTTTGAAATTGTTATAATAAATCAGCATCCGACAAATGTATAATAACGCAGATGCGAGTAGGTAGTTACCAATTTGACCACCAGGTGCCTCGTTCGGGTCAGATAGCATGGCGGGTATAGGAGAAAGTTTCCTTTAACTTAAATTACATCTATTTTAGTGGTTCAATTTTCATATAACCTTTGTGTATCTCATAGTTATGCAAATTAAAATATGTCCAGTAAAAGAAAATGGTATTTGTCAAATAAAAGAAAAGATATTTCACTTTTTGTGATTTTGTAACATAGGTCTATAGGGAATCAACCCGAACTAGAAGTCACATTTTCAAAAAAATTAAAATTTCAAAGTTGATAAACAATTTTCGAAACCATATTTCTAGATGTACTTTTACATGTAGAATTCAAATATGTCATCACTTTGACTGAATTTTGAATATCTAATGACGTAAAGTCAAGATTACTTCTACTCGCATCTGGTCTATTATAATCAAATATTTCATATTAAGTCATTAATAAAACTTGTGGTGAATATACAAAAATGGGTCTCTGACTGTGTTCTATGCACCTTGCTCTAAAATATTTTTCTTTGAAATAAAAAGTAAATAAAAATTAAAAATGGATCAAAGACAAGAGCGTGACAATCTACTCGCAAACGTTTACTGTGACTCCTTACAGAAAAATTGTGAATTTACCTTCAAAGAAATCTGGTGTGTCGTCATCATCATCTAAGACTTCATTATGAATCTCTTCAAGTAGACTCTCATCTGGGATCATGTCTTCCTTCATATAGGCATGATACACCTGTAATATATGCAAACAACCATCACTAAAAACTAAGAGTTTTTCTGACTAAGGTTTGTAAGATTTGATATAAGTGTACATGGACCTCAGTTTCTTATTTGAGTCAGCTCAGGTTTTCTCAAATGTAATATGGTTCATGAAAAAAGAAATGTACATGTAGTTGACATTTTCGTTTTATATGTTTCATAGGTTTTGGGGTTTTGTTTTGTTTTCCCAATGTTGCCTTGTAATTTGTCAATGTCATTATAATATACAGTAAGACCTGTGTAAAGGTATATTGTTTAACATTTTTTGCCAAGAAAAAAATGTTCAGTGTTGGTTTAGGTGTTCACTACAGAGAGGGTAATTTATACAGAAGTCAGTAGAGTATGTGAGGTGAAAGAGCATCCAATAGAGACAGGTGTTCACGTTCACTAATTTAAAGACAGGTTTCACTGTATTATTTCAATTTCACCATCAAAAGTCAAAACCATTTGCTGGGAATCTCATTTCAGATGACATACCTGAGCAATACAACCAGATCCAACTGGCTTTCTGTTGTTGTCGAACTTCACAAGGATAGTGCGCCATCTTTTTCCAAATGCTCGCTCAAAGGTTTTCTTTGTGTAGAGCCAAGAATGAGGAGTAACTCTCCTGAACAACTTGCCAAACTTTTCGCAAAACTGAACTGAAAAGATATCTCGACGAGTACTAGCCCATTGTCCAAATTTGATAAAGGCTGGGCCTGAGTTCTCTACAGACTGAATAAACCAGCGATACCAGAAATCTGTCACACCCTGGCTGATATAAGTAGTAGGGTATAGGATAATAATCGGCATAAACCGTATTGTTATTCTGCAAATTCTCCAAGCAAGTCTAATTGTCTGCCATATTTTGATCAGGATCTTCGTGATGAAATATCTTTTTGGTTGTTTCTTTACTGTATCTTTTTTGAAGACTTCTTTTGGAATGTTTGCTAGGCGTTCCGGATCAGGATCATATAATGGTTTATCAGACACAGGTTTTCTTTCTCTTATCATTTGTAAAGGAGACATCCATGCAAGGGAATATCCACCTGTTAGCAGTAACGTCAATCCATTTTTGACACATGATATGTTTGGTTTCCTAGGAAACCTAGAGCTATGTTTTGTTCTAATTATATTTTTATATTGTCTGGTTAATTTTGGTATATGTTTACAGGCTCCAGAAAGGCCAGGTCGCAATAATTTTGAGAACATTTTGTGGACGTTATAAGACTTTATGGAATTAGAGACAGTACACTCCTGCTATACTGTCCATTGTTTCATTATTGTTCTGCATCTTTCCCTGGACGTGTACTTGTACATTTTGCATAAGTTGTTCTATTATGTCCTGTTACACACAAATATCTAAAAAAAATAAAACAGAATAGATTCATCTTGTGATTACGATATTGTTTTGAGTCAATGCATGAGAATCTAACAGTCTAAGTCGCCTTTGTATGAAATTAGTGATGGAAGCTGGACAGAACTGGATAAATCTAGAAAACTCAAGCCATCCACTGCAATATATTGAATTGGCAATTATATGTAAAAAGTATCAAGTAGCAAAGTAGTACATCATGAATAAACTAAACCAAGTGACTATAAAGGCAGCATTAAAGTACCAATCAGACAAAGAAGTGGAAGATAATCTTTATCTTGTGAACTTTTTTAATTTTTTCTGAAAATAAACTCATAAAAGTCTTCTAAACTGAAATTTGGCCAAATTTCAGCACATTTCATGGCAAAATATAGCTATATTTGGAAAATCAATTAAGCAATACATACCAAAGCTGCTCATGAAACGTTTTACACTGATTTAAGTGCTCTATTATCATTCAAAAGCACAGGTCTGCAATTTTTTATTTTCTTTTTTTCCACCATGATAAGGACTGAATAATGAAACCGAAACTGAAATTCAATTTTATCAAATACAAGGGAATATTATAATTCTCAAAATTTAAACTGAAGTTTAATCAAGTTATTTTTGGATGGATTTGCAAATACTTACTTCTGAGAAACAGAATTGATCAACTAAAGGGTCAAGGCTGAAAGGTCACCTTGAAAAGTTGTCTGTCAAGAACATTTTATTTTATTGGACGGAATTGATTAGATCTACTTTTAATTGTGAGATCTCTTTAAAATCGTGATGAAATTATGTCGGAGGCTAATTGATATAAATTGAGAGCAAATTAAACATAAAAGAGTGGTCAGAATAACATATTTATAAGTCTAATCACAAAACTCACATATTATCGCCCACTTAATAATTACTTAAAGCTGAAAATAATTGTTTGGCCTTTGTACACTGTACAAATCGGTTTGTAATGAAGCAACAGGAAAATCAAATAGTTTATCTATTTTATATATGCATTTGTTTCATTCCAGATTGACTTTTATCACAGTGTTGGTCAGCCAGCCCATAACAGTGACTAGTTTAGCCGAAGAATACCAAGTGTGCAGCAGTATCATTCGTTCAATGCCGACATGGCACTAGTTACACTGACATCATTTCGCAATATTTGCAACAAATGTCACAACATACAAATACAACTTATAAATAGTAACTACAGAACTTCTTTGACAAGATCTATCAAATTTAGTGCTTCAGAAAATCCATATTTGAAACAAAGTATAGCAGAGGATGATAAAACTGTTAATAGGCTATACAAAGGACTAGTAGACAAGAAAAGGTCCTGTCTCGCAGAGGCTATCACCCTAGTTGAGTCATCTCATCCTCGTAAGAAAGCCCAGGCTCAAATTCTGTTAGCGCAAGTTTTAAAATACTGCCAGAAAAAAGCCAAACATTCGTTACACAGCTCAAGCTCTTTATCATTTAGGATAGGTAAGGAAAAATCATCACTGAAAAAATCTATAATGCAGACAATTTAACTGCATATAAAAGTACAAAGTAATATACAAAACATATACAAAACAATATAATAGAATACTAAGCTCTGAGGTTGTATTAAGTACATGTACAGTAAAACCTGCCCGATGGAATACCTATCTGTTGGGAAAACCTATGAACAAGGAATGCTTTTCAAAAGAACCAAATATTTTTCCATTGCTGGGTTGATGAAACTTGAAATTTACAAATATGCTTCTTCGGCAAGTTTGAGTTTGCTGAAAGTGAGGCCCCTCTCTATAGGGAAAACCTCTGAACAAGGAAACTTTCCTCCAGTTCCAAGAGCATTCCCTGTTCGTAAGTTTTACTGTACATGTCTCTAATTGCTACACATATAAATCATATACTATGAGGTTATATAATGGTTCTTTCTGTTTATCGTGTTTATACTCGAGTGAGTATATGATATATTCACAAGTGAGCGTAGCGAACGAGTGAATATATTATATTCTCACGAGAGTATAAAATGCACGATATACAGAATGAATCATTTATATAATCTTATTATCTATGCCACTCTAAGTTCAATTACAGTTGATTCGAACACAATCATAACAATTAAAAACCATAAAAATATCCCATAGCCAACTTAATAATTTATGACGTGGCTTGATTCTAGCAAATCATGCCGGAACCATTTATGACGTCACTTGATTCTAGGAAATCATGAAAATTTTGGAGTGTCGGAACTCCTCATTCGCTCCGCTCATTCGAGGGACACAACAGTCTGTGTAACAAAACATACACCTTGTTCTTCGGTCTATATTCATTAGTTCCCAGAATGCACTTCTACAGTGGTATACGCTGGAGTGTATACGGAGGAGTTGTATACGATGATGATATACCACTCTCCACTGTATATCGTTGTTATAGACCCATGTTATACAAGATTAAATACAACTGTAATCGGACTTAGATATTGTATTTATGCAATATCATGTCCGGCCAATATCATCTGTAGGCAGTCTATAATGAAGCAACTATATGTATTTCTACAAAATTGATTAAAGTTGTTTAAACTTTTCATGGAGCCTTTAACATTTGTACCATTTCTTTATTAAGGTTTGAGTGGCCCTCCAGGTGCTGGTAAAAGCACCTTTATTGAAGCTATGGGTAAATATTTGACAGACAAGGGTAAAAAGGTTGCAGTATTGGCAGTTGATCCATCTTCTTCAACAACTGGTGGTAAGGAATTTGAATTATTTAAATTATTTTTATGTTAATTCATTTTGTGACAGATTCTTTAAGCGCACACTTAAAAGTAGCCATACTTTTTTGATACATTTTGGAACCTTGCAGTCAAATGCTCATACATTTTGAAACACCTTAAATATCCATATATATCGTAGCACACTCAAATCCCCATACATTGTGCAAAAACATTGTCAAAAAAATTAATCCTCATTCAAGGGTCATTGTTGGGAGATAAGACAAGGATGCCGCAGCTGTCATGTGATATGAACGCCTACATTCGACCCTCCCCTGCTTCAGGCACACTTGGTGGGGTAACACGCAACACTAACGAGGCTATTGTACTGTGTGAAGGTGCAGGGTACGATGTGGTATTAGTTGAAACTGTAGGTAGGTGGATGAATAGTGATGTTTAGCAAAAACGTATCAATTTTTTTTGTTAAACTGCCTTTATTAAAATACATATTAAATCTGTACATGTGCAGTAAAACATGTCTTACCTGAATGGCACATGGACTTGCCAAAAGTGTCTGATTGGCAGGTGTTCATATTTCAAGATTTTTAACATTATGTTTATCTGTGGCAGATTGAAAAATGGGACCAAGTGTTCACATTGAAAGGTGTTCGAATTAGATAGGTGTTCAGGTACACAGATTTTACCCTAAGAGGAAGAGTACATGTAACAAATTTGATTAGCTAGAATGCTTATGATGAATTAGAAATATGCACTTTACAGTAAAACTTGTATATCTGAACACCTCTTTTTACAAACACCTGTGAACACCTACCAATCCAAATGCTTTTTGCTGGTCCAAATGATGTTCAGATTAGACAAGTTTTACTGTACATGTAAATGTATTTTTGTATATTTGCAGGAGTTGGTCAGTCTGAGTTTGCCGTGGCCCACATGGTGGATCTGTTCTGTCTACTAATACCGCCCGCAGGGGGAGATGAATTGCAAGGTAGGGCCTAGAGAATATACATAGGTACATTAAAATTTGTTAAGTGGAACACCTCCCCAAATGGAACACTTTTCAGAGTCATATGACCAATGGACTGATGTTAAATGAACCCCTATAAGTAGAACACCTCAGAAAATGAACACTTGTTAGATGTACCAAGTGTGTTGCACTCATTTAGATTTTACTGCACAGGTATTTGTCAAAAGCAGTAATTCTAAAACTGCATACAGATATTTGGAATTTTATCTGCTATGGACTAATTCTCTTGGTGTATTTCCATTCAGTGAGAAATCCCCCAATAGTGATGTGTTAAGAATCATTTTTAAGATTACAGTACATTGTATTAAGAATCAGTGTCAGATCAATAGATTCAAATCACTGTTTGATGACTGAGAGTTATCTTATGCTAAAATTTCTACTCTGTAATCACATAACTGGATATAGAAATTCCAAAAACTGTTTGCATATGAATCTTTATTTTTTGCAACTTGTGCCTTCCTTCATTTTCTGAGGAACGTCATTAATCACAATGTAAATTTTTATTTCTATTAGGTATTAAGAAGGGTATAGTTGAGGTTGCTGACTTGGTGGTCATTAACAAATCTGATGGCGACCTTGTACCTGCAGCACGCCGTATACAGGCAGAATATACCAGTGCACTGAAATTACTCAGAAAACGCTCCAAAGTCTGGTCCCCAAAGGTAGGCTATGTACACGTAGTTTTATGATAATGTCACCACCAGAAAGTGGCGACATATTTTGTAGTCTCCAACCTTTTGTGGACAGTATTTAGTGGTTGGTGTTCAATGTTCAGCGTTTTGGTGTCTGTAACAAATGGCAGGTAGTGATATTTTGCATGTTAATCTTAAACAATATGTCTACGTTTACATTCATATTTTACATACCAGTATTCTATTTTTATAGGCTACAGAATTACTTGAATTTTTTCTTCTTGAAGACTAGCTTACTCGAAAAAATCATTGAAACAATTTTTCTGAATATATGTATTACAATTAATTTATACTTACGGTATATATTTTAAAACTGTAAATATTCATTTTATCAGGTGACGAGAATCTCTTCACTCACAAAAGAAGGAGTTCCGGAACTCTGGGACATGATGATGTCATACCATGACGCCATGCTGACATCTGGGGAAATGGAACACAAACGAGAAAAACAACACAAAATCTGGATGTGGAATCATATCAAAGAAAACATTATGGATTTATTTAAACAACACCCCTTTGTTAAATCCCAAATAGCAGATTTAGAGTATAAAGTATCTCTGGGGGCCATTACCCCTGGACTCGCTGCCGATATTCTTATGAATGCTTTCATTAAAGATATGAACAATAGCAAATAGGACTAGTGTATACTAGGTTTTTACGTGTTAGCTTGATGGAAAAGAACAAGGAATGTAAAGGCAACCTACACTACCCCCCCCCCCTCCATACATTTGGCAACAAAAAGTCTCTTTCTCAATTGCCTGCTCTAAAGAATTCAACAAAGTTGTCATAGGTTTCTGAACTGAAGATTCAAGCATATATAGGCTTTAACACTCTGTCAAATGAAGAAACTTATGGAGAGGAGTGTATATGTACATGACATAGTCCTGCAATTCTTTAAAGAAACTGAATAATGAATACCCTTGCAGTAAGATAAATGACTCATATGTGTACAATAAATGATCATTTATCATAAGTGTATGACGTATTTCGACCCTGAGCCCCAGAATTGAAGTAATAATTACTATCCTCTGATTGGGAAAAATATTTTAATGCTGATCTTAATAATCCCAAAATTAATTGTCACGTGACTTTGAATGTGAAATTAATGTCAGCTACTAATGAAAGCATAAAATTTAGTAACTGCAATCCTGATTTGGACGTTGTATTTTGGGGATCTGTAGCCACTAGCCAGCTGTAGCCACTAGCCAAGCTACAGGTAGAAAGAGTCCTGAATCTCTGATTGAACAAGTTCAAATTTTGAAACATTTTTGTAGAGATTTTCAGAAAGATGTCAAGCTACAATTTTTCATCCTATTTTGTATCATTAAAAATTAACTTGCTTGTCAACAACATTAATATTTTTGTACATTGTATCTGAGTGAAGTTGTTTTTTATTTGTTTTATTTCTGGAGTTTTCAAAAGCTTGAAAGTTTGAGCTTGATGCTTCTACTGACACTGGCATATGTATATCAGGCCCGTAGCCATAATTTTCCAAGGGGGGTTCACTTTTGCAAAAAATTCTAGGGGGGGGGGTCACTTTGGCAAATTTGGCCAAAAATCACTCAAAAAATAGTCAGAATGGTGAAAAACTGCATGATTTTGGCCAAGGGGGGTTCGCCCGAACTTGGCTACGAGCCTGTATATGTACCTTAACCCGCTGTCACATTAGTAGTGTGGGCTCATCATTCGCCACAGTTAACTTTGGGCATTACATTTTAAATTAATTTATTTTTGCATTTGGTGTGATAAGGGAAATTATGTTTTACCCACCATGCATCCATGCTGTGGCTGGCAGTCTGCCCCAGTTAACTTTGGGCATTACATTTTAAATTAATTAATTTTTTGCATTTGGTGTGACGAGGGAAAGTATGTTTTACCCGCCATGCATCCATGCTGTGCCTGGCAGTCTGCCCCAAAGTATTCACACGGTGGTGAACGGTGAGCCGACACAGCTTAAGTGTCACGAGGCAAGCGAGAAAGCTGAGAAAGTTTTACTCCTAAATTATCTATTCAATCTTTAAAACTGAAACTGTGATATTGAAATCAGATGGAATTAATACAGTAATATTAATTCACATTTCATCTTTTCACCTTTGACCAGAATAATAGTTTTCAGGCCAGATCGACTATTTGGTTACATCAGAGACGTCTCTGGATAATGATTTATTAAGTTCCTTCCTTGTTCAAAGAAGACATGTACTAATTTGTTTTAAAAATATTTTGTATTACAGATGTGAAAGTAAATATATTTATTGTATTATTTATAATAATTTAATTGTTTTGATGTTCATTAATGGATTTTGTGTCAAGAGTCAGCATTTCTAAAAGTCCTGCTATATAAATGTTATGTTAATTGATTTTGAACTTGGTGTATTTGGTTAAGGGGCTGGATCAAGCTATGAATATATTATGAATATTCTCTTGAAAGCCCATGCTTGAACCAATGAAGTTATTGTTGAATTTCTCAGCCAATCAGATGGCAGCATAGCCAGTCTCCATTGCTTCAAGAACCATTAATTATGTAATCTTCATTATCTTGTGTAACATCACATCAAGGGATTGGAATGATTATGTCGATTGGGTTAATTTGGCGAAATTGAAAAAACGCCAATTTACATCTTCGCCAAAGTTTAAAAAGGATTATCGGGAATTTCATCTGGTATATTTAAGTCAACTTTGGTTTAGTTTTTACAAAATCTGAAAAGATTTTTAGAAATGTCACTTCTAAGTTGGCTCTGGGGAGTTGCTTCAACATCAAATTACAAGATATTGAAGGAATAGGTGTTACATTATGCCATTTTGTTCCAGTGTACATGGTGAACTATCAGCACTCATTGGACAGAATTTTACTAAATTGAACATAAACAGTGCAATGCATCAAACAAATAAACAAACCAAATTGTGTTTAATTTATATAAATGTTTATATTTTAGTAATATATTACTCTCTTCTACTACAGATTACATAGAATACACTCCTTAGTGCTAGCCAAATATATGCAGGATATTATCTGAGCAGTTAAAAAGTCAAACAATTTAAAACTCTTCTCAATCACCTGTTGATTTTTAAAGAAGCTATAGGAAAATATCATAATTGCTGGTCCTTATCTAGACATTGACCAGTAGTACCTTATGGAAAAATCTTCTTGATGCGCCACAATAAGCAAGACAAGATAATCTTATGGATAGGGGAGGTGCGAAAATGATGGATATAAGCATGGGCTTTCAACTCTAATTGAAAGCCCATGATATAAGTGTGGATTATTTGGCTAGCACTAAAATACATACATAAACAGATAAATTACTACATCACAGATAAGGCATTCTTACATGTGTCATCAAGCATTTCTTTGAAAGAAAATCATTATTCATAGAAAAATAATTATGTGCATTGTGTAACAATTTATGTGACACAAAGAAGACTCAATATTAATGATATAAAGATCATATCAAAACACAAACATATGCCAAACCCTTAACCACAAATTGTGTTGGACTTTACGAGTGCAAGGGGAAAAAGACTACTTGGTATTGATCCATTTGGTTTTGTTTAATTTCCAACTTAAAGTCCATGCTAATCTAGAAAACTTTAATTTTTGTGGTCTGGCATATATTGATCTTTTTATATGATCCCCAATTTACAAAAGCATGTAATGTGCATTGAAAGAATATTGAATAAAAGTAAGCATGATCTAATTGTGCATTTACAATCCAATTTTTCAAAAATACCCCACACCTGAATTGATTCTCTAGTCTTGCATCAAACCCCTTTGTTAGCTTTTGTTTGCACCCCTCCCCCCCTTCTCCAAAATATATGATGAATAAGAAATCATAATGGTGGCAAGAGGTTTAATGCATGGCTAATACATATGATTTTCTCAAAGTGAAATGACATACATTATTTAGCATTATAAACATGAACTTAATTTCTGGCTTCTGATGCCTTAAGGTGGATCAAGGTTAAACACTTCAGAACATGGGTACATTACAATCAAATAAATGAGGCAGATTACTCATAATTTTCTGCCTACCTTAACATTTATGGAATGTACATGTAATCACTAATTAATTCCTGGCAATCAAAAAAACAATTAAAACTAATATGCCTAACCATAATGTAATTAGATTAAGGCAAAGCTGTCAATTATAACTTTAATGAAAAGGCTTATCATACGTACTCTTAAGACCTAGTACAGTAAACTCTGAGTAAGTGAAACATACTTTGTTCTTCAAAAAATGTTCCACCAAGAGGTGATCCACTTATAGAGGTTCATTTAACATTTAACAACTGTGAGTGTTCCACTTACAAAGGTGTTCTAAATAAATAGATGTTTTTCACCTGACAGGCACATATTCTTGCACCTAGTTACCTTGTTTAGATTCTTCTGTACAGTATTTTGCCATGTAAATTACTTAAATAAATAGTGACTGCTTTGTAAAAAGTGGTTGGAATATACATGTAAGCCATGTTAATTTGACTGCATTGGATATTTCATAATGCAACAAAATAATATGCAGATGTGCGTGTTCTTTTGTTCAAGGTAAACAATAATGAAATTCTCTGAATAAAAACCATATCCAGTCCATATAATTATATTCAATATATTCAACACTCCAAAATGTGCCCCCAAAATGTTACATAACATCAAAAGCTACATATTATTGTCCAAAATGAACAATAAGTAATATACAATGGAGTTATAAATTAAAATTAATGATTCTGTTTTGCCACATGTACCCATTCTCAAATGCAAACTCAAAATAATAAGTTCATTAGTTTATATAAGTTCACAAGTTCATTCCCTATTAATGAACCCAATGTTCAAATTCACTATTGCCATATTGCCATTGGCAAAAACTTATTATTTTTCGAAGTGCTTTTTGTAATTGGGCAATGGACTAATGTCAGGCTCTGCAGCTTGGCAACCATGTTTTTAACCTTAGTATAAATTCCTAAATAAGTTATATCAATTAATTACAGGATACATTTTCACCAACACATGTATTCCAATGATAAATAACGCCTTGTATAATACAATAATATCTATGTACAAAAATGTACAAAATAATTTAAATTGATGAAACAGCCCAAACAGATAAAGCTATTTCATTTGTAGGTGGGAGGGGGTGCTATGTTATAAAGGCAACTTTGACTTTCAAATCGGAACCTAGTTTTCATGTACATCATAAATGTACCTACTCTACTTTTGTTTTCAGTATAAATGGAATAACTTTGTATTTGACATGCAATGATATTTTGATATTATTAGGTGAATGATTTCATTACTGATAATTTCATTAGTATTAGAGATAAAGATAACCCACTTTCAAGAGTTTCACAAGTGGAACTACATCACTGAGGACACACAGAGTCCAAAATTCAAGTCTAATTTAAAATACAGCAGAACAGTTAGTCAAAAATAACCAGTGCTTGATATACAAATGCAAATATGATAGGCCATTAGAGACTTTGAATAGCAGTAAAAACAAGGAAATTATAGTGCCATAATATAGGGTGGTAAAACAGAAACCCTGTTGCTATTTTCCTTATATCTTTGATACTTTAGGAAATTACTCCCTTACGTTTGACACATTTTTACATTACATATTCAATTTCCAACCAGCCTGCCTTATTTCATGACCAGACTGGTAGTCACAACGTTACTATTGTGCTTAAGTGTTTGAGAATGATCTCAGGACAATAACAGACCTCAAAAGAGAGATTATTGGTGTCATTCAGGTTTACCTGCTGAGGAATGCAGCTGGGTCATTGACAACTTGTGCAGGTTTGGCTACAACACAATGATGACCACACCTGAAGCATGTTCCATGATGTTGTTCAAAGTGCTGTAATATTGTGACTATTAGTCTGATGGTCTTGGTCTTGAAATATGGTAGGATGGTAGGATAGTAGGATATTGAATGACACACAAATGTGTCAAACAATTTCCTAAAATGGAAAAGTTATGAGAAAATTTCAGTGTTTCCATTTGTTTGATCATCCTGTAGTAAATAGGAATCCATCATTCTAATATATTTTCTAGTTTTGAATTAATCAAGGAATATTTATAAGCTTTGCTTACACTTATGGAGAGATCGCTAACTGCTAACAACTGGATTCAAACTCAGTTTCAGAATCTTTGGTATCCTATGAGTATACATCTTCATGTAAATACTTCCTTGTTTTGTTTATCTGACCCTTTACTGATGTGATTCTTTCTTTAGGATTATTAAGCGCACTGTAGTAATTCATTTGAAGTAGAGCTTATTCAACAACAGGACCCAGACTTTGGTAATCGCTTGTTCAGGTCTACTGTGTTGGCATGCGGGGATTTCAAGTCCAATTTTTCCTCTTGTTCTTTAACACGTTTTGCAGCACCTTCAAACGCAATTTGAACATTAGTAGAGTCTTTAGCACTTGTTTCATAATATGGAATTTTATGATGGTTACACCATATTTGGGCATCGTCAATTGAAACCTGCCGTTCCGGGATATCAACTTTGTTTCCAAGGACCACAAATGGGAAATGTTCTTCATCCTGAACATCTGCATAATAAAGAAACTCCTTTTTCCACATTGTTAGATTTTTAAAACTTTGGATATCATCAACAGAATATGTGAGAAGACAGCAATCAGCGCCTCTATAAAAGGGCGTCCGCAGACTTTTGAATCTCTCCTGACCAGCTGTATCCCAGATTTGCATGGTATAAGTGTTATTACTAACTGTTATGTCTTTATTAAGGAATTCTACTCCTATCGTATGGTATGACTGAGAATCAAATTTATTTGTAACAAATCGGTTCATAAGTGAACTCTTCCCGACACCACCATCTCCTAACAGCACGACTTTCACAAGTTTTGTTCTTGATGTTTTTCCGCTACTTGACATTTTGTCCTTACAAATGTTTTCGAACTAGGTACTCTCAAGATATGTGTGATTTTGTTTTTGTTAAGTATTTAGTTAAATGTCTTTTCAACCACTGTCAAGTTAAATTTCCATTTCCCAGTCATTCTTTATCCAGTGTAGTTTCTACAAAATAAAACAAAGCCTGCAATTCACCAACAAGTATTGCTACGAAGAATAAATATTAAAATGTTGGTGGGTATGTTTTAAAAAGAAAATCCATTTCCTCATCCCCTGTAATTAGCTTGAATCATGTCATGAGACTTGACGTGCACTTGTGACTTGTCAAAAAATAAAAATTGACAAAATTTCAAAATTCAAACTCGATTTTAATCAGTTTAGAAGCAGATAGAACATCCAATTTTGAATCAATACATAATATATACTCAAAGTCATCACATGTCTACAAATAAATACTTACTTATTGATGTATCGTGTTGTATTTGATAAATTATGCTGCATTTCCGAAAATGTTGATGAACAAATCTCAAAACGATGAGTCACATGACCTACTGCTGCGCCATCTAATTGATCTTACAATGAACGAAAAGTTACTTGGCATCAACTCACTGCCTTTAACCGGGGAGAAGGGTCTTGAATTGACTCGTTACTTAGTCAGTCTCCTCGGCTCCCATTGTATTGTAGATTTAATATAGTCTGTCTGGGGACAATTTGTAATTTTTGATAGTTTTGACTATTCGGAAGCCATTTAATTTGGCGATTTTTCCTGTTATAGCAGTATAATTAAATATGTTAGTGCTTTTATAACATGACCTAAACCAAATAGTTTCAATTTGTCAATTTGCTTTCAAACCAATGTGTTGATTTTGACACATATACTATTTGATCCAACAAGTATTTAGTAAAGAATTATTTTGGTTTGAGTTACAAGAGTTAAGCGCAGAATACATAATTTAAGTGACAGCAAATGATAGAGGGAAGCAAAAACCAACCTACATACTGTAAGTTCCTCTGCTTCATCCTTCAATATCTGCATTTTTAAGATATCTGATTAAATATAAGTGGACATAATGAAAAGTTTAAGATGCAGATATATCCACATGCATTATTATTATGAAATAGGCATGCATGACAAAGAATTTTGAACAAAAACATGAAATTTCAATATGTCTTTGTTTCAATGTTGCTCCTTTAATAGGAAAGGCCATTCAAAAGCTGCACTACTTGCAATTTCAATTGAGTGTAAAGACTAGCATTCAATAAATGCACGGTTCCACTCACTAATGATAGTTTGTAAAACTTGAATCCTTTTGTATTTTAAATATGGTAAAGTATATTTATGGAGAATGGGCACATCATGGTTGACCTTGTTTTTGACTACCTGGCATTAAGTTGACAAAATGTAAACGCCTGGTGGGAGAAGATTTGAGAGAGTAAAATCGTATCTTAATGTAAGTCCCTTAATTCAAAAGCCATGATAACCAAAATTGTAATAATCATTACCGATGCCGAATACAAGCTACAAAGCATTTAAATGCAAAATGTCACCAGCTGCCATTTGTTACAAACACAAGCCACCACCAGCCACCACATCCAAAACATCATCTACCAAACACCATCCACAAAAAGTTGGAGACTATAACAATATGTCACCACTTGTGGTGGTGACATAAAATGGAGGCCATAACAATATGGAGACTTCTTTGGAGCAAGATGATAAAACAAATGGTATGCATGGCAACATTATTAACATTTTATGAAATGAAATAAAATGTTTAGGTTACAATTTATAATTGTACAAAGAATGAAATATGTTTATTTTTGAATTATAGCTTTTGTAAAAAAAACACACAAGTTCATATATGAAATTTCAATATGTCTTTGTTTCAATGTTGCTCCTTTAATAGGAAAGGCCATTCAAAAGCTGCACTACTTGCAATTTCAATTGAGTGTAAAGACTAGCATTCAATAAATGCACGGTTCCACTCACTAATGATAGTTTGTAAAACTTGAATCCTTTTGTATTTTAAATATGGTAAAGTATATTTATGGAGAATGGGCACATCATGGTTGACCTTGTTTTTGACTACCTGGCATTAAGTTGACAAAATGTAAACGCCTGGTGGGAGAAGATTTGAGAGAGTAAAATCGTATCTTAATGTAAGTCCCTTAATTCAAAAGCCATGATAACCAAAATTGTAATAATCATTACCGATGCCGAATACAAGCTACAAAGCATTTAAATGCAAAATGTCACCAGCTGCCATTTGTTACAAACACAAGCCACCACCAGCCACCACATCCAAAACATCATCTACCAAACACCATCCACAAAAAGTTGGAGACTATAACAATATGTCACCACTTGTGGTGGTGACATAAAATGGAGGCCATAACAATATGGAGACTTCTTTGAAACAAGATGATAAAACAAATGGTATGCATGGCAACATTATTAACATTTTATGAAATGAAATAAAATGTTTAGGTTACAATTTATAATTGTACAAAGAATGAAATATGTTTATTTTTGAATTATAGCTTTTGTAAAAAAAACACACAAGTTCATATATTGCCCTCATGTAATAATAATAACATGTTTTTTATTTTTCTTGAAAAAATATGTACAAATACATAAATGTTACATTATAGGCCTATTAGACACTTTACTGAACATAGTTCTCTGGCTTTGAGTGGATCTTTGAGTTCCTTGCATTTTCAAGGGTACATTATATCTATACAGAGTGTACAAGGTGAGTAGATGATAGAGGGGTACATACTGACACAAGGTCCTGGACTTAATAGGGTAAATTCACATGAGTACACATGTATAGAGTACATGGTTAGAGCATCATCTGTTTAATGTTTTCCTGGTCTTATAAGTCCTATAAGTTTTAATGGTTTACTGTGTGTCCCCATCAAAGTGCATGTGAGGAGGATACAAAGCCTTGGGGTTTATGGGTTGACTTCAAAGTACACATGTATACAGTATATACATTGGTTAGAGTGTCATCTGTTAATATGTACATGTTATCCTTTATAGTCCTATAGGTTCTAATATCTGTGTCATGACTGGTCCATATTGGAATCAGCTTCATCCTTTCTCTGTTGTAAACGCTTATATGACTGCACTTTACTCTGAAAAATAAAGCAACTAAATTGAATTTGAGTATACCCAACTTGTTATTATCCCACCGAACAAAGTTCGAGGGGGATATAGAGAAGCTGTCTGTCCGTTTGTTCGTTTGTTCGTCCGTCCGTCTGTTTGTCTGTGTGTCCGGGCGATAACTCCAATACCGGTTGACGGATTTGGATCAAATTTTATACGCTTATGCCTTATGAGTGTAGGACCTCTGCTCGAGAAGGAATTTTCAATATGGCTGCTCAATTCAAAATGGCCACCATTTTTCTTAAAAAATGTAATCGTTGATAACTCAGATACAAGTTTACGGATTTGGTTCAAATTTTATATGCTGATGCCTAGGGACAAAGGAGTTTCGCACAAAAGAGATTTTCAAGATGGCCGCTTAATTTCAAAATGGCGGCCATTTTTCGTAAAAATATGTAATCTTTGATAACTCAAATACCAGTGAACGGATTTGGTTCAAATTTTATATGATGATGCTTAGGGACACAGTAGCTACGTTTGACAAAAATTTTCAAGATGGCCGCTTAATTTCAAAATGGCGGCAATTTTTCGTAAAAAACGTAATCTTTGATAACTCAAATACCAGTGAACAGATGTGGTTGAAATTTTATATGATTATGCCTAGAGACACAGTTGCTCTGTTCAAGAAATAATTTTCAAGATGGCGGCTGAATTTCAAGATGGCGGCCAATTTTCGTAAAAAACATTATCTTTGATAACTCATATACCAGTGAACGGATTTGTTTCAAATATGATGATGCCTCGTTCACAATGGTATCAACTAACTTTGTGCCAAATTTCATGCTTCTATCACAAAGTGCACAAACATTTCAACATTTACACTAGCATAATATGTTTTGTTCGGTGGGATTTGCTACTCCGTGGAGTTGCTGTTTTTCTAGTTTCTTAAAGGACGATTCTCGGTTTGGAGAACAGTCTCCTGGGCTAATAATTTTTTTCATGAAAAATATAGAAATATTACCCAAATTAAACTATGAATATTCAAAAGAGGACATTAAAATCTACAAGATGTAAAAATAACAAATTGGTGTGAAGCAGGGGTAACGCTCAATTAGACCAATTCAAGAAAATACAAGTCTCGATTTGGGGAAAGAAGTTCATCAGTGTACTGCGCTAATATTTTTGCGAAAAATCAAGAAATATTACCCAAATTAAATTATGACTATTCAAAAGATGACATACAAATCTATATTATATAAAAAAATCAAATTTGTCCGAAACAGGGATAATGCTCATTTAGATTGATGAACTTTGTTCTCCGAACTGAGAATCGTCCTTTAGTACTTTATGTTGCATCAATTTTTCCCAATCTAACAAAAATTGACAGTATTATTCTATTATTTATCGTACATGGAATTTGGAAACATTGTGCACTGTGCACACAAAATGAATAGATTATTCAAAACATCATTTACTCAACCACACTTGACCCAATGTGTACTTAATACATCTACAGTACAATAGCCAGGGAATAATATTTAAGAATTTAAATCCAACATTTGAAAAAGTTTTACTTTCACATTTTTGGTCCATCCAAGCTAAGGGGCAAGGTGGTATCCCCATATCTATGAACTGCTAAAAACAGCATATTGGAGTACTTAACTAACCTCAAAAGTTGTGAGAATGTGTCCTGAAACTTCTTTGAGATCTGTCAATCCTTTCTGTAGTGCATCAACAGCTGGGCCACCTATTAACAAACATGTGAACTACACATAACATTGACTATGACTATTTATGAAGCAACTCTCTAATAAGTGCCCTCCCCGCTTCCCATTGTTCAAGAAAAATCATTAATCAAGGAATGACCAAAATATGATGACACTTTAACATGTTTAAAAAAAAATGTGTAACATTCCACATGCAAAGCAGAACCATTTAGAGACTGTATCAAATTGAGAACAATTTGGACTATATTGGAAAAAAGCTACAAAACAGACTTGGCCTAATCAAAGAAAAAGAATTTCAAAGAATAAATAATTATGATTTGGAATAAATCTGTCGAGAAATATTCAAGCTATTGCACAAAATGTAACATACCTCTAGTTTGTATCCTAAAGTTAATCTTATTTTCTGAGGGATGAGGTATAGTGTATCCACAAAATTCGATAGCTGGACTGAAAATAATTTTTCATACACGTAATAACTTTTAAAAATATTTTTATGTACATCAGTGATCTCCCTAGGATTTTTTCTCAGGTGGGTGCAAAATTCTCATTTTCAAAATTCAGACCAAAATTGGTCAATATGCCTATATGCCAATTATTCATATTTTTCTCATTTTCGAGTGGGTGCAAATGGATTTTCAGATGGGTGCAAGCCTATTTTCAAATTCTCAGGTGGGTGCTACCTGCGCCCACCTGCTTCAATACTGGGGAGATCACTGAACATGTAACAGAATATTATTACAGAATATTATGTTACAGAAATATGGATACTGTACTGTAATAGATAATTGTATCATAAACGCATACTTTATTCAATTCTTAATCTTTCAAAATTAAGAGTTGAAGAATATGATATTTTTGCCACAGTTTAAAAATCAGATGAAAATACTTACTTTTTCATAACCATGTATCTGAGACTGTTTCCGAGTGTATGGTCTTCATTGTGTAAAACAAATGTTTGACATGTTTCATCCTCACTACTGCTTTGAACCTATAAAAGATATAACAGCTACGTCAATAATCTGCAAAGGCTAAAAGGCCCATATAAAGCAGATATAGTTTCAGGCTCGTAGCCAGCTTTTGCCAAGGGGGTTCACTTTTCAAAATTCCAGGAGGTTGACAACTTTTAACAGTGATAGACTATAATTTAAAACTGAACATTTAGAAAAACTCTCTCTATGTTGAGATACACTGGTGACAACTGTCATGCTAACCGCATTGACATTGCCTAGGATAAGAACAGGTAGGCTCTTCACATTTCGACAACAAACTCCACTATCACAAAGAAGGATGTATTACATTGTAATGACCATTGGCCACGCTCGTCCAGGGAGCTAAGTGTAACGAGCCAGATAACTAGGCTATTGAGGGTCATTACACCACTACTCTGCCCCCCCCCCCGAAGGACTGATACACAAGGGCAATCCCACTTCTGGCACCAATGTATTGACCCATGGGCAAACTGGGGATGGGCACCCTCTTCTGGAGATCTTTAGTGTAATGAGTCAGACACTTATACACCTATGCTGCAGCTGCGACTTCCTATTGAGGGTCATTACAACTTATCCCGTTCCCGGACTATGGTCCTGTGAACATGTCAATCTTTTGCCTGTGCGATTACAACATGGGAGAATGTTTTACTGATCTTACACTTCAGATACCTACTTCAATAGATTCCTTGGTAATTTAGCATTCTTTTCGTGTAGTTGAATCCACAATTGTATGGGTTTATCGGCAGAACGAAGACATTTTCGTTTTTGATCGCAATATTTGCGTGTAACATTTAACTTATTTCAACCGTCAAATTCCTCCATATTGGTACTTCCGGGCTACATCCGGGACAGCCAAACGGGGGATTCCCCTTTTAAATCCAACCGCCATTTTGAAAAGTGATGGAATCTCTCTCGATGAAAAAGAGAAAATGTTCCCGTTCTGCCGATATACCCAGACAATCGGCGGTTCCAATATATTAGAAGTTACATCTTGAGTTCTATAATGCATTGAGGTAGGTATCTTAAGTGTAAAGGGCGTAGATAATTCTCCCAAGTTGTAATCGTACAGGCAAATGAATGCGATCAGTGCAGGACTATAGTCCGGGAACGGGATAAATCACATGCTATCTATTGCAAGACTTACGCCTGCCACAACCGTCACCATGTTAATCAGTGTTTTTTAAGTAGCGCAAGGATCCTGCCATGACCGTGGTAGTGTTATCGTGTAAGCCTGGTATAACCGTGACAGGCTGGTATAACCGTGACAATGTTGTATTCTATTGCAAGGCCTGTCATGACCCTGGAAGTGTTATCGTGGAAGCCTGGCGCGACCGTAGCCTTTATTGTGGTTTATAACCGAATGTGAATATTAATGTATAGTAGTAATTTTGATTCTGACATGATTAAGGTAGTTAAACACCATGATCATAGTATTAAACTGTTTAATTGTAATGAGGATCACTTAAAATTGTTAAGGATATTCCTGGCATTAATGTCATACATATTTACTAGTCATTGCAATACATTATAACGGTCATAGTAGAACTAAGCCTAAATCTCTACATTACCACCCTCATACCTGGCCTTGCAATACTATATTACATTGTCACGGTCATACCAGGCTTTGCGATCCCATAATACATTGTCATGGTCATGCCAGGTTTTCAAATGCACATTGTCACGGTCAATTATAGCAATCATAAATTTCTACATCACCACTCTCATACCCGAACTTGGAATACTATATCACATTGCCATGGCGGTCATACTAAGCCTTGCAATACTATATTACATTGGCATGGTCATGCCAGGCTTTGCAATACACATTGTCACGGCTATAGCAGTCCTAATCGTAAATTTCTACATTACCACTCTCATACCTGAACTTGCAATACTATATTACATTGTCACGGTCATGCCAGGCTTTGCAGTACTATATTACATTGTTACGGTCATACCAAGCCTTGCAGAACTATATTACATTGTCACGGTCATGGCAGGCATTGCAATATAATACTGCATTGTCGCGGTTATACCAGGCTTTCACGATAACATTACCACGGTCATGGCAGGATCCTTGCGCTACTTAAAAAACACTGAATAACATGGTGACGGTTATGCCAGGCCTTAGTCTTGCAACAGATAGGGTCTCTGATAAATTACAACATCTATACTTTTTGTAATGCCTATTGCTAATGAGAAGAGACAAGGGCTTAAAAGACTTGAACTCTCATATGAAATCTTAGAAGCCCTTGTAAAAGACCCGGGAAGAAAAGAAAACTAAAAACACTAAATCCATGCCTTCATCACCATTATCACCCACGGTAGCAATTCTTAATTTTCTAACTCGACATAATGCTATTTCAAAACTATAAAGACGATTAAAAATAATATCATTGTAAAGCGATTTGTTATAGCTTAGACTTGTAGGGCAAATAAGCAAGTATGAAGTCAAGGAATACTTACAACTTCAAGATTTCTCTTCCGATTTTCGTCAGATTTTTTTTCCATTTTGTTTCACGCATGCGTATTCAGCTTCCTCACATGACAATGACGTCATTTTAAAAACAAGAACTCAGGACAAGAACTAGACTAAGAAAAAAGTTTGTTTTTATCAGGTTTGTACCATTTTCACTGACCTCTGATAGATTTTCCTCCCGTTGGCTTATGCAGAATATTATTTAAAACAGAGACAAATAAGAGGAAAATCATTTTTATCAGATCTATCATTTTTATTTTCCAATGAACACATCACTTGAGTTGTTCCATTTTTTTCAATATTTATTTTGACTTGTTCTTTCTATTTACATGTACAGTTTGATCTACACTAAGCTAACAGTGCAGTGGTTTACTTTTATATCAAGAGGAATGTATCTATGAGAGAATCAATGTCTATGTAGGTCACAGGAACCAGAACAGATAATGGTTCCTCCTTGGTATACAGAGACCACAATAAGTACGGGGGGGGGGTAGTATTTTCATTTCCTGTAACAAAATTGTCATGTATCTGTTCAACACCTTCAGTCTTGGTGAAGGAGGATGTGGGCGGACAGTGTTGACTTGGGAAAGTGGTTCAGTACAGAGTTCGTCGTCGAAATACTGACGACTTTCTATATGGTTATTTCCTATGACATCACTGCATATTTAATGAACACATATTTAGCAATGGCGTAGCGTCATATACGCAAAAAACGCCATTGCGTACTCTCAAATTTGAGAGAAAAATGATTTTTTATAATGAATTGCCCCGGATAGATCTTAAATAGTAAGATAATAGTAACAGTAACAATCACATATGAAAAACAAAATGAATGATTTATTCTAATCCTGTGTTGTTTGTTTTTTAATTGTGTTGTAATAATCTAAATTTTCTCTCTGAAATACATATATTTTTGTACGGCTGCGAGCTTCTTTACGTTCCTTAGCGTGCGAGTTTGGGATGTTCGTACTTTTTGTGTAGATCATCATGGCGGCATATTGTTAGTCTTTTTATATCTATCAGATATAAAGTTAACATAAATTCTCTATTTGCTTATTGATTCATATTTTATTCTATTTTTTACTTTTTACAATAGTTTTTATATTCCATGTCTTAATATCTTTCTTGGTAGCGTGCTCTTTGTCAAAATCTAAATGTTAATTCTAATTAATTCATTGGAACATTTCTTTTTATAGTTTGCAGGTTTTGGAGTTTGGAATACGCTCAATTATGATTTGGCATATATGTGTCTCAATTGGCATACAAACGTCGCATTCTGGCATAATTGTTCATATCATAAAGAAAAGCAAGTTTGTTTATAAACGAGATACTTGTTCCTTGTCTCCAATAATAATGTTGTTTATATTAATCTGTGGCTAAGAGAAAGATAAGAATTAGTCATTGAAAATTCGCCAACTCCAAAAACAGGCGTGTGAACCTTATATTATAATGAACGTGATACGTGTTTAATATGACAGTTTCACAGTTACTTATAACGTAGTTTATACTTATAAACAATAAGTATACAGTTATAAACAATAAAATGCCAACGAGTTTTATTTCCAAGAAGCACCTATTTCGTCTTGCCATTATTTTAAAACGGGTTCATGTAATCATAAAATATTGGATAAAAATGACTAATAATTTACATTTAATTGGTCAAGATTAAGTCGGAATTTCGTATTTCAAACCGACCCAGGACGCTTCAAATGCAATCTCATTTTAAAATTTTCTTGGGGGAGAACCCACCCAACCCCCCCCCCATTAATAAGCCCCCTCAAACCCCCCTCGAACTCGTTCGCTTCGCTCACTCGTAGCGTACTCTCACAAAATACCCACGCTACGCCTCTGTTTAGCACACGTTCCTTCCACTTCGCTGATTGGGTGGGAAAGGGTCAATGTGGTAGATTTAAAATGAGTTATTCCCCAGACTGTCACAGGCACCAATCTTTAGGGCGGGGCTGCTAAACTAAAATATAGTCTATACTAGGCAGAGGGTACTTTATAACTGGACTCTGCACGCAGCGTAGCCTCGTTCATTAGACAAACCACAATTGTCAGGAGTTTTACCATTCTGCTCTTAGAATATTTCCTTCTTCCTGCTTTGTGAGATGATTGAACCATGCACTTTCCCTATCTATGTGGATATATTGTTGAACATCTTTTTAACTCAATAGATCATCTGTATCATTTCAGTTCCATGGGACATCCAGGTCCTATTGTTATAATAATATTAATATACAAGGAATAACCTCGGGCAGAATTAAAAAAGCTTGTCAATGAATCATATGTACAATGAGCCAGGCCACAGGAAAAGGGGTCTTATCACAGATTTTTTCAATGTTTTGATTTTTTGTTTTTCTTAAAAGCACAAAGAAACCTTTCAGATGAGCGGCTTGTTTCTTAACAATTTTTCCATGCAGATATAGACCAAAATAAAGACCAGAATTTAGCACATTTTCCTCTTAATCTTGGGCACATTTTTGGCTCTGTAGCACAATTAAAATTTTTGTCATATATACATGTTGTACAGTATGTCCTGTCTATTGCATGATTGCCACAAAAATGTCTACCAGTGAATTATATGTACTATGTCTGTATGTACATGTTTTACATAATGTAATTCTTTTTCAGATTTGCTAAACAAGGCATCATGCCTTTGTTATTTTCTGTGGTAGCGCGAGGCAGCACAGTCCTTGTGAAACATGCAAATTGTGCGGGAAACTTCACGGAGGTCACTGATCAAATTCTCTCAAAAATATCACCAGAAAATGCCAAGTTGACGTATTCCCATGGAAGGTACTTGTTTTTATAATTTCTTAGTTATTACATAGCTCACATGGATTTGCTATTGTTATCACCTGATTGTCAGTCCATCTGTCTAAAATGGTTTCACTTTTAATGGGTATATACCTGTATTTTTCTGTGCAATGTGGATATACTTAGTAAGTAATCATTAGACAATACTGTACAGTAATAATGCAAGTGCGAGTAGGTAGTTACCAGTTTCACCACCAGGTGGCTCGTTCAGGTCAGAAAGCATGGCGGGTATAGTAAAAAGTTCCCTTTAACTTGAATTACTTCTGTTTTGGTTTCAATTTTTATATAACCCTTATATAACGAATAGTTATGCACATTAAAATATGTCCTGTAAAAGAAAATTTTATCTGTCCAATACAAGAAAAGATATTTCACTTTTTGTGATTTTGTAATATGGGGTCTATGGGGAATCAAACCGAACTAGAAGTCACATTTTCAAAAAGAATTAAATTTTCAAAGTTGATTAACAATTTTCAATTAACTTTTACATGTAGATTTCAAATATGACATCACTTTGACTGAATTTTGAATGTTTAATGATGTAAATCAGGATTATTTCTACTCGCATCTAGTCTATTAATGTCACCAAGTGAACTACATTTTCAATGTTTTTTTCAGCTATTTGTTCCACTATATTACAGAAGACAGGATTATTTATCTCTGCATCTCAGATGATGTGAGTATTATCATATTACCTTGATGAAGCATCTTTATGATAATTGCAGTAAAGAATAACATGTATATATAAACCATACTGCTTTAACTGCTTTGAAAATATGAGTTTAGCATCTTCACCTGATGAGTGAATTGAGAATCAGATAAATTTTGGCTCATAATCAATTTTATTCTCATTACAGTGAGCTTTTTAAAGATTCAATTTGGAAATGTCCATATTTTATTCTTGTTTAATCTTATCCTTAATATGCACTTTTTCATCTTGGATAGAACCATGATTTTGAAGCATGAAAACTTTTATGAGGACAGTTTTTTTAATATGGTTTAAAGGTTAATTTCTATTTTTCAGGATTTTGAAAGATCTAGAGCATTCCTTTACCTGAATGACATTAAAAGAAAGTAAGTTCATGAATGCTTTACATGTAGGACAGTCTACACATTATTCTCTATAAATTAGAAAGAGATTAATTAATAGTTGTCCTTTTAAAGGCTGCATGCATCACAAAGCGCAATTTAATAGTAAAATATGTCTGTTAACATTCCTTAGTGGTATTAGTAATCAGTGGATGCCCAGATGAAGTAAAAAATTCTGACTGAAGACATTGACTGGTCACTAAGAATCTGTTCAGATGTAAAAAAGTTTTAAGCAATGTTTACATTCTCTGCCTGTAATATACATGTTTGGATAACTGATAAATATACAGTACCCCTTGTGTAGTATTATGTTTGTAATTGTAGGTTTTCAATGCAGTATGGTGCAAGAGCACAAACAGCCCTCCCGTTCTCAATGGACAGTGACTTCTCTAGGGTATTAGCCTCACAGATGGTAAGTTTAGAATAGGCTACTTGGACATATCAGATCTTTTATTAGACCAAAATTATCCTCCAATTTCCTCATTTATTGTGCATCTGTTCCTAATTTCACAGCACAATATAATGCATAGAGATAAAGGATACTGCAATGAATTAGCTACTGTATAGACTTTTTGCAAATATTCAAGGGTTTGGGGGGCTCTATCCAAGTTACCTGATTTATTGGGGGTGTCATATTTTATTTCAGTAAATTTTCAATTTAATGGCGAGGTTTTATATTCTTGGATACTTGTATGTGGGGAAAAATCCTAAGGTGTAATTATTAGGTTTACATTACCAAATACCTTCATACATCTTATCTTTAACCTTATTTCAAGAACAATGTTTCTCGAAAGAGCCTTCCTTTTGCTACATGAGAAGTTTTGTCTTACCATGTCAGTTTGCATTCCAATTTGCAATTGTATATAATAACCCAAATTGATTTAATTGTATTGGTTTCAGCGCCACTATTCTGAGTCCAAAGATGTGGACAAAGTTGCCAAAGTGTCTGGAGAGGTAGAAGAATTGAAAGGAATTATGGTGAGAAATATAGGTAAGGATGTTTCAAATATAGTTTTCAAGGGTGTCTCAACCATGAGTCAATTCAATAACAAGCATTTTTGTAATATATTATATTGATACAAATAGATTGAGTAAATAAATTAAAAAAAACAAAAAAACACAAGCCATCTCAGTCCTTGGTCATCTCTACCCTAATAGTCAATTCAACCCCAAGTTAACTCAACCATTTGTCATCATAATCCTAAGTAAACTCAACCCATGACATCTCAGCCCTTGGTCAACTCAACCAAAGTCATCTCAACCCTTGGTCAACTCAACCCTTATATTCAACTCAATTCCAATCTCAGCCATTGGTCGTTTTAACCCTAAGTAAACCCAGCCCTTGGTCAACTCAACCAAAGTCATCTCAACCCTTGGTCAACTCAACCCTTATATTCAACTCAATTCCAATCTCAGCCATTGGTCGTTTTAACCCTAAGTAAACCCAGCCCATGTCATCTCAGCCTAAGTCAACTTAACCCTTATAGTCAACTCAACCCCAAGTTAACTCAACCATTGGTCAACTCAGCCCTTATATTCAACTCAATTCCAATCTCAGCCATTGGTCGTTTTAACCCTAAGTAAACCCAGCCCTTGGTCAACTCAACCAAAGTCATCTCAACCCTTGGTCAACTCAACCCTTATATTCAACTCAATTCCAATCTCAGCCATTGGTCGTTTTAACCCTAAGTAAACCCAGCCCATGTCATCTCAGCCTAAGTCAACTTAACCCTTATAGTCAACTCAACCCCAAGTTAACTCAACCATTGGTCAACTCAGCCCTTATATTCAACTCAATTCCAATTAAACTCAGCCATTGGTCGTCTTAACCCTAAGTCAACTCAGCCCATGTCATCTCAGCCTAAGTCAGCTCAACCCTTATAATCAACTCAACCCCAAGTTAACTCGGCCATTGGTCGTCTCAGCCCTAAGTCAACTCAACCCTTGTCATGTCAGCCCTTGGTCAACTCAACCCTTATAGTCAACTTAACCCAAGTCATCTGAACCCTTGGTCAACTCAATTCATTTAGTCAACTCAAGCCAAAGTCATCTCAGTCATTTGTCTGTAAATATTTCGAAAATATTGTAAGTAAAAGGACTTTTAGTATTCAATAGAATACCATATAATGACAAACTATTTGATTTTTGAAATCATCTCGAGTTTATTAAATTGCAGACAACCTTGCCACCAGAGGTGAAAAACTTGAGTTATTAGTTGACAAAACAGAAGATCTAAGTTCAAATGTAAGTCTATAAATTTTCTATTCATACTTTATGTACTGTGTTAAGCTCAGTGCTAATGCTTGGTTTTGATTGGTCAGTGTTACATGCTTAAGAGTATATTCATTTAATAAATTACATATTTGGACATGGTACATATATACTATAAGACAATTCTTTATGAAATATATAATGATAATTACCAATGTGGTGACATATTGTTATTATATGGTCTTCAACCTTTTTGTAACGGTGTTCCACAGTTGGTCTCTGGTGTTCGCTGTCTGTAACAAATGGCAGGTAGTGACATTTTGCATGCCAATGACTTGTTTTATTTGTAAGAGACTGGATGATAGTAAATGTATACTGATCTGTGTTATACCTCTCAATTTTAGGCAGTTTCATTCAAGAAAACCAGTAGAAACTTGGCCAGGTCTATGTGGTGGAAGAACTTTAAAATTACGCTCATTATATTTGTTGTTGTTGTGGTGAGTATAAAAAAAAACTATAAAAATATATTCCCAAACTTTAAAGTTGTACTCTTATATTTGTGGTTGTCATAGTGAGTATTCAGTACTACTGTACTAAGCAATCATCTGTTTAAAAATTAAATGTTGAACACTTCGAGCATGTATTTAGGCGCATTTGAAAATATGCAAAGTCGCAACACACTTTTAATTCGTAGAATCTTTTTACACATATTTGAAAGTATGCAACGTCTCTTCACACACATGTGAGATAATGTAAAATCATGAAAAATCTATTTTCACACATTCAAGAATAAACATACAGTAGAACCTGTGTAAGTGGAACACCCTTGGGACCACATAAAAAGTGTTCCACTTGGGAGGTGTTCCACTTACCAGAGGTTCATTAACATGGAGTAGATCGGCCATGGGACTTTAAAAACACTGTTCCACTTAAATAGCAGGTTCTACTGTATATACATTTGATGATGTTGATACAATATTTGCATTACATAATTTTTTAATTGTTTTTCTTCTTTCCAGGTCATATTATACTTTATTGTATCAGCAGCATGTGGAGGACTTAATTGGAAACCTAAGTGCGTAAAACCATAGGAACCATAAAAACCAATATTTTAACATTATGTATATGTCAAATTAGACGCTGCGGTGCCAAGGGGCTGATAATGAAGCACTGTTATTATCATTTTTAACATTTTGTTATTGTTATTATTATGTCTCCTCCAGAAGTGTATGATCATTTTTATAGAATGAAACTATTGTCAAAGGAACAGGCTAAACTTGTTCTTTAGTAAAGATAGGGGTTCTCAAAGTTTATGATTAGATGGAAATCAAATGGAACTCAATAGTTTTTATGACCCCCCCCCCCCCCACCAAAAATGGTGACATATTGTTATGACCTCCAACTTTTTGTCACAGCATCTGGCGGTCAGCATTTGGTGTCAGACATCTGTAACAAATGGCAGGTGGTGACATTTTGCATGTTGATGTCTTGATATATAGATTGAGCTGATCAGAGGTGTATATATTTTAATGTTCCATCATAGATCAGCTATTGATAGCAATTTAGATTCCAAATGCTGCCCATTGAAATCAGCAATATAAAGTATAGAGACATGCACTATTCATTGAATTGTATTATAAGAAAAAAGGTTGAACATGGTAAATATTTCGAACAAAAGATGGCACTGTATGCACATAAAGGCCTATGACAAGCGTGACATCTATAAATAAAACCATTAAGTTATGCTGTTCAATAAAATTTGATAAAATGGTGCAAACAGGAATACTGTAAAACTAGAAATTTTGCAAATCTCAAAAAGTTTCCACACTTTAACTTTGTGTGATTGAATCACACAGTTTTCCTCATATGCAACATCCTCCTAAGCAGGTGTACAGAATCCGTACCTCCTTCTTCCCCCCTGCTATAACCAATTTGGAAGCGTCCGATTAAACTGAGTATTGAGTAGGGTTGAGTAGTATTATAGTAAATATATAATTCAATCAATGATTTACAATGTTCAAGAGAAGGTTGCAATAATATGAAGAATGTTTTTTAAAATGCATGTGAAAGGATTTGGAAAATAAACACTATTGTATATGTCACTGCTCAATAGGTTAGTGCAAGTTGAACAAATGCAAATATTTACATGAGTAATATATGAAAAGAGACTAAGTAGGTTTTTCCTCAGAAAACAGGGCTCCAGACATTATTGACTCTATTCCTCGGGTGAGTGGATGACGTCTGGAACCCTGGCATCAGTTGATGGTGTTCTTCGAGTTAACTGCAATTTGAGTACATGTACAGTTAAACCTGTAAAGTGTAACACCTCTAGAAGTGGAACACCTCTGTTAGAGGAACACTTTTGAGGACCAAGTCCAACTGACTAAAAGTTAAATGATACTCTTTAAGTGGAAAACCTCCTAAGTGGAACACTTTTAAGTTGTTACAAAGATGTTCCACCTAGACAGGATTTACTCTGTATGCAACCTGATTGACTCCAATGTTTCAAATTGGATTTATTACAAACTCATGTTTTATTTTCATAAGATACATGTAGGTGTTGTTGCAATTATGATCAGTAGAAATGAATGTACATGAACAGTAAAACCTGTGAAAGTGGAACACCTTTGATTTTTATGTGACCGCCATAGTGACATATGTGACATATTGTAACAGTCTCCAACTTTTTTTGTGGCCAGTGTTAAGCAGTCGGTGATTGGTGTCTGTAATAGCGTTCATTGTCTGTAACAAATGGCAGGTGGTGATATTTTGCATGTTAATGCCTTGTGTTAAAATGTATTCCACTAAAGAGATGTCACACTTATGGAGATCCAATAAACATTATGTCATGGGTGAGACTTTGAAAAGTGTTCATCTTACAAAGGTGCTCCACTTTTAGAGTTTTACTGTTTCTAATGCCTTGGTCACATTTGTTCCGATTTTCACTACGGCGCCCGGACGATTGAGTATCTTGTTCAAAATTGAATACAATACTGAACAACACACTCAATCGGCCAGGCGCCGGCGGATGGATCGGAGCAAATGTGACCCAGGCATAATATTGAGCTTATCTCTGTATCAATGTAAATTATACAAATATGGTATATTCAGCATTGTATTTTTAAAACAACAATATTTATCTATGTAAACATTGAAATAATTCTCTGCAGTGATTGTTATTAGATAATAATTAAAGAATCTATAAAATTGTAAAATGAGAAAAATTGTAATGTCAAACACAACATAAATGTGAATGCAATATTTTATAAAACTCTGAAAACTGAAAAGTTAGAAGAAGACATCGTTTGTCATGCTTCAGAATTAAGTTTTTCAGAATAAATATATCGTACAACAAACTACAGTAAAACATAATGTAGAAACAAAACACTCTTGGGACCTCGGAATAGTGTTCCACCTGCAAAAGAGAGAACATCAAATGAATAACTTGATTATTTAAAAATAAAAATTTTCCGACCGTAGTGGTATTTCCATGCAAAATAGAATAGAAAAAGAGAAGGGTTTGCATGAAAAATATTAACACACTTGCATGTACAAAATTTAAATTCAATGAAACTCACAAGTGATCATTTTCTTGATATTCAAACTTTATAGAGGAAGATGTTAAGAATATGAATGCAAATAAGAGTATTGATTAAATATTAAAGCAATGATCTGTATTGTGCCCATGCAAATTAAATGTGTTTATGATCCTTATATGGTAATTTCAAAACCGTTTGTACTTAAATGGCCATACCAACCCCCACATGTGCTTATACGGTAATATGAAAAATCTGTGAGTATATGGTTATATCTAACCCCTGCTTGTCAAATTGTCAAGCATTTTCCTTTTTTAGGAAAAATGACATATAATGTTTTCGCTGAAAGTGCATTTAACTTGCAAGGGCAAATGCGAACTACTTGAAAATGTATCTGTCTATAAGTGGCGTCCTCATATCTGATATTGATCTTACTTGTTATAAATGAAGAAGTGTAAATAAACATTAAATATGTAAATAGTAATGCATTATTGTGTCCTATTAATCGACCCTGTGATTGAACATTCATTATCCCACCGAACGAAGTTCGAGAGGGATATAGGAAAGCCGTCCGTCCGTCCGTCCGTCTGTTTGTCCGGGCGATAACTCAAATACCGTTTCACGGATTTGATTCAAATTTTATAGGCTTATGCCTTATGGGTGTAGGACCTCTGCTCGAGAAGGAATTTTCAATATGGCCACTGAATTCAAAATGGCCGCCATTTTTCGTAAAAATGTAATCTTTAATAACTCAAATACTAGTTTGCGGATTTGGTTCAAATTTTATATGCTGATGCCTAGGGACAAAGGAAATTCGCACAAAAAGAGATTTTCAAGATGGCCGCTTAATTTCAAAATGGCGGCCATTTTTCGTAAAAATATGTAATCTTTGATAACTCAAATACCAGTGAACGGATTTGGTTCAAATTTTATATGATGATGCTTAGGGACACAGTAGGTATGTGCGACAAAACATTTTCAAGATGGCCGCTTAATTTCAAAATGGTGGTAATTTTTCGTAAAAAACGTAATCTTTGATAACTCAAATACCAGTGAACAGATTTGGTTGAAATTTTATATGATTATGCCTAGGGACACAGTAGCTCTGTTCAAGAAATAATTTTCAAGATGGCGGCTGAATTTCAAGATGGCTGCCCAAATTCCTTAAAAGACGTAATCTTTGATAACTCATATACCAGTGAACGGATTTGGTTCAAATTTTATATGCTGATGCCTAGGGACATAGGAGTTTCGCACAAAAAGAGATTTTCAAGATGGCTGCTTAATTTCAAAGTGGCGGCCATTTTTCGTAAAAATATGTAATCTTTGATAACTCAAATACAAGTGAACGGATTTGGTTCAAATTTTATATGATGATTATTAGGGACACAGTAGCTATGTTCGACAAAACATTTTCAAGATGGCCGCTTAATTTCAAAATGGCGGCAATTTTTTGTAAAAAAACGTAATCTTTGATAACTCAAATACCAGTGAACAGATTTTATTGAAATTTTATATGATTATGCCTAGGGACACAGTAGCTCTGTTCAAGAAATGATTTTCAAGATGGCGGCTGGATTTCAAGATGGCGGCCCATATTCGTAAAAAACGTAATCTTTGATAACTCATATACCAGTGAACGAATTTGGTTCAAATTTTATATGCTGATGCGTCGGGACAAAGGAGTTTCGCACAAAAAGAGATTTTCAAGATGGCCGCTTAATTTCAAAATAGCGGCCATTTTTCGTAAAAATATGTAATCTTTGATAACTAAAATACCAGTGAACGGATTTGGTTCAAATTTTATATGATGATTATTAGGGACACAGTAGCTATGTTCGCACAAAAAGAGATTTTCAAGATGGCCGCTTAATTTCAAAATGGCGGCAATTTTTCGTAAAAAACGTAATCTTTGATAACTCAAATACCAGTGAACAGATTTGATTGAAATTTTATATGATTATGCCTAGGGACACAGTAGCTCTGTTCAAGAAATAATTTTCAAGATGGCGGCTGAATTTCAAGATGGCGGCCCATATTCGTAAAAAACGTAATCTTTGATAACTCATATACCAGTTAACGGATTTGGTTCAAATTTTATATGATGATGCCTAGTTCACAATGGTATAAACTAACTTTGTGCCAAATTTCATGCTTCTATCTCAAAGTGCACAAACATTTCAACATTTACACTAGCTATAATAAGCATGATATGTTTTGTTCGGTGGGATTTGCTACTCCGTGGAGTTGCTGTTTTTCTAGTTGTCAGAGAGAAACCCCCAGAATTCAAAGAGGAACTTCACAGAAGATATATTCAAATTTGAATTCTGGGCAGAACCTACCATCTCTTATCTAGTGGTTAGATGCATGACTAATTGAAAAATATATTGCAACCATTTTAGGTTTGGGAAAATATGTAATTTTGGCTTATGATGCTTAATTGCAAAGCCGCAACATGACATGTGTACATGTAAGTATATATGTATTATTTCTAAAAAAAAATAGAAAAACAAATTGGGAAAATTGGGAAATATCATGGAGCTTGGAGCAGAATAATGAAATTACGATCTAAACTTCATACATACACTCAACTCTAAAACTTCAGGGAATAAATAATTAACAGCCACTTGCTGGGACAATATGTACATATATAATGAATAAAGAGTTAATTAGATTGGTATATTAACACATTATTACATCATATTATACTTAAACAATGTAAAATCATCCACTACCTGATATATTTAATTGTTCTCTAATTGTATTAGGATGATTGGGTTTTGCATTGTGAATGGATTACAATATTTACATATTCTTCATGAACTGTAAACCTATCATGAGAGTGGGTCATTGTACGCTTGCCAAATTGGTACAGTCAATATGGTACAACGAAAATGGGACTTCTGCGCATGTTAAAATTTTTCGTCAAATTTCAACTTTTGTTCAAGTTGATACGATTGTCTTTCGAACTAGAGACTTACCTCATTCGAAAGATCATAAAAGACTTTATCTATACTGAAAATCTTAGATCCAAACATAGTAGAATACGCCGTCAGTCCGCATTTGATTTTTTGAAGTGAGTTTCGTAGATCGTCAGATTTCTCCGACTGATATCGGGTTATCTCAAACTGGTTCGTTTATAAATACCAATTTCTTTACCGTTGTAAGGCGCATGCGCAAAATTGATTTATAAACCTTATTGGTTGATGGTTTTTCTCCTGCGCATGCGTGACGTCTGTTGAACAATTATGACGAAGACCGGAGCAAACATTACTAGCTCTTGAACGAAATTCCAAGATTCAGGTCATTTCGCCGTGTTTGCTAAGCGTGTATACGTGAATGACAAGCTGTTTTGAGTAGATCGGGTACCTGTTTTAGACACAACATTGATTTAGCTTGACATTGATGTGCACATTGGCACTTTTGAGCATGTTAATACAAGTTTTTACACGCTTAGCACGAGACGGGTTTTCGAAAAATCTGTTATCTGATTCACTCGATTATCGTATGGATATGCATTTCTGCTGACATTTCAACACCACATCACATAGAATTACGATGCAGATTGCAGAATGATAATAAAACACAAAACAACTACTAAATTCCACTTGTTATTTCACAGGAGGTAAAAATGCAAACTGCCTAGATTCTTTGTAAGGGTCGTCAGACATCGGATTGGCCGCCATATTTGAAATGAAAATATCACTAAATAGAGGTCTGCGCATGCCTCAACATTTCGACTGGGTAATGATATGATTTTTGCTTCTTTAATTCTTGCTTGCTTGAGGATTGAACAAAAATGTATATTATAATTATATCGTAATCGTAATTTATTATAGCTCCAGCCCCTTATGTCAATAAAACTTCAGTTGTTATATTTCAGTAAATAACATACTATCAAATAAGTTACGTACGTCAGTTAATGATCGTGCAGAAGGACATACAATCATTTTATCTATAATTTAAACCCCTAGAATTTGATAAACTGGACAATGTTACACCATACAGAAACATACATTACCCTGCGTGTAGAGTCTAGCTCTCTTTTAAGGAGTTAAGTCAAACGAATGCAAAGGGTAAACATACATGTACAGTTTAGAGAGATCAAGAAAACGTATTGTAGCTCAAAATGAAGAAAAAGAAGCAAATGTGAATCAGAGACATATAAAACATGGAACGCTTCATTTTGCGTCCAGGGTCCTTTCACTATAAGTTATTCCTACTCCTATTATTGAATTCTTGCAGACAATAGGCTTCATGTTCAAGAGGTCGTAGTTTTTGTTTTTATACAAGGTGTAATGTTTTGTCACAAGTTGACAGAAGTGATTCCACTCGATTCCAGACTTGCAATTGTGAAATATTATATGTCCGATAAGTGAATTATCCGACGTTAACCCATTGTTAATCGTAAAATCTATAATCTCCGTTGAAAAGACTTGTATTATTGGCCGTTTATTGGCCAATTTATTTGATAAAATGTGAGTTATTCATCATGGATCAAATACTCTTAAACATTAATAATATATATTATATACTATATTACTTGGTCAAAAATCGGGCTTTGTTGTTCAACCTTGCGAATGTTAACGATTTTGTGTGTTTCTATTATATCTATGATGCGTTTTCCACAGAAAAGACTATGAATGGATAAGACTGCATGGATTTAGAAGTACAGAAGCAAGCGGTTAAGTCGTTCTGGTAACTTAATGGGGTTCGGGCTAACGACATGTTTTTCAGCGATGAGAAAAATACGCAATTATTTACCAAAGCCACAATGGGGGGTAAGCCTTAGATGAAAAGTCCAATTGGAATACTAAATTGGATTGAACTCAGTGGATTGCCAGATTGCTGTTATTAAACTGTTTAGGATTTCTTCAACAATACTTTGTTATTAACAGTGAGGAGAAATGTAGGAAACAAACTGAAACTCAGTTCTGTCTAGGATTTTAACAACTTACCGCACACAAAGATGTAAATATACTGGATAATTTGAGACCAAAATAGTACTCTCCCTTGAAATCTAAGTTATGTAATCGAAATCAGACAGGTAAGAAGCTACATTTTTTACATTAATTAAGTCACCAAGGCCAGGGCACCAAGGTTCACGACTATTTTTGTCAAGACTAGGTTACCAGTAGGTCAATTGCATATGTATCCATAGTAATATTTAATTAATGGGACAGTTTTCCAGTGAGACATTTTATATTAAATGGAAGATATTTCTTGTGACAACGTTTTTTTATCAGTAATAAAATATATGACAACGTTATAAATAGCAGATTGTATTTCTTCATCCTAACGGGAAGATACATAAATGTTACGTACTGGGAGATTTTGGATACAGGGTTTATCCAATAGGATATGGATTACATATGTCGCCAATTTCAAGTGACATGTCACCAATTTCAAGTGACATGTCACCAATTTTAAGTGACAAAAATGAGTATCGGATCATTCTTGTAACGCGTACATGTACGTTTTTGCTAAGAAGCATATATTTCTAGTGACGCATTTGTTTATTTGCTCCATGGAAAATATTGTGACACATTTGTATAACGACACATTTGATATTTATACGTAGTGAGTTATGACACAATTGTCGAGTGACATATTTCAATGTATTGAGTCGTGACGCAATTGTTGAGTGACATATTTATACTTGTACGTGGTGAGTTATGACACAATTGTTGAGTGACATATTTATACTTACATGTAGTGAGTTTTATACAATCGTTGAGTGACATATTTCAACATATTGAGTAGTGGCACAATTGTTGAGTGACATATTTATACTTGTACGTGGTGAGTGGTGACACAATTGTCGAGCGACATATTTATACTTAGTGAGTTTTATACAATCGTTGAGTGACATATTTCAACATATTGAGGAGTGGCACAATTGTTGAGTGACATAACCAAACGAAGTGAGTGGTGACGCAATTGTTGAGTGACATATTTAAACGTAGTGAGTTTTACACAATTGTTGAGTGACATATTTATACGTAGTGGGTTTTATACAATCGTTGAGTGACATATTTCAACGTATTGAGTAGTGACACAATTGTTGAGTGACATATTTCAACGTATTGAGTAGTGACACAATTGTTGAGTGACATATTTATACGTAGTGGGGTTATACAATCGTTGGGTGACACATTTCAACGTATTGAGTTGTGACACAATTGTTGAGTGACATATTTATACGTAGTGGGCTTTAAACAATCGTTGAGTGACACATTTTAACGTAGTGAGGGTGCCACAATTGTTGAGTGACACATTTAAACTTAGTGAGTGGTGACACAATTTTTGAGTGACATATTTCTAGGTAGTGAATGGCTTTACCATTGTTGAATGGCACATTTCTATGTAGTAAGTGGTGACCAATTTGTTGAGTCACATATTACTTGGTAGTGAATGGTTACACAATTGTTGAGTGACATATTTTTAAGTAGTGACAGGTTACATATCGCAGAATGTATGTAATGATTGATTCCGAAATTAAGAAAATCACCACCATTAAAATTGATTGTATGTATGAAATTATGAATAGAATAATGAACTTTACTAAGCTTAACTAGAAAACACTATATTGAGAAGGCAATAAATGATTCTTTTGTATTCTTTTCCTGTTTTTGTCAAAAGGGTATTCTTCAAAACATGGTATCCATATCCATGAAAAGAATACGCCCGAGAATACGCCAGCGCAAACTCTCATACTAAAAAATACCCCAGGTTTACTTTGAGTTTGTAAGCGTAAGATGATGATATATCGATGTTTTTGTAGATTATACTTATCCTGTGAATAAATTGTTAGTTTCAAAGATACACAACAGAGATAGGGGAAAGAGGACTTAAATAGGACTAAACCAAGTCCGCAATTTTCTTTAATTATATGGAATTATACGTATATGTGAATCTGAGAGTGCATTCACGTTATTGACTGAAGTAATACTAAAATCCTTAAAACGATTATTTGATAACGGATAATTTGTCATATTCGTTATAGAAATTACATCCTGTGTATGTCTTGGCAAGCGCAGATATCATTTTACTACAAATTAAGTTGTCGATAGAACGTTGTTAGACTATGTGATCTTTTCGTGTTATTTCAAACGTTCAATTTTCTATATTCACTTTTCTATATTGGATCGTGGACCATTTGGGTTTAAGGATAAATAACAGCCTCGGGCCCAACGGCCCTCGACTATTATTTATCATAAAACCCGATACTCATAGTTTATCCATAATTAATCCAAAATTTGGTCATGAATGATCATGTTTCATCAAACGTACTCCTTACAAGGATGATAAACTTAGTTACACCTTATCAAAAACTAATCAAACGTCATACATCATATTCAACTGAATACGATCAGTAATAGCACCACGTTATTGACTTTCTCTGATTTTAAAACAACAGAGGAAAGTAAATGCGAAATTGATATCCGTTCAAAGAGATCGTCCAGGCAAACTTGCAATAATGTTCATCGATTGAGTTTTATGAAAAATATTCCTGGTATAATTACAATTGTGAGAACGTACTTCATATCCGAAAACATAGAAATCTCATATACTTCAACGCTGGTGGGTATTTGTATGTCATTTAGCGCAACAATATATACTTAGTTTTAACAGCTTTTGGTTTCGATCGGACAGAGCGCAGAACGCACTCATTTGTAGAACATAACAACATCAATGTTGGTTATTTTTCAAGTATCGCAATCATCGGATTATGTGCCATTATTGGTATTGATAATTACGTCAGTTTGATTTGTTGTCGTGTGTCGGTTAGCTGGGATGGATTACTATTTTATATGTTAACATGGGGTGCAATTCAAAATTATTCTTTATGTACCAATTGCCAATTGCCAGATTCCGATTCTTATGTTAAAGGTCGTTGATTTCATGACACATGGTCGGCAGTAAAAATCAGTTTGTGTTGACACATTGGGTTGAAATCATCCAAATGGCTGATTGTATTAACTAGAATAATCTAAAATAGACATAGATCCATTCAGAAAAAATATTCCATGACGGTGAATGTTTAACCTAAAAAATGATTTCCTTTAAATAATTCATCACATATTTCCATAGTGAACTTGACTCTATTGAAAACGGAATTGCAAAAACCCTGTAACTTTGGAATAAAGTCCTCAGTTATAGTGGAATCTTCATGATATTTTTGTATTGATAAACACTTCGATGGGCAAAACGATTTTGTATTTAATGGCATCAACGACCGTTATATTTCTTTTTCTTATGGCCATAGATTGTGATAATGTAATTTGAATGTGGGGATGGGGACATTGTTTCTTTTTAGTTGGATTATGCTTTGGGATAGTTGGGATTTGTTTTCCTTATGATTGGTGTAAACTTAGATCTTTTCTTTTTCTTGCTGGGTTCTGTAATTTTTTGTTATTTCCCTTTGGCTTTTGTGCGTACATATTTACATTTTTGTGACGTCACTCTTTATATGAGAAAATTATGATTTTATGATTTATTATTTTCAGAGTATGCCAGAGAGTGCAACATGAACCTAGGCAATCACCTCACACTTCTTGCCACAATTCTAGGCGAGCTTGTGTATCTTTGTACAGGTAAGTACACTTAGTGTCATTTCAAATTGTATACATTCAAATTGTCGCCAGGTCGGGAATGTAATTCACAAACAGTAGAGGGCCTAGAATCGCCCCCTGGGTAAATCTGCGTTTTTATAATATTTTGTAGATTCACTTGAATCATGGATATTTTCCTCCTGCATATAAGTGAAGCAAGAAGCTTAGACTGACATTGTCCTATACCACTTTTGAACAATTTATAACGTATTCCTGGGCCTCAGATAGTAAATGATTGTATAGGTGTGGGAAATGTATCAAAGGTGAAAGTCCCGGCCAGGGTGAATGTCAAATTTTCAGGTGTTGTCACTTCAAAATGACATATCACATATCATTTGTTAAGAAGTTCATCAAACACGGTCATACTTATATATTTTATCATTTTGCAAAATTACCTGACTTATCTCTAACAAGTGTTCCAATGGAGGAACTCAAAGCTCAAGGTTAAGATCGGTCCAACCTTCCGGAGTTTTCGTAATAAATAAACTCCCCTTAAAAAGTTTAGAAACATATCGAATAAACTTGTTAAAATAAAGCGTGCTCAGCGATTAAAACCATAATTTACCATTTCCGAACAAATGTGATGTGATTGAAGAAAAATCAAATTCAAACTTTTGGCTTTTAACCTGAAGAAAGATCTTGGTCATTTGCTGATGACTTAATAGAACTAAAATTTTTTATAAACCTTTTAAATAAAAATCATAAGGAGACGATATTTGATTTATGAAGAAGGAATTTCTTAATATTTATATTTTGTAATCAATTAAACATTATAAGTGGTTGATAAATCCAAAGTGGGTTGGGTTTGACATAAATGTCTCTATTTTGTATGATATAATATATATAACTTGCCATTATAGATTAAAAACAACTTGATAACGAATATACAGTTGTTACAGGATTCAAAAGTTGTCGTTTTAGCATCTCCGAAACTAGTCTTGCTCAAAGACTGTATCCACCCCCCCCCCCCCCCCCTTCACCTTCACTCTCTTTACCAGGCAATATACAGAGAGAAGGATAAGGGGGGGGGTACAGAGTCGTTTAAGCAAGACTACTCCGAAACTCTATACTTACAGATGTATTGTATGTTTTTAGGGATCAAATGTCCGTCAGATAAGGTGACCCTACAAGGAACGTCAGAAGTACAAACGATCTCATCCCCAAATTATCCTTCCAATTATGAAGCGTGAGTATTACAATATGATGCATGATAAAATACTCCACGCCGTACAAAACAAATGGTTATAGAAAGGCCTGTTAGGTATTCGGGCTTAAACCTAACTGTGATATGTTGAGAAATATCTGGGCTCAAACGATCCAAAACGTTATGCAGATATTTTCTCTATCAACAATGCATTGCGTGATTAATCTGGGTATCTGCATTATGTTAATAAATCTATTCATACGGTCCTAGATTTTATCCTAAATTGAATCCATTTCAAAAGGCAGATTTTTGGATTTTCATCCATAGACTACAACCTTAAACGTTATATTTGGGAATCTCGAAACTTACACGAATTCACAAAATGTAAAAATGTAACATTAAACGTCGCCAGTTTTTGTAAGATAGCCTAACCTCCCTGGACAATATCCCCATTGTCAATCTGCCACCGTCCATAAAAGCAAAAACAACGATGGTAATTAGCCCTTACTTTTACTACTTACTATTTACTATGAGAACGGATGTGAAGTTTTAGCTATAGAATGTTGATTGAAATATAGTCTTGTTCAGGTTGAGGGGTTTTCATGCTTAATTAATCCCCGGATGGTGGTTCTAATGAATGCAAGGATAGCTCCGAGAAAATGGAGATACGAATCGATATGGAAACAGCATCAAAGAGCTATTAATGTCACGATGACATTATATTTCATTCCTACTAGTATTTTGAAATGACAGGTGGATTCTAAGTCTATTAAAGATTTAATCCAATATACAAAACGGTATATCAATGATGACAATCAAAAATTGTTGTAAAAATACAAAAAATGCATGCAGTATCACACCGTCTGATGTGTAATACAGTATGGAACAATTTCGATTTGTGGAAATGCATTCTCGAAATGTCAGGAATTGGAAGCCTGGGTGATGAGGGATTCCAGGGATCGGTGATTTCAGCAAATGCGATTTTATGGCATGCGATTCTCGGACATAAAAATGTATTAAAACACCGAACGCAAATCTTGTATTGCGTCTTATAAAGAAAAGCATAATATTTTCACCCGAGAAGAATAGTCTAGAATCGATAAACATTTTATTGGTCAAGTTTGATTGGATACCCATGCTAAACGTTAGGACTGCATTTCAGAACAATACAACTATACCCAGTTACTTCCAATTCATTTCCGTAAGTTTCGTACCGAGTGTGTGCGAACTTTATAACATTTTTACTGAAAAACGAGATCAATAACATTCTAAAATTGCTCCACACGGGAATCAATTTTACAAACAATACCATTTATATCTCGATTAATGACAGTAGAGTGAAATATAAATACGGCAATTTTACGAGAGCGATTAAGAGACTGTTTCGAATAGTACCTTTTATTATCCCACCGAACGAAGTTCGAGGGGGATATGGAGAAGCCGTCCGTCCGTCCGTTTGTCCGTCCGTCCGTGTGTCTAATACCGGTTGACGGATTTGGTTCAAATTTTATAGCCTTATGAGTGTAGGACCTCTGCTCGAGAAGGAATTTTCAATATGGCCGCTCAATTCAAAATGGCCCCCATTTTTCGTAAAAAATGTAATCGTTGATAACTCTTATACAAGTTGACGGATTTGGTTCAAATTTTATATGCCGAACCCTAGGGACAAAGGAGTTTTGCTCAAAAAGAGATTTTCAAGATGGCCGCTTAATTTAAAAATGGCGGCCATTTTTCGTAAAAATATGTAATCTTTGATAACTCAAATGTGAACGGATTTGGTTCAAATTTTATATGATAATGCTTAGGAACACAGTAGCTATGTTCGACAAATTTTTTTCAAGATGGAGGCTGAATTTCAAGATGGCGGCCAATTTTCGTAAAAAACGTAATCTTTGATAACTCATATACCATTGAACGAATTTGGTTCAAATTTTATATGATGATGCCTATGGACACAGTTGCTATGTTCGACAAAGAATTTTCAAGATGGCCGCTTTATTTCAAAATGACGGCAATTTTCGTTAAAAAAACATAATCTTTGATAACTCAAATACTCTAATACCAGCGAACGGATAATGCCTAGGGACACAGTAGCTCTGTTCGAGGAAGAATTTTCAAAATGGCAGCTGAATTTCAAAATGGTTGCCATTTTTCTTAATTCAAATTTTATATGCTGATACCTAGGGACACTATAGCTCTGTTCGAGAAAGATTTTCAAAATGACTGCAGAATTTCAAATGGCCGCCATTTTTAGTAAAAAAGAATGTAATCTTTGATAACTCAAATTTTAATTTATGGATATGGTTTACATTTTATATGTTGATGCTTAGGGACAAACAAGCTCTGCTCAAGAAGGAATTTTCAAGATGGCCACTAATAATCTAAATATGTTTTGTTTGGTGGGATTTGCTACTCCGTGGAGTTGCTGTTTTTCTAGTTTCTAAATGTATTTCTAAATACAGGGGTATATATCCTCATACTTGGGTTACGGATCTATAGATACTCTATACCATCCCACTTGAATTGTACTATAGCTAAAATCGATGTATTTATGTAACCATCTTTTTAGAGCAATTATAGCTACTAAAGGAACAGAGTGACACTAATGCAACACTCCATTTCTCCCGTGTCAGTTAAAACTGAGTGCTCTATCTAGCCTATCTTGTATGAATACTTGTATCTATAGCTATTTTTGTTAATGTTATTAGTATTGGCTATCAATTTTAATTTTTCTTTAACGTATATTGCAATGACTTCAGTTTGAATGGAATGTCCCTTGGTGTTACGATCACTGATTATGGTATTGGTACTTGAATGGTGGGGAAAGGGGATATCAGACACTTTCTTTTCACTTTGGATTCTGATTTGGGATGGTTGGAAATTATTTAATTCGAATTTTCCAAACGATCCGGTGTAAAAGAAATTATGGTCCCCTGGGGATTATGGTCCCCTTTCTTAAAGGCCCTTATTGGACCCCCTACCCTTTTACACCGGCGATGTTGACACTTATCCTCGTTTTGAGTCTGAAGTAGCAAAAATCCACAATTCATAGCATACGGCGCCGTATGTCATGGCTTAAAAGCCGTATGCTATGGTTAAGTGAAAATTTGTCAAAAATATCATATTTTACCACTGATTACAAAAATACTGTTTTTATTTTGACATGTTATCCTATGAATATCGTGCTAACTATGGATTAAAATGGTTTATGTGTGTTATCTAAATTGATGTTTTTACTTGCAGAGCTCAACTATGCAAATGGCTAATTAAGTCGGACAAAAGTTACGAAATGATCCAGTTTAGGTTTAAAGATTTAAAGCTACAAGACAGCGGGAGTTGTGTGTATGACTACTTAGAGATACTAGATGGTATGTAGGTCAAGGTCAATGACTTCTTAGAGATACTAGATGGTATGTAGGTCAAGGTCAATGCATACTTAGAGATACTGATTGTATATAGGTCAAGGTCAATGACTACTTAAAGATACTGGATTGTATGCAGGTCAAGGTCAATGAATACTTAGAGATAGTGGATTGTATGTAGGTCAAGGTCAATGACTACTTAGAGTACTGGATTGTATGAAAGTCAAGTTCACTTCGCTCAAATCAAAATGTCTAGTCTCCCCAACAAACACCCCACCTTCAAAAGGTGGAACAAAGGTAGGGAGGGGAAGCAGAGACTGTGGCAAGATTGTACTGTAAAGCTGATTGTACAGTTATGGTGATCGAACTGTAAAGCTGATTATACAGTTATGATGATTGTTCTGTGAAGCTGATTGTACAATTATGATGATTGTACTATAAAGCTGATTGTACAGTTATGATGATTGTACTGTAAAGCTGATTGTACAGTTAAGATAATTGTACTGTAAAGCTAATTGTACAGTTATGATGATTGTACTATAAAGCTGATTGTACAGTTATGATGATTGTACTGTAAAGCTGATTGTACAGTTAAGATAATTGTACTGTAAAGCTAATTGTACAGTTATGACGATTGTACTGTAAAGCTGATTGTACAGTTATGATGATTGTACTGTAAAGCTGATTGTATAGTTAAGATTATTGTACAGTAAAGTTGATTATACTGTAAAGCTGATGGTACAGTTATGATGATTGTACTGTAAAGCTGATTTTTTTAGTTAAGATGATTGTACTGTAAAGCTGATTGTACATTTAAGATGATTGTACAGTAAAGCTGATTGTATTGCGAAGAGGAACAACAAATTGAGGTTCTGAATGGGTTCCAATGACAAGGTTCCATTGTACGATAAATCAAAATAGTTGGAAATAACACACGTACTAAACGCATACCACTGGGTGATCTCATTTCAAACCACATGAACACATTAACATAAAAATCCTTATTTCATTTTCAGGAGATGGCCTGTATTCTAGGACTCTACGTAAATTATGCGGTCTTGATACCCCAACTTACACCGTTAGCTCTTCCTCAAACGAAGCTTTAGTTGTATTTCGAGCTGATAATCAATTTGAAGACAATGGCTTTGAATTAGAGTATTGGACGATGCCAAAAAGTGAGTAAACATTTCCAGCAATGACACTGGAAGGTATCGTGATACAAAGACACTGTGTCTTTGTAACAAGATGGCCTGTCTTCCGGTGGCTGATTCTCGTATGTACGAGTTTAACAAGAGAGTGAATGCAAATCAATGACTAACTAGTTAATTAACTTAGTTGGGAGTTGGAACTCACAAATATTTAAATTAACCTACTAACATATTAACATAAATAATCATTGCACAGCATTTCCCTTTACACGATCTCCCAACGAATAATATTAATTACTTCCAATTTGAAGGTTGGGAAATGTATGTTTATTTTAATATTAACCTTACTGTTTCTTCTAACCATACATGTACACCAAAAAGTACCAGTGCTCACATTTGACTTAAAACCATGGAGACGTCTACTGGAATACATTCTTGCCGTCTTTTTATTTTTGTTTGCTAAAAGTGCTTATCTTGTACTCACCCTAGCTCGTTTAATTTCGTAACACCACCCACTTGATTTCTACATGATACTTTATTAGATGTTCTAATCCTAACCATTTACTTTTCAGTGTTCGAAGAATTCAAAGACATTCAATATGGACTTGCCAACTACATATGTTTTGGTATATGTGTACTGCTCCTGATTTCTCTCATTATAACAATAACATTTGTCTGTATAGACAACGGTAGAACGGTTAGAAAACGACAAAGACTCATGCTCCAAAGGCAAAAGTCAGAATTAGATATTTTAGAACGACTGGAGTCAATATCAAGGAGGACTTCAAGAATTGCAATCCATAAGACGTCCACTGCGTTGCTGACTTCATCCACTGACTGCTAATATTAATAGTCATAAAACCAACATGCATCCTAACTCAATATAGGTAATAGAGTTTTCTATCTATCCCCCATGGGCTTAAACGTGGGAATGATCGGTTGAAAGGGGCGTCTTACGTCAATCTTAAAGGATACGAGAATACGAAATACAATGTACGACTTTGAACCAATTGTAGCTGAATTACAATGCTTGAGAATCATCCTTGACACCCAACGATGTCACCTGATCGGATATAGGTCCATTATGCTGTTACAAATAACAAGTTTGGTCTTCTGTTATGCAATTCTGCGTTTTGACATTACTAACTATCGTTTAAAAACTAATCTCTCTGCATGCTAACATTGGCTAATAAAACAAGTTGACATACCAATTCCAACATGCTTTTCCAGTTTGATTTTTTAGTTTGCGAAGAATATTACAATGGCCGAATTGTACCAAAACGAAAGTACAGTCTTACCCTTTACCATATTTAAACCATTATTCTTCAATTAACATGCTTTATATGAATTAATATTTCCAGATGTTGAAGAATGGGGCGAAGTTCAGTATTCGTCGGTTAACTATGTATTATTCGGCTACGTTGGGACATTTTACCTCTCTATCATCGTTTGGATCGTTGTGATTGTGTTCGCTGAGAAGGAGCGACGAAATAAGCTAAGGCTGACACAACAAGGGGAGCCCGATCAGAATATTTATCTGAAGAAAAAAAACTAGGTCATGTAGCCAAAACTGGAATAAACACCAATAGATGGCATGACATTATTTATTCGATACTGCTGGACAGTGTCATGACAACGTATAACTAATAACGTTGATATTTTTCAATATTTTGAAGTCTTGATCTTGAAAATGCCATGACTGAAACGCACGCTATATATATCAGTCAAGCCATGTCCATCGATCGACTTGAGTGCCAGTGCAAAGCAAAACTAATGTCCAAATGCATTGTCACATTATATTTACATTTTTATATTTATTTTATATTTTATTTTATTGCTCCATTTTCTGAAGTATTGCGCTTTATCCCCGCGTGAGAGACTTGACACTGTGTATAGCAATGACCACTGGTCGTAATACAGGGCGGTCCAAAAAGTGGAACAGTATTAATCAATTTCAGTCTGAAATATTGCGCAAATTCATCCACACGTGAGAGACTTGGCACTGTTTAAAGCAATGACCATTAGTCGTATATACAGGGTGGCTCAATTTTTGGGAAGCCTTTGAAAACATGTTGATTATGGCTGCTCAGTTACATTTTTGGTGTATTTACCACAAATAAAAACATTAAGTGGAGAAATAAATTTTCAGCATACATTTAAGTAATGTTCCATTATTTGGACCACCCTGTAGTTAGATGACCGATTACATTTGGGTACACTCGTTGTACGAGGGTACATATTCGACAATAAATAATGCACCAATAAATCTTAAAGTACATTTTTAATGATACAATTTTTGGGTTCTTGCCTTGATAATTACGAGTCCTCTTAACCGATATCAATTCTGACATCTATTTTGATTGTAACAAGAGCTATTTATCAATCTTGAAACTGTATGCATGAATTGAAAAAGGCTTCTCTTGTGCTCGGAATAAATTGGACAGAACAACGTTTCCACATTCACGTTGCACCTATGCAAGGGACTCCTCGATTTACAACTTGATTGAACTTCGTTTTATTGTGTCAAGGTCACAATTGGTGTCACATATTGTTATAGTCTCCAACCTTTTTGTAGATGGTGTTCGGCGGTTGTTGTTTGGTGTCTGAAACAAATGGCAGATGTTGGGAATTTTGCTTTTAATGCCTTGTCTATCCTTGTTACACACTAGTGACTTTTTTTTAAAAAAACCTTAGAGAGTAGACCGTTCGATTCTGTAGCTGCCACCATGCTTTAACTGTTTGCCAAGACTGCATGAGTCAGCATGACTGTACAACAAGATGGCGACTGTAAACAAGATGGCGACTGTGCAACAAGATGGCGACTGTACAACAAGATGGCGACTGTGCAACAAGATGGCGACTGTAAAAATGTTATTACTTTGTATAAATAACTGTCAACCTTAACACCCCAGTCACATTTCCTACGGTGACCTTGCGGTCTATCATTTCTGCGGCCAGTAACATTTCTACGCTCGCCGTGGAATTTCTGCGCTCTCATACTTTGCAGTCACATTTCCCACGGCAGCCGAACGGTAAATTTTAAATTTCTGTTGATAAATAATACTTTTTTCATTGTATTTACATCGGGACAATTTATAAATGTTATTCATAGTGCTAGGATGTAATATCAAATGAAAATTGATCGTGAAACATTGACAAATAATGATTTAATCTTGTTGAGCCAGTTGGTTTCTACGGGGACCACAGAAATGAACAAATATTATAACTCCGAGTTATAATTTCTACGGCGACCCTGCGGCCTGTAAAAAACTGGATACGCCGTACGGAGGCCGCAAGGCGAGCGTAGTTTTCCTACGCTCGCTGCAGTAATACAATTGATCTGCGGTCGACGCACCGCCTCCGTACGACAAATGTGACTGGGGTGTAATTAATTTGTGCACGATTTCTTACACTGAACACAAATAATCGTATATATAGTTCTATTTTTTCCATTTATTCAGGAGTAATTTTGCGAGTGCGTGTATAAAGCCATTTTTACAGTAAATTTGAATTACACGGATTAAATACTATTTTAACATGTAATCATTGGACATCATACAATTAGTCATATAAAGGAAAATATAAAGTCTGTGAAATCAGAGTATCTTAAATCATTGATACATAATATACTTGGTTATTATTTGACCCCCAACTATAAAGAGCGGGAAATATTTCCATCCTGGAAGATGGAACGAAATGTGTTTTTGACTAATTAAGAGTCATTATTAAGTGCTTGAGGGGCATTTTAAATATCATGAGCACATCTTTTTCCTAAATTTTATTTGAACAATAAGCTAGCAGTCCCGTTAGAAGCATCAGAGTAACGTGCAAGGCAGGTTTGCATCCATCGCAAGTCAGCGAAATTCTAGGCCGAGGGGCATGGCGGGCGTTCGACGCAAAACAATCATTATAATCTTTGACCAGCCATTCTTTCATGCAGTAACGTAGAATAGCTTGTTCATCGGGGTGCATAATTGTTTTCTCGTCATCATCATGATAGAGTCTATTCAGGTACGAGTTTTCGGAGAATATCGACCTAACTGAGTTAAATGTCACAGAATCGAACCCCCATTTGCCGTCTTCGAAAGGCGCCCAGCGATAACAGAATCCTGACGCAATGATATTCTCCTGTCCGTTAAATTCGCTCGGGCATTTATTCTCAGTAACAGAACGAAATGCCCGTGCATGTGCCGTGTTTCTGCAAGGGCATGGGGTAGTCGCATTGATAACCACATCTTTCACTATATAAACTGTCCCAAAATCCTGTCCTTTTTCGTAACGTGTGAACCCGTAATATCCAGCGTTCCTGTCTAACTCGGGTTTTGCGCCAGTATGGAACTTCAAAAGTCGAACTCCGATGTCAGCCCCAGCTTTGGCTCTGATAATGTATTTATCATTTTCATAAACGAAATTCAGTTTCTGAATACTTTTCCCGATGCACAAGAATAACAAAAAGATAACACACGCAGACGATCCACGCATCTTGTTTGAAAAAAGTCCTTTAATTTTTTTTATTGAAAATGAATTCGATTCCTCAAACCAGCTGCAAGTGCGCGCTATGATATGAGACAATATTCTATTAAAACGAGGAGCGTTTTTCTCAAGTGTCTGGCCAATCAGCATCAGTCATATGGAACAACTAACCAATCAGGGTGGTCAAATTTTAAATTCATCCCTGGATTTCACCATGATGCTTATTTGAAGAGTCGACTATTTGGACAGCCGACCATCCCAAATCAAAACGAAAGTACTTAAGACCGACAAACAAGAGATAGCACCTGGGGTAATCTTTGGACATCCGCCTCTATTCAAACTAAAATTGCCCTCTACATGTGCTCTAAATGTCCATATTACCACCCTTGAGTTAGATAAACCATATGTAACGTGACTACATATTCTTGTAATACACTCCCTTAGTTACCGGGGTAGTAAGTTTTGAATGAGCATTTGTCTTAGTCCAATTCTTTGAAACCGTTGTCTCCAATTGTTGTATGATAGCATTGAAGCTTGCATGAGAAGACCTATTTTGCATAAGGCAAAGATTACATCTGCAATTGCCCTCTTGCATTTATTGTCAGAAGTTCAACAGTAATTACGATGGGAAACGCCATAGCAACAAACAACGCAATGAACGATGTCCAAATGTAAGAAATGTATACGAATCTAAATACCGGTCAATCTGTGAACACAAATGACATGGTTGAAAAGCGATACACAAAAAAGTTTCAAAAAACGACAACCTACAAAATTACTTATCAGCAATGAATCCGAAACCTCAAATAGGAATAGCACCACTGTCATGGAATGTACGTCCAAGGGTGATATTTAACTTCTAAATACAGGGTGGTCAAAAAATGGAAACCCTTACACCATTTTCCTCATATATTTGTCATTTTAAGAAATAACTTTTGTACATTTGTACATCATTCAATTTCCTACCAGCCTACTTCATTTCCACAGGTAGGGATCAGATCGCACCTTCGCGTCCATACCGCTGTTTTCCGTACAGGTTGCCGCTCCTTCGAGTAGATAATCGACAGAATTTACGAATACAAAGGCTCTATCTTTTAATTCAGTCAACCTAGCCCTTTCTTCATAGTATATTCAGTTAGAGGAATGTGTTTCATATCATCTACGTTTTTAAGGGTACTTACATATGTCTAGGTTGCTCGTAGGACAGCACACAAATTACCCCCTGACATCCACCATTTCAGTTAAGTACGTTTTTCTTGGATTTGGGGTCATTTTTGTTCCTTCACACCTCGTCCAACGTAAAATTTGATTGATTTTACTGTTTAAATGGCTAAATGTATAAGAATATACCTGTTATACCAGCATTGTTTCGACTTTACAGTTTCTGTCAAATTCCGCCGTTTTCGTTTTTGGATTACGCACCTTAATCGTATTTTGGTTTCAGTTAGGTAGAACTCTCCTTTTATTCAGATTAATGTTAAATTGGCAAAGTTCAGATCACAGAGAACTATTTACACGTGATTTGTGTCGTTTTTAGAGTTCTTTCAAAAACGATACAAACGATACAAATCATAGTCTATGTAAATAGATTAGAATTTCTCAAATCGCAGCCCATCAATTTTTAAAGAATTGCAATAAAATACAGCAAAACTTCTCACCTTTATGTCGTAAACATTTAAACAAAGAGGCCACGAAAATCAAAACCTCTGCTGTCCTGGTTGGTTAAAGTGCAAAAACGTCGTCACATTTATGTTAATGAGCCAAATTACCGGGGCCCACAAACAATTGTGTGCCCAAAATTTTTGCAGTGGGCCTTTTTAGGTCAAATTATCAAAAATGGGCATTCAAAGTTTTTGGATTTGAAATGTACACACCCCCCCCCCCCCTTGTTAACTTCTGGATTCGCCAGTGGTTATGATCACAAATCTACAAGTTATTCTTTACTCTCTCTCGCGAATAGGCCTACGGGCGTTTATTTTGCACAGGGCGTTTATTTGAAAGAATTTTTAATAAACGCCCATGGGCCTATATTAAGAGGGAGAAAACAATTTTCCAAGGAGGATGGGCGTTTATTTAGAGGAATAGCTAGGGGGATATTATCGATTGTATAGTTGACACATGGCCTTCATACTCACGCACTAGTATGATCACGAACGTGGGCAAAAACGTTGACCAATATGTGACCTCATTTTTATTAATCATTTGTACTTGAACGACATTAATCACGTATTACCTTACATATGTACTATTCGCAATTTCATCCCTTTTCTTGAATGTTTTGCCAACTGGGCATTTATTTGAAATAATTTTTAATAAACAAATTTAGATTGGATAGTTAATCCAATAGCCAGCCAATTTACCTTGAAGGTGTGAAATATATGAATAGCATCGTGAATAGCCCTATTAAGATAGGCTAGGCTAATTCTGTTAAAACTATACTCATATTAATCACGTATTATTTTGGTAAATAAACGTCATATTCATAAAAATTATAAATTGTTAAATTAAAAGTGTTTAGCATAAACTTCTCTAGATAAAACCAATATAATTTAATCTTTTAGAATTAATTCACCTAACTTTTTTACAATCAATAAATTCAGAAAATTACTTAACATTTCCGATTTATATCTAGTTTCTAATTTATCCCTAATTCTTTCAAAATTCATCAATATCATAATGAAAGGTACATCTAATTGTTTTTATAGATATTTAAATATGGTGGGGTCGAGTTGACTAAGGGTTGAGTTGACCAAGGGTTGAGATGACTTGGGGTCGAGTTGACTAAGGGTTGACTTGACTTGGGTTGAGTTGACTTGGGGTTGAGTTGACCAGTTACCTTTTTAAAGAGGGAAAAACCTTTTCATACACCCCACTTTCAAATAAACGCCCATGGGCCTATTCGCGAGAAACTAACATCGTATGTGTACAAAATAGAGAATTCCTTCCCAATATAGTGCTATTCCACACCATTGAAAAAACAGTTATTTACAAACCTGGCTGCTCTTCTCTGCTCCTGTTCCAACATATCAATATTTTTGCCGGTATGGATCCCATGCAGAACTGGTATATTCTGCAGGACTAGTGTCTTATATGCCTGAGCCTTCACTTTTAAGGCCATTGATGGAGGTTGCGTCTGAGGAACCAAAGCACTTTATTGGCTTTGGATAGTTTGAATATGTGTAGTCAAGCGTAAATTATTTGTGATGTCAATACATATATGTAGGTATGGGATGTGTGTTACCGACTTTAGGTTTTCCCCTAGAATGGTGTAGATGTGAATGGTAGGAGATTTACCTTTGTGAATATTCAGCACATAACTCGGAGCCTGATTGCAGTTTGCACACTTCGTTTAACATATGCCAGCAGATGAACTGGAATCAATATTCAATGTACGTACAGTACACCTACTAATAAGGTGTGGAACTGTTACAAAGAAACAGTGGAGCTTCGTGTCAAATTGTGTTGATCGTCAAATGGGATGGAATATTATATGAACGAACAAAAGGATATTATCTTTAACATTCATGGCACAATTCCAATTATATGTGGTAGCTGGGGGAACTAATACAAACACGAGTTTTACCAAAACAACTGGCCACGAGAGATTTTCGAATGATAATTCCCTACTGTGCGCCCGTTTATGAAGAAACTTGAGGTAAGCTGGCGTGGGACATGGGTGAAAATGGTAGATAAATATGTGATTCAACTTATTAGACCGTAAACAGATCGGATAATTATTGTGAATTACGATTTAGATGCAGTTCTATGACCTACCTGTCCGTGATTTCTACTCGAAGGGGCGGTATTTCTACTCGAAGGCGCGGTAACCTCTACGGAAAACGGCGGTATGAACGGGAAGGGGCGAATTTGATCCCTACCTGTGATTTCATGACCATCGGATTGATATTTACAATGTTACAGCACTTTACAGAACAGCCCTAGTGGCCACTATTGTGATGTCGGGCCATCTGCACTCCCTGTCCAAAATGTCCCTACCTGTAGGGTTATGGCAAGGAAAAAGTGTATGAGAAGACCTCAGGACAATCACAAACCTAAAAGTGAGATCATCCGTATCATTCAGGCCATACCTGCTGAGGAATGCATTCGGCCCATTGACAACTGTGCAGGTTTGCCTACAGCGCGATGATGGCCAAAATTGAAGCATGTTATTCAAAGTGCTGTAAAATTATGACTATCAGTCTGATGGTCATGAAATTTGGTAGGGTGAAATTGAATGATGTACAAATGTGTGAAATATCAGGGAGTAATTGCTTAAAATGATAAAGATATTAGGAAAATGCAGGGTTTCCATTTTTTTTACCACCCTGTATATATTCTCTTGTTTCACGGCATTGTGGATTTTAGTTTTGGCGTTGCAGACCCCGATACAATTTCTCAGTGAATAAAATCAAACAGATCTTAAATTTTCAATCAAGCCAAATATAGCAGAAAAACATAAAATCATGCCTTATCTTTATATTAGTTCTTTATCTCTGCGAGGCAATTCATCATATTATGTATGTTATATACATTCATATACTTTTTATCTTTAATGACCATGTCCAAAACTAGTACACGTTGTTCAGAGGCGCTGGATTTGACGTTTTGCCAAAAGACGAAGGCAATTTCTTAAGATACACTTTACAAAAAAAACATTATTGTCATTCAAACATTTTACACAAGTCTAGGTTTGGAGAACAGTCTCTCCTGGGCTAATGATTTTTTATGAAAAATATACAAATATTATGCCCAAGAAGATATAGCCACCAAAATTCACGAAAAGTTGATCAGCTCTTCATAGTGCTACTAGTACATTTGAAACAAATTGCACTGATTAGAAAATGCAAAAGCCCTGAATACTTTAGGAGGAATTATCAAACCCAATTGATCCAATCCAATCCACCAGCCAATCAGAAATCTAAACAATACTGAGAAAGGGAAAGAGTTGGAAAGTAATAATCCAATGCTGTTTCAAAACAAAAACAATAATTGCAAACTTTAATTCTAAATAACGTTCGTGAATGAGCGTTCTGGTTGATTGATGAAAATGTTTTTCTGCACTGTCAGTAGCTTCTGAACGGGAGAATGGCATTAAAATACGATAAAAATGAGAACGACGCATCCCATGTTTTTCCCTATGGAAAACTCACCCGGTCCCATTGTTTTCAGCTGAAAAACCTGATATATACAACCATGGGCTTTCAATTAGATTATATAGAACTTGTTTAACCTTAAATGCAATAATGAGAAAAATCAGATCATTTTGAGAAAATAAGTCAGATACTGTGAAAATGTGTAAAGGCGGGGTTTTAATCCATGGTTTTTCGAAGCATCAAATTGATTAGGGAGGTTAAGTTACACGTCTTTAAGAAAACCTGTACCTAATTACAATTGTTTTCCGTTATATTTTTAAACTCAATCGACCAAGTAGACAGTGTAAATGGGAGATCTTATCCACAGAGGATAACTCTACATATTTATGTACAAGTTAAAACATATATCTCAACCTCCCTTTTTCAAAATAGTAATAGTTCTACATACACTTTAACATAAAGGCATGAATTAGATTTCACACATAATTAGACAACGTGTGTCCAATTCCAGCCAATCGTAGCACGCTATTTCACGTAACTGCATTCCGTTGTATAACCAATAACGAATTCAAAGTCACTAGTTGAGCTGTTGTCATGGTGATGACTAGACTCTACATATTGAAATTGATACTTTGTCCGCTTGACTCTTGCAAAAAGTTTCATTGAAAATATACACATTTAGTGATTTTAGTGATTCGTGATTTCGTATTTTTAGACTGATTTTGTAGAAAATATTTTGCAATGTGGAAAAATAATTTAAACCCAAGACTCAATGCATTTTCCTTTCAGGCGATGTTTCCTAAACTTAACACTCGATGTTCCGCATCTCGTGCAAATTTTGGAAAGCAATACCCCAAAGGAATGGGTCATTCTGCATTGCACTGAATCCAGGGCATAAATCCAGTAACTGATCTTTATAATTAAAACGCCACTTATCTATATTATTATATACCTCAAATGTATTCTAGATGCTCATTGGCTTATTCATGGTCACATGACATGGAATAGATGAACTAATTCCCTGGAAAGTCCTAAATCCCTGCTTTCAGGGAAGATGAATTGTACTAATCACCAGTTAAGTCAAGTGAGCAGTCAATAGTACATTTTATCTTCCCCCAAATCTGAGATTATAGGAGTTGAAGGGTAAAATGCCTTTAAATGCCAATAAGAACCTGTGAACATTTGATATTGAAATGAAAAGACTTCTCATTTTGTTTTTGTTTACAGAGTACTTATCAGGTGTATAATAAAACAAATAGTGACTGCCACATTTTCGGGAAATAGTGTAAAAATTTTCCTCTCGGGAATATCCTGTCCACTGACTTGTTCCCTCGGCCTGCAGCCTCGGGAACATGTCAGTGGACAGGATATTCCCTTGAGGAAAATATTTTGCACTATTTCCCTCAATGGAAGTCACTATTTGTACAATAAAAAACGATCACTTGAGTATCGTCTTCTGACCTGGTTACTTCGGTAAGACTTTGACCTACGTTTACTAGTATAGTATATTTACACCAAGCGTCAGGCCCCGGCTTCGTGTACACAAGCATGCACATGTCGGACATTGGACCTGAAACAAGTCCATGGTCAATCCATGTTTAGCAAAAAACAGTTCGATAAATTATTTATATAATCGGAAACTATCAAAATGACTATCAAAATACGAAATTGCTCTTTAAATTAGAAGGTACTAATAATCATTCGGTAATAATCTTTCAATAGCATTTTCAGAGGCTGTCCAGGAAGGTAAGAGAACCGAAGGGCAAACATTTAATTGAAAAATTATTTTTGAAAACATTTGAAATTTTCTAAAGAATTAGGCCTACAATGCCCAGTATGTCAGTTTGCAACCTATATTTCCCAGTTTATGTTAGGAGGGGCAAATTGTGAGCATCCCCCGGGTGAGTCCATGTCTGGCTCTGGGGTCTCACCATTTTTCAATAACAGAAGCATAATAATGTTTAAAAGGACCCGTTTTGGAAGTTAACTTTTATGAATGTAGCGACCACAAGCCACACCTGGTTTCAAATTAAAGGTTCTTCATGCTATGTAACATAGGTTATGTAACGTAATGCATATCACAGAATGCAATTGTCTTGGCACTTCCATTAATTAGAATCTAGTTTCAGTTTGATTCTTTTCTTCTTCCGAGCTTATTGCAATGTGAATAATGAAATGAGAAATATCCAAGATGGGACATGCCGACCTGCCATCTATAGTATCGTCAATGAAAACAGCATTTGAAGTCACAATTCCCATGACATCTTTTGTCGATCTGCAAATAAATCGATCGATATTGTCTTAATAGCACTTCAACTGAAATATCACCGTGATGAGTTTTCCGTCGAGTGGCATGGTGAAAGGTAAGAGTTAGACCTTAAACGTCAGATGACATTAATTTAGCTAATAGAAATAGATCATTGGATTATAATTTCGTCGTTGTCTCTGTCCATCTGCTCGTAGCCATAATGTAACATGCATGTAATAGTAGGACTTGTAGAGTCCATTTCACTGGTTCATTTCGTCAGTAGAACGGCAAAAATAAGAAATTGGGAGACCATTGTGCAATAATATATGGAAAAGTATATTCATAATGTACATGAATGACATTTGTATATCTTGGATTGCTTCTAGTTTGGCTTATAAAGTGTGTGGCCTCTTATATTTGGATGTTTCTCTGCCATGTTATTTTCAATACGATTAACATGGCTGAAATTCTTCAAATTACAAGACGGCACAGGCTTATTGCACAAAAAACTAAAAAATCTGAAATATACAAATGTCATTCATGTACATTATGAATATACTTTTCCATATATTATTGCACAATGGTCTCCCAATTTCTTATTTTTGCCGTTCTACTGACGAAATGAAGCAGTGAAATGGACTCTAATACCTAAACAGCTTTCTCAACTTTTGTTAAATTCACCAATATTATGTGTAACATTTTTGTAATTGGTTTCGATTCACCATTCCAATTTAAATATCAAACATTCATAACTTACTGCAATTCTGAAGGTATACAATAAGCGTTGCATTTGATTGACTGTGATTAGCCTGTGCAATCGACAACGCTGTTCTCCCCTTTGGCGTTCTGGCTTTGACGTCAGCACCGCAATCAATCAACCACTTGACTGTATCTACAACAGCGACATCTTTAAATCATGAGAAAACAAATAATGCATTATACTTTACATTTATCAATAAATCTTGATGTCTAGAAACAACCCAATGCATGTCATCTATTATTTAATTAATTCTAATTTATCATATCACCATTAGGCCTAGTATACGAATATTTATGATACAGGGTGAGCCAAAAATGGTAACCCAAAAATGGTAATTACACAGTCATCAAGGATGGGTTGAAGGTCATATTTTGCGCTATTGAACCTTGTTTAATGTTCTTTTATTATCCTTAGTTTCATTTGTTTGATCCCAATGTTCCCGATTTTATGGCCATTTTACAAAACCTGCACCAAATGCCGATACATGCCAAAATCGCACAATATGAACCCCAAGAATTTCATCTTATGGGCTATTTCAAACATGTATATTTAAACAACTTTAGAAGCATCAGAAAGTTGAAACAAGAGATTAGAAGGAAAACCTCACCCGATACGTTCAAGTTTGCCTCCAGAGACGAAACCAGCATTTTTGACCATGTTCTGTAAAATGGCCACAAATCGTGACCAATTAGAGCAGACCAATAAAACTTGGAAGAATGAAATAACATTGAACAAGGTTGAATCGTGCAAACACGTTTAAACACATACTGATCAATGATCATGAATGACTGAGTTATTAACATTTATTTGGGTTGCCTTTTTGGTTCACCCTGTAAGAATATTTTTATGAATAAGAACACAAATACATCATTTAATATTTCTACTAAAACAAGTTGAAATATACATAGATATAAAGACATATACAAGTACAACGCTTCCCAATGTACATCTTTAAGTAATTGTAGCGATTGTAAAAACTCCATTTACCAAGATGACCTAGACGTGAAGCAAGGTGTAGAGGTGTACATCCACTTTTGTCTTTGTTATCCAAGGGGCATCCTCTTTCCTTAAATACCTGAAACAGTCAATGTCGTGTGCATCTATCATAATCCCTTATAAAACTGATGGCAATTATATCATCATACTTTATATCACGAATATTAATAAATATTGATTGTTGAACTATACATGTACTAATTATTGCAATACTAATAGTCAGTGTCATTCTTAGATTGTTAGATTATTGGCATTTTGAGCATTTTGGCAACTCTTTTTTACATGTAACACTTCCTACCTCTTTGAAAACTATTACACCACGATTTGGAAAATCAGCACACTCGTTACATAAACAGGGCTTTGACAGACTATCAAATAGAAGATCCACTTAAATCAATCAAGGTATTTAAAACGACCGAAGGAATACACTTTGACAGTAGAATGTCATCAGGGCTGTCAAAATTTGAATGGGAGTGTGTATTCAACATACTTGTAACACGTCTAGTCTCCCGTTCGCTGCAGCAGTGTGTAGTGCCGTGCGACCGGTATAGTTAGCGACGGTGGGTGACTGAATGAATAAAAATACAAAATATAAATAAGTACAGGGTGGTACTTTCCAACAAGATGGGGCTCCAAGCAATAGATATCACAAGAGTGTCTAATGTTTAAAGGAAAATGACGTCATTTATATTATGGACTCGCTGGTTGACAGACATTATAACAAATTTGAACTCATGATATACCAAATTAAAGATGAGTAAATTCCCTATCCACTGGTGTAAATCATGACATGCTATCATCAAGAAAATCAATATCTATTTTCGAAATATGAGTGTTCCATTTTTGGACCACCTACAACATACATAAGATAATATAACATAAACGTCTAATATAGAATCACATCAAGTTATCCACATATCATTTTGTATTCCCTATGCTAGTCTCTATTATGTACTTTGTATTTCAGATCATTTTTCCGAACGAGTAAGTTTCAAGCGTTTTGCCTACCTGGCCATCGTCTAACGCCATTTGTAATTCCCGGAGGTCCCCGAAAAATGCTGAAAAATATGTAAAATGTTCGAGTTAAAGAATTACGTACTCTTCCATTTGCGGATGTCCAAGAGCAATATTTCTTTATCAGTTTAGCATGAAAATGCCATAGCTGCATTCGGAATTTATCAATGTACTTACATGCTTCATGAATGTCTGGTCGCTTGAACATCCTGATCGCGTACCCTGAATGAGTGTCCACTCAACTCAACAGTATCCCTTGATGCACACAGTGTTATTTTAAATGTATCAAACACTGTAGCACTATCTCACTTTCATAAGAGAGATGGTTGATCGATCCAAGGACTTGATCGATCAAAATATCTTAATCCAAGTTTCTAAAATACTCATACAGTGTTTTGCACTGATTAATCCAGTGAATCAGTCCGTTTGATCCAATGCAATCCTATACACTCTCGAATATTGTAAATACCTTTCTCCAAACGAAATAAAATAGATTGCATTGCATGCCTTTTGAGATAATGGGATGTTGTATGTCTTCACTTCTCAATGTTTGTAGTCTACTTAACGAGATTGATTTAATTCTCCAAGTGCAATCATTACATGATAAACCCCATAGATAACCTACGCCGAGGTCATTTTTTCAAATTTACCATTGAAAGGAACAGGGGGAAAATGATGGAGAAGACGTGTACAGTAAGTGTAACACGCTCTAAACTCTATGCCATGATCCCATAATTAGACGCATCATCCAGATTTACAACGAAACACTTCAAATATTCTCGCAATTGCAGAAATTTTATGCTTGAATAACATACAATCTGTGTTGGAGAGTAGATTGATTTTTGTAATGTGAATTATTACTGTTATATATTGTATACTACATCAACATCGGTTGAATATGCTTATTGATTGGTGTAATCCTGGATGTTCTTCCTATTAATGAAATGTCAAAAATCCGTGTAGTTTATATAGATCACAAAAGTATTTGGTGGTGTTATACCCTAATTTCAAAGGCTGCTAACAATTGTTGAAACTCACTTTAAAATAATCGAAATCGGGAATGAAATTATCGAAAAAGCAAGGGTAGTGATGGAGAAAATATTATTACAGATACTGGGAAAAGCATAGCCCTTAGTCGGGCCCTTAGTCCACTTGAATCCATTGAAGAAAGGCGGGTATTAAGGCTACTAAGGGTTAATCGTCTGTTCGGCTGCAGCATTATCTGCAAAAGTTGCCCACATCTCATTTTTGTTTCGTTCTAAAATGGCAAATTACGTAAAAATAAAGAAGCTTAAATCCTAGAAAAGGCAAGAAAGTGGTATGACCATGGAGATTTTTTCGATGATCAGAAAGAAAGGCATTGCTTAACAAACATTAACTGATATTACGGGCCTTGCATAGGATTGTTGAGTGAAGTTACAAACCATACGATCATTTCACACGTAAGCTTGTAAGCGCCGATCTTACGCGCAAAAATGTCCGAAAGTAGTCCCATGATCCCATTCAGTCATCCTGACATCAAGGAGGATTGGAACCCGTTATTCAATAGTCTATGAGGGTCTTTTAAGCAAGACTAGTTATTCAAGCTCGATACTCCGTTGCCCGGTGTGGAACAATGAGTTTGAATAATGGCTGCCTATCCTCCTTGTCCTGAGATGAAGAAAAGTGTTTTACACCATCCCAGGCTATCCACAGATTTCAATAGCGAATGTAGGAAAATATTGCACAGACGATCGCGGCGATTACAGATAAATATAAATTACCGCATATCGTTGATGCAGATGCATATACCAGTATGCATTCCAGGGACTATTAATCGATCATCCTCATACAGGTAGATAACTATAAAAGCAGGTCACTAGAAAAATTGCAGTTCATCATTATATTCAACATCAAAGTCAATTATTATTATCTAGTCAACCCAGGATCTGTAGTCGATCGTATATTTCATAAGCTCATGGTGACATCTATATTTATGCGTACTCGTTTAACCAACATGTAGAGTCAATAAAAGATATGTACACGATGTCGTTTATATCGTTCCGTATTGGTCGTTTTGTTTACATTAATACAGTATAAAACATATCATTTTATGAAAAATAGTTACCTTGTCCTACGGAAATTGAGATTATGCTCACAGCAAGTTCGCACGGCGATGATTCTACTTTTTATAGACACTAAACACATCTCTGACGATGGAAGAATAAAAAAAGCATTAGGATCCCAACCTCTTTTGTTAACGGGAAAGCCTGGGTGAAAGCCAGGAATCCTAACCACTAGACCATAATGGATCAGTTGGCATGTATGTATAAGTCGTTAGTCATAACCAATCGACAATAACCTAAAATAGAAAAAGCCTGTTCATCTCACCCATTTGATTTGTCCGAAATTTAAACAAAAATGAACGTTCCATTACCGGGAATCGAACCCGGGCCGCCTGGGTGAAAGCCAGGAATCCTAACCACTAGACCATAATGGATCAGTTGGCAGGTAGGCATAAGTCGTTAGTCATACCCAATCGACAATAACCTAAAATAGAAAAAGCCTGTTCATCTCACCCATTTGATTTGTCCGAAATTTAAACAAAAATGCACGTTCCATTACCGGTAATCGAACCCGGGCCGCCTGGGTGAAAGCCAGGAATCCTAATCACTAGACCATAATGGATCAGTTGGCAGGTAGGTATAAGTCGATAGCGATAATCAATCGACAATAACCTAAAATAGAAATAGCCTGTTCATCTCACCCATTTGATTTATCCGAAATTTAAACAAAAATGAAAGTTCCATTACCGGGAATCGAACCCGGGCCGCCTGGGTGAAAGCCAGGAATCCTAACCACTAGACCATAATGGATCAGTTGGCAGGTGTGAATAAGTCGATATTCATAACCAATCGACAATAACCTAAAATAGAAAAAGGCTGTTCATTTCACCCATTTGATTTGTCCGAAATTTAAACAAAATTAACGTTCCATTACCGGGAATCGAACCCGGGCCGCCTGGGTGAACGCCAGGAATCCTAACCACTAGACCATAATGGATCAGTTGGCAGGTAGGTATAAGTCGTTAATCATAACCAATTGACAATAACCTAAAATAGAAAAAGCCTGTTCATCTCACCCATTTGATTTGTCCGAAATTTAAACAAAAATGAACGTTCCATTACCGAAAATCGAACCCGGGCCGCCTTGGTGAAAGCCAGGAATCCTAACCACTATACCATAATGGATCAGTTGGCAGGTATGCATAAGTCGTTAGTGATAACCAATCGACAATAACTTAAAATAGAAATAGCCTGTTCATCTCACCCATTTGATTTGACCGAAATTTAAACAAAAATGAACGTTCCATTACCGGGAATCGAACCCGGGCCGCCTGGGTGAAAGCCAAGAATCCTAACCACTAGACCATAATGGATCAGTTGGCAGGTAGGTATAAGTCGTTAATCATAACCAATTGACAATAACCTAAAATAGAAAAAGCCTGTTCATCTCACCCATTTGATTTGTCCGAAATTTAAACAAAAATGAACGTTCCATTACCGAAAATCGAACCCGGGGCCGCCTTGGTGAAAGCCAGGAATCCTAACCACTATACCATAATGGATCAGTTGGCAGGTATGCATAAGTCGTTAGTGATAACCAATCGACAATAACTTAAAATAGAAATAGCCTGTTCATCTCACCCATTTGATTTGACCGAAATTTAAACAAAAATGAACGTTCCATTACCGGGAATCGAACCCGGGCCGCCTGGGTGAAAGCCAAGAATCCTAACCACTAGACCATAATGGATCAGTTAGCAGGTATGTATAGGTCGTTAATTATAACCAATCGACAATAACCTAAAATAGAAAAAGCCTGTTCATCTTAACCATTTGATTTGTCCGAAATTTTAACAAAAACGAACGTTCCATTACCGGGAATCGAACCCGGGCCGCCTGGGTGAAAGCCAGGAATCCTAACCACTAGACCATAATGGATCAGTTGGCAGGTATGTAGAAGTCGATCATAATGTTAACAATAACCTAAAATAGAAATAGCCTGTTAATCCCACCCACTTGATTTGTCCGAAATCTAAACAAAAGTGAACGTTCCATTACCGGGAATCGAACCCACATCAATCAGTTGGTATGAGGGTAATAAATAACATATATATATTAAGCAATCACCTGAACATATTTAGTAAAAAGTCCGTTCAACTTAACCACTTTTATCAAATAAGAGTTCTTTCTTATCTTGGGACTATTTCATTCATTGATTTCTTGGAGTTTGAGTATTTTCTGACCTTCAAGAGAGGTACGTGTGTGTTTTAGATCCAACATTTCAACGAATTTTGGTATTGATTATTTACTATATTATTAGTGCTTTTAGAAACTAGAAATATGACCAGAACTACAATAAGCAATAAAATCAAAGCAATAAAAGTTTTTTTCAAGTGAGGTCTCGTTAGGACAAAATAAGGGCCACGTTTATGAAAGATAATCAGGACATACAAGGGTCATTCAAAAATAGTTGACACACTTTTATTAACATACATAAAATTACACAATGGCTCTAATTCTACACAAGTTAGTTACTCAATTATCGTCTATAAGTGTCATATTTCCTAATTTGGCTACACATTTTTAGCTTTGCGTAACCATAGCGGGCAGCAGAGTTGAAATCCATTTTTTCGATATTTCAAATATTTTTTGTCATATCTATGTTAATAAAACTCGATTTTAATGTATTAGCAATCATGTTTATTGTTATGCCTTATTTTCAATAAACGTCTGGTGTCACTCGGGAAGTATATCCATATCCAGTCGACGAATACCCTGAACTTCATTTGACGCAAACATTTGACTCAAACAACTGTACCAGCGTCCACCCTTGTATGTGTGAACCTGAAATTAAAAAAAAGTATCATGAATACTGTTCAATCTGAACGAAAAGGTATATTTTAAAAGTTGTGATTTCATAACACATTTAACGTCATGAAGTCTAATCAATTAATACGGTTTTATATAATATATTTAAATTTTCAATAGGATATTATACTATTGTTTGAATATAATAGTCATGTTTATTGAATTATACCATTATAAGGTAGACTGAATATTGGCTAGTGTCTAAGTGCTCTAAGTGATTACAATGTATGCAGACCATTGATATCTACCTTTCCACTACACCCTCTGTTAGGACATGTAGGAGTGCCGACCGCCTTAACTAATGTGATACAACAACGCCGTCTGTGACGTCACAATGTATATAGGGAGGGCAGCAAACAACCGGTGTATTGTTGAAGCATTGTTTTGGAAGCGTTAACAAAATATTACAAGATGAGATAATATGCCGAACTTCCACCACCTTTCAGTGACATCTATTGAAGTAAAGCTATCATATAATGAGTTAGATGGATTTACAAAAAGACTTGTAATCGGGAATCCTAACAGAAACTTCATAAAGTTTCAAATTCCTAAATCAATTGTTGTTACCATGGATACAATATTAAAGTAAGAGAACAATTGAGTGAGGAATTCTTAAACTTACGAAATTTTCTGTTAGAGAGCAAAAATTATCAAACGTGCAATGCCTAGAACCATTTTGATGTACATAGACTAGATGACAACTACACTCTGTATGTATTCCGCTTGGTTTTGAATTTACTGTTCTGTTTTGTTCCATCTAAGTTTAAACCTGGTACTGATTAAACGAAACAAAAAGAACATTTAAATATGATATTCACATTTATTACTCATGCATATATTCCATTAATAGTAGCTATTTGTACAGCAGCTAACTACAAGCGTTCTAGAAGCGACATCTATCCATTATATATACAGTATACATGTGCAAACAACATTAATAATATTATCAGATGGTCTGATTAATTCAGTTTTAGCTTTGCGCATTCAACACAATGTGTTCCATATCCCATGCCTCTCTTTAACTACATTTTTACCCAGCATGCTACAAAAGCCATATTCATTTAATTTATATAATAACTATATCATTTATGGATATACATGTATTTGAATATACCATATATGTATCTACATTTCTAATACACCACTACTTTGCCGTGGATACTGTCACAATCAAGGTATGTGAATTAGCAATTAGGCATATTATATCATCTAAGAGCAATTCCAAGAACTGCCCACACCCAAAGATCCTTAAAATAAACAGCAAAATTAGAGTTAGATTAGTAGAGTACCATACATGATGGTGGTATATACTTTGACATTGACATATTCAGTAGGATGGTCACCACGGGAGAATTATGTTTAAAATAAAGGGAATGTATTACGCCGATCCATAAGTTCATTTGAGCACATTTTTCTCATAACTTATTGATCGACCTCGTAAATGTATCTTATTTGATTTCAAACATTAACGTGCCCTTGTTTTAATGGTGGAGCATTTCTTGGAGTTGTTCTTCCCAAGGAAATAATATAAGATAATAAATTGATAACATTTTCAAGCTAATGCCTAACAAGTGACGTTGTTTGAGTGCGTGTTGAAGAGTTGTACCCGGAGTGAAGAGTTGACCTTGACCTCGAGGAATTCTTGTTTCCAAGGCAACGGAATGCATCCAGAAACCCTTGTCTGAACCTCTTGTGCATGAAACAGTACGTGATTGGGTTGCAGAACGAGGTGCAGTAGGAAAGTAAATTGAGTAACGCCACAACTCCTGGACTGAGAACTGCTCTCGCGCCATGATAGTCAAACATGATCCAAGCATTCACCACGTGTGATGGTGTGAGGAATAAAAAGTATTCTAATACAACAATACATAACATTTTGATAACCCTCTTCTTCGAGGCTAAACTCCTTTCATAGTTCGTTTGTCGAATTGCATTGCTACTTGTCCTGTTACTGTCTTTATTACTGACATTTTTCTTGGACGAACTGCACCCATTTTGGAGTTTACTACCATTTGACTGATCCCCATCTTTACTACTATATTTCGAGAGGGGACTACTACTCTGTGAAACGAGAGCTTCAGATGAGTCTCTTAGCTCCTGCTCACGTTTGCCGTTTAGTTTACGTAGCTCTGAAATTAGCATTTAAACATGAATGAAATATATGTTGAATCTATTTTTTGTGTATCCAGAAAGTAGGTCAAATAGCGCCCAAGAAGAATTCTGCTGCTTCGATAGATCAAATTGCTGCTTTTGGTATTTTGGTATTCGGAACGAGCAACAATCAAATCCTGGGCAATGAAATTTCGCTTTTGCTCCATTACGTCGTGGAAATAGACTTATTGCCGTTTTGAAATATTGTTCTTAATATCAAATTAAAATTAATTAATCTTTAATATTAAAGTATAAAATCTAACATAACATAAAAACGTGGCAGAAATGGTTGGAACAGAATAAAATTGTGCATCGAGTATTGGCTATTCATGCTAAATAAGATATACAAGTACGTCGACTGAAAAAAAGATGGAGGAAGTTTTGCTTTGCTGACTACAAATACCAACATATACGAGGGGTGATTAAAAAATTTATAGACATTCTTTTTAGCCGACTCATCAATCAAATTTCATCACTCTATCTTGATCATTCATTTTAGAATTTCATAACTTTTCAGTTCATATTAATTCCTACCTGAGGATGTCTTGGCCTCGAACTTTATTCCCATCCACAACCTGCGACTGATTAAACTATATGCAAACACCATGATTATCAACGGCACTAGTAAAAGAACGATATCCAGGAACACAGTATAAGCCTTCTTTAGGTAGAGTAAATCTTGGGGCCAATCCTCCTGACACTTATATCCACCGTTCGTCAAAGCGCCGTGTCTCATATGTATCGGGATCGGGATCATAATAATGGCGGCGAGGACCCATACAATAAGACAGACCTTTCTTGCGTGGGAGGTCGTCTGCCAACCTCTCGACCTCAATGGTTGGACAATGGCGAAGTAGCGCTCCATAGACATAGACACCAGAGTGAAACTGCTCACCCCATATGTAATACCTGGAGCACAATAATGTCATTCAAATGTAGATACAGGACTATGGTAAGCGCAGGGCCTTTGACGCTAAGATTTTTATTTATTAAAATTACATAAACACATTTCTTTAACAGTGATAAAAACCTCAAGGGGTTGAAAAAGCATATTTTTCACAAATCTCGCTTAGGGAGCTGGATGTCAACTCCACAGTACAAAATGATCGCTGTTGCCGATCCTACACGCTAAACCTTGTGAAAAATGCATTTTAAAAAATAATAGTCATTATGTGAACTTTAAATTCCACCCAAAAAGCCCATGGTGCCAAATTACTATTCATTGATGTATATTTATGGTCATCAATGAGAAGCATCCAATGATGATTTTCTCGTTTGCACCAAATGTAAAGGAATTTAAATTCTCATGATAATTGGGTAATGGGGTGATTTACAAAATTACTAGAAATTAAAACATGAAATCCTTTATGCATGGGTACTTAAGATTTGAAGTTTTTCTGCACTAGAATAATATTATGTCAGTTCTTACATCATAAGAGCTATGGTTGTAAAGATCGGAAGATAAATGATGACATTTACTCCAGAATGATGGGAAACTAACTATGTAACTAATATGTCAAACCGCCACTTCGTATTTTAGGTATGTGCATTTTATCTTTTTCCACGTCTGTTTAAACATCACCCAATCGTCTGGTAATTGACTTTCCCACGTGGAAAATGATATTTTGCTCGCGTTTTGAAATGAAAAGTAGAATGGAAAGAGATGGATAAGCTATGAATATTATAGAAAATAGACATAATGTCGACAATGCAGTTATTTTAGCATTCATACTCCTGTTTCATGCTAAAAAAAGAATGCATTTTCTTAAAGATCACAGAGATGTTTTAGGCAACAATGATTTTTGAGGGTTGTGTGGTTTTTGAAAGGTAAATGTTATGTCAGTTATACTTAGAGTGTGGTTGACTAAATAAGATGTAATTTGGTGTTTTCTTTTTGAACATACTGTGTTTTGGTTCTAAAAGAATCTAACCTATTTTCAACCAAACCACAACTTGCATACTTCTGTTTTGAAAATGTCAAGGATTAGGGATCTTGATCGAATAAAAACATCCCCTTCTTCCGTTGGTTAATGCACTTTGCATGGACTCTGTAAAGGGTCTGGATTATAAAGGAGTTGGTTCTGCAATAGGTTAAGAAAGCCAGCTAGTTTTGTTATGCCCTAGTTTTTCAGGCTATTGTTTTCCAAGGATCTTACTTTAAAAGGACTTTGTCTCTAAAATACCCAAACTAAATTAGCATTTTGAATATCGATCTCTTTTCTAAAAATATCATAACATAAAAAAAGTTCATATTGAATTCGTTAACTATGTGAGCAACAAATTCTCTCAAGCTGCAATAATTACAAAGAAGAATATCTGTTACAAAGATAGTGCAAATTATGGATTATTCTGATTTACTTTATAATTAACTTAATTGTGTATCTAAGGAACAGAAGAATGTACAAAGCTGCTTTAAGGTCTTGTTCCACTGCGGGTACCACTGACTTGTTTTTTCCTCTATTTTCTGTTGCCACACACGCGGTTATCAGGTTATTAATATTAGGATAGTACTCTCGTAATTATCATTGACATTTTGATTCATCTTCAGTCATTTATATTTGACATGTCCTTATTAAACATACGACATTTTCTATTCCACTCAAACGCAGTGATAATAGCTTTGTATAAGATCTGATAATATGTATTCCTGGATCTCGGGCTTATATGCTCAACTGTCTGGGAAACCTCAAATAGTATACTGAAATAATTCACAAAGTTAAATTGAACTGAGGGGGTGATTCCAATAGTAAATCCGATCAATCGTCCCTAGATTAAGTGACAGGAATCTAATTTAAAAAATCTGAGCGGTCTCATTACAAAATTGCATTGATTTATCACGGTGAATTAACTAAACCTGAGAAACGAAGCCCTGAAGGAAATTAAACTAAACTTAAGAATGGAAAGTATAATACCCAGGAAGTGTAAAGTGATTTTTATTATCGTGTGGAAGTAATCTACGTAATAAGTTTGTTTTAGTTTGGTACAAATGAAAATAATAATTTGAGTCACAATGAAAATGAAAGTTTATGACCCTTCCTTTAATTATAAATATCTTGTACGATCATCAGCACTTTCCTAGCTATCTTTATGGTGGTATTTTTATTTGTTGGTTTATTCGTTTCCAAATGGGAGTCAAGGTCACCCATTGTGGGATCCACCGCGACTTCTCTTCATTGGAATACAGCGTTAGGTAAGAGGGCCCGGGAAAGAGGGGCACTGGTAAAACAAAATGGCGGTCGCCAATTATAACATTTATCACACCATAGCACTCCATCATTGTCTAACGCTTGCGAGATTTTCATTTTATTTTTTCAATCAAAAATTCATGTTTGCACTACCTGGTCATAATCATTAAACTTTGTGGTCAACTAACAAGTCAAGATTTGAAAGAGGTATGCGTAACCCAAACCCATGGGAGCTCTGTTTCGTTCAACTTTAGAAAAGAAAAAATGATTTCATCAGTGAATAAACCAAAGCTGCTACTCCTTAGAAAAGAAGATGGTACCACCAATATAGATACTGCTTTAAAGCTAACTGCTATTTTATGGTCCACTCTAGGTCACACTGATCACCTAGAGAACCCTGATGGGTACCGTAATTGCCGGCTGCGTTCATGATGGAGCACATTCGTGCATACGGTATAAAGATAGTAAACTGATTGAAGCTCTTTCATCGCATTTAACTGCCATTTTTCATCTCTAAACGTTATTACATCATCTTCTTAGGTTCTATTACTGGGTGTAATTTTTCATTTGTCTACGATCACGGCATTCGAGAATACAATCGGCACTATTAAGATTAGTAAGAGGGGGAGAAACCCCAGGGTTCAAAGATGGCATACGCTTATAATGTAAATCTGTATTGAGATGACATCGTTGCTGATTGGTTTAGCGAGTCGATCGTTGATTGGTTTAAAACTAGGTCAATTTGAAAACTTTGAAAACCAAGATGGAGGGTAAGTTTTCGACAAAAGGAGGTGCGCGAAGGAGCAAATCGTATGTCATCAATTGAATCATGGGGTTTTCCCTCCTCTTAAGATTAGTCATGTATCCAGTCTCTGGACCTCCCCAATTAGCTTCATTCCACTTCACATCGGGCTTCACACCTAGTGGAGGTATAAAGGGATAGGGGCTTAAAGCAAGACTAGTTGATAAAGATATGCAGTACAGTAAGCACGATCCGGAAAGCAAAGAAACACCTCAAACACATGTTGTCATGCATGTCAGATTAGAATTATATGGTGAAGGTGTTCTCTCTAGCAATAAACAAGTTGCTATACAAATACTGTATGTGAATTGAAATCGCAAATTCAAATGAAACCAAAGAATATCATTCAGCATAAAATATTTTTATTTTCCAAGGCAAGTCAGAAAACATTTCTGTCACAGCCAACCGTTGTGATTTATCAGATAAAAATGTGCAGTCCAGCAAGTTCCTTTTCCAAGTAATCAGTTTGAATTGGATAAATAAATTATTGCCTTGCTAGTTCAATAAGATAGTTTCTAAATAGCTGAAAATGAATGAAATCCAGTGCTGATATCTTTTATTAAAAACAATTCTTGGGCCAAACTTCTATTGACTTTCATATAAGATCTTAAAAAAATGACTTTATTTCATGATTTTGTCAAAAAGTTTTGGTTGAATCTGTTTTAAACGTGATTGATATACCATGTGATTACCCTTTTAACATATACTTATTGTGATTTATCATCAAAATTTGGGTTGTTAAACTAATTAACCAAGGTTTTTAGAGAACTTAAACATTCCATCAGTGGAGATTTGGCCCAAGTCTTTTAATAAAAAATCATGGAAAATAATTTAAATAACATAACTGTATAAATCAAAGTTATTCTTGTAGAAAACGGTTGACTGAATTCAAATACCATTTAAAAGGAGGCAAAGTAAGTCATTAGAGGTCTAATATGCAAATCTCTTAAAATTTCACGAAAAACGAGATTTAGTGAGATTTCAAAAGCTATTTGGAAACTGTACTATTGCCCATATAAAACACTTCCGGTGTTTTTTTTATTGAATTGATACCCTCTATATTATAACACTCTGAGTTCTACCTTTTGATTGGTCAGTTTATTTTTTGATTTAAGAAACTGTTTCCAAGGTCAATGTCCCACAGTATCTAGTTCTCTTACAGAGGATGGAGAAACAGTGGATTTTTCGATGGAAGCTTATTATTGCTTCAGCAAAATCTCACCACTAATCTATCCGCGTTTTAAATATATCTTCTTCTAACTTTTACAAGTATGATAAGATCTTTACTATTTTATATATCTTAGTAACCCATTAGTTACCTGGTCTGTTCTGTCTATGGCATAAAATTAATTTTCCTATATCAATTGCTGTACCATGGTTATAATGACGTCATAGTAAGGGAACCCTAGTCTTTTCAATCTATGAGCAGCGTCCACCTTGACGGAATGCCATTCTTCACACTTCGTCAGTCAGTTACCATAATATAACTACTTATCATCCGTAAGGTAGAATTTGTTCAATAAAAGCAATTTATGACTGCATTACATGACAAATGCCACGCACAATTATATGCATTTAGGATTTACTCTTCTAATAAAGGATGATAGAGGGAAAAATATTGCTAATTTAGGTTAATTTACTCACAGATATTCTGATACCCGCCAGTATGATCGTTGAAGAAGTAACATATCCAAGCAATTTATATTCTACTGTGTACGTGTGTTTTTTGTTCATCCTTAGATTGTTGTATAAACAAACCTCGTGACCATGGTGATAATGATAGAATGAATGAGAAAGAAAATAATCAGAAACCACAAAGGTCAACATTCGACAAATTACAAAGAATCACAAAATTGCCAAAAAGCAGACCAATTTATAGATTATTTATCAATAAGAAAAGCAGTCAACAAAATATCAAATTC